CAGTGCTGACAATCACTTTAAACACTTAGAAATGTAACCAAAATGTCTTCAACATCACACAAACATATTGGTTTAAAAAAAATGTGTAAATCATATGCAGTGACTTCTTACCTTTCTTTTTGAGATACTACGTATCCATCTAAAACTCTAAGGTTTAGGCACCAGCTAATAATGTAAGGTCTGTAGTCAAAGCCAGGTATTGAAGGAGTGGCCATCACACAGGGGTTGTTCATGATTGACAACTGTTCCAACTCAGTAAGACCTGCAAGGAATGAAACCTGCCAAAAGGAAAAAGTGGTTTTAATGTCTGTGTCCGAACAATATTCTAAAAATCATTCACTGAAAATCTATATAGAATTTAAAAAAAAATAAAAAAGAATTTACAAAAATATGTCTATTCACCCCCCACCATCCATCAATTACACTCAGTCTGTGTCTATTAGGCAGTGTTGTAATTTTACTGAGCGGTTTTTTTTTTTTAACAATCATGTCCTACCTGCAATCATTTATTTAGCATATTAGACTTTCCTCTTGAAGCTGTAGACATTCTACAAAAAACATTTGCCATTGGGCTCAGTGAATTCTGGAATCCTTATATACAGAAAGGTGTACCTAATACATTAATATTACACCCCCCTTGCTGCATTTCTCTGTCTGTCAGGTCTGTATAAACTGCAAGACTGTCTATATAGTTTAAATGTGTTAACGGTTATAATAAAGCCAAACTCCAGGAACAAAATGATCATTTACACACCGTAAATCATTAAAAAGCTGTGTTATCTGTGGAGTGCTGATGCTAAGTATAAAAATCTTATTGTGCCATCTCCTGCACATAACGCTGAGCTTCCGGGCAATGTAGGTAATGAGAGATATGACTTGAGCAGTGAAGTACTCCAGTCGCATCACCCTCCCCTTCTCTCTACTTGCCCTTTCACAAAATGTCTTTGATTTTATTTCAAAGACTACAAGGCAGTTTGTAACTGGAGTATCATCTGCTCCTCCAATCACAGAATGCCTTGTATTCTTTGAAGAAAAAAAAAAAAGATCAAAAGGTATTTTTTCAATGTGAAAGTAGTGAGAAGGAGGAGTGGTTAATGCAATCAGAGGACTTCACACTGCTCAAGTCACATGTCTCATTCCCCTCAATGCCCAATCCTATTGTCTTTACAATTAACAGCAGGGAGTACATAAACTTTTCTACAATACTGCCAATTACCTAATAAAGTACACAGTTAAAGGAGAACTATGGGGTCAGGGCTTTTCCCCATAGTTCTCCTTAGGGTAACGGGAGGACACAAACTAGCGTCCTCCCGTCACCCTAGGCTCAGAATACCGCGAGCTGTAGCTCGTGGCATACTGAGACGCCGCAGCTGAAGCGGATCCCGACAATTATGCCGGGATCCGCCTAGCTGCGTGATTATCAGCTGGCTCTGCCTATCTAGAGGCAGAGCCAGCTGTACCCGCCCCCTCCCCCGTCCGTTCCGCTAGTCAGCGCTGGCGGATCGGAGCGGGGAGGGGGAATCCAGCCCCTCCCCTGTCACGGCAGAGAGCCGTGAAAGGATCGAGGGGTGAGCGAACGCCGCTATGTGTTCGCTCACTTCCCGATCTACTGAGCCGACCTGTGACAGTCTCATTGTCACAGGTCGGCTAGTACTATGAGGTGAGTGAAAAGCACTCACCTCATAGTTCTCCTTTAAGGTGTCTGGCCTGGCAAATCAGGAAGTTGTATAGTTGTTAAGCCAAATAAATGTGTAGCAATGCAGGATGTCCCTATAGCTAGGATTAGTCTCTCCATCTTAGATTGAGTGTCCATGCTTTGGAAAAACAGTGTAAAGTGTCTACAGCTTTATGCCTTGACCTGTACACTGTTATTGAGGTTAATCGATATCTCATTATAAAATATTTGTACAATAAAGCTGAAGCCATTGCTCTTAGATGAACAGTGATAGCCCTCTCTACTGAACTACAACATTACACCTGCCTGAGTGTCTTTAAAAAATGTTTGAGATTTTAAAAAATAGGGCTTTGTTCTTGCTGTAAAATCCTTTTCTGTGTCCAGCCTTTTCTCAAAACAGCCTCCTGAAAAAGGTTTCTGCCAAAACTAGTATCAGAGGAGGCAGAAATATCAACTTCATAAAACTTTGCAAAAGTGTGAACAGAAGACCAAATTGCGGCCTTGCAAATTTGAGCAACAGGAGTTTGATTTTGAAATGCCCATGAATTACTAACTGCCCTAGTAGAATGACCAGAAACAGGAAAAGATGGTACGTTATCCCACAACTCATAAGCCTGAATGATATCAAATAAGGATTATGTTGATCCTTATCTTTCCGCAAGACGATTTCCCACATAGGGTAAATGCAAAGCCCCTTTTTGCATTGAGGTTCTGCTGACCTGCCCTTAAGCCAAATAGCTCTGTGTATCTGAATGAAGGAGATAACAGACAACAAACACATGAAATGAGAAGCAACAGTCATCTGATCAACACAATCAATAAAATGTGGATCAACTCCAGCAGACGCCTAATCTGAGATTTAGTCTAAGTAGCTAAGGCCTGGGAAATAAGGACTGTTGCCAATAACGGTTGAAGAGCCAAACCAGTTCATGAATAAATGGTACGAGAAAGATTCTCCAATTTGTTTGTAGGATCCTTGAACAACAGAGTGCCATCAATAGGAATAGTCAATGTCTTGTTAAGAAGAGAAATTGGAGGATCAGGTGGAACAGACCATTTTTTGACAAAATGTTCCGGAAACGGATGCAGAGATGTAAAGCTTTTAGGGACCCAAAATTGTTTATCCGAATTTTCCTGATCTTTACATGTAAACCTATCAAAAATAGGGTGAAGAGGAGAAAACTTGAAGACACGCTCAGGTTTATGCAAACCTAGGTTTTTCTAATGCTGAGTGATCACAGCCAACTGAAATTCAGCCAGTGTAGCACTATCCTCATCAGAAGAGAAAGATGCAGAATCATCTGGACATAACAGTTCCAGAACTATCTGGCATTTCATCCTCAGATACCACAGGGGAAGGAGAAATGAAATGCTATTAGAGGGAAGCAAAGTTGTTCCAAACGAGATAAAAAAAACAAAAAACTGTTCATAGTAGAAAACTTAGCTTTAGTTACAAAAGTGAAGAATCACTTGACATGGAATCAGAAGCAGGAATAGAACCTTACAAAACATTGCCAGATTTAAACACAGTAGGAACACATTTTGCACATTCCTTTCCGGAGGTAATCTCTGATTCAAATATCACAAAAGTTAACCCAAGAAACAGACCACTCAGACATCCCTTAATTTACAAACTGACATTCTAGCAGTTCATAATAATATACAAGTGCCACAATATCCCTCTATACTACTCACGGACACTGACTGGTGTGAGGGAGACAATGATAACGATGAAGGCACTTCTCCTGTTGATAAAGAGCAACCTGGTCAAAATGGCTGTAGTAAAAAAGGATCCTCATCTTGTATCCAAATAAACCAGACTCAGAGATTGGAACTAAGCTACCACTGTTCTGCTATCAGAGAGCGAGAATCTGCCACAGAGGACCAGGAAGAAACAAAGAGCGCGTGTGCGCACATGCACAGCAGATTTAGCCAACTGTGTCATCAATTTTCAGTGCTGGCCTCTTGAGATGGCGGAAAATTCAAAGCAACCTACACATAATAAAAAGGAGGGGAAAAAAACATCCTGCATAAAAAAAGTGATAAACAGTGTACAGTTACTCATGACAATTCTGGCCAGACCTAATAACAAACAGATGATCAGAGGAACACAGAACCGCCACAGGATGAATCACCAGTACTGAGACCAGAAACAAACCGCTTCCATACAACTGGAGAAAATCCCAGGATTTAACTTATGCGATATGAATCTGCCAGCTTTGTCAGCTGTCTAGAGAGACCCTACCTCTCAGGATTTCTTCAGAGATGTCCCTCAATGGATGATCGAGAAAAACATTTAATAGCCAAGTCTATCTTTTTAGATAGCAGTTGTAAATATAAAGAAAATGCAGCTCTCACTGCAATACTCGCCTCCTTCCAGCGCTTCAGCCCCACAGACTCACGTGATCTATGACCCAGTGCTCATCCGGGTTTAATGATGTCAAGCATCATTAAACCCACTAACTGAGTGCAGTCATGGTCTACCCCTAGGAGAAGGAATCACCACAGCAAAGATGACCCTCGATATCACATCCTGAAGACAGCGTGGAAAAATAGGGTAGGGTGGGGTCAGTATTCCACCAAGGGAACTGCTGACCTACTGATTTTCTATACATGCAGATAAAAGAAAGCACCACTGGATAATATTCTATCCTTCGGTAATGTCACAACCACAAAAACAATTGTTAACATTTCAGATCATCAATGAAGACAATCTGTTGTCCTATGGATTGTCCTCTGCATAAGAGGACATGACAAAATGGGAAGAGAGCTCAGTCACATGATTTTTTCAGATGATGTGACCGAGCTCTCCTCACAGCACTTCACTTCTCTCTATTCATAACAATGAGTGGTGATTTGCTTGCTTCTGAGTCACAAGGCAAACAAAGTTGAAGGCACCGTTGTAAAGTACACCATTGTACTTTAAGATGTTCCAGTGTATTACATTTTTTTTTTTTTACCACTGCTTTATAAATAGGCCCCTCCTTGAACTTACAAGGTAAACGCCGTTTAAATGTCCTCCTTTGTTTTATAGAGACACCGTCACCTTGACGATGAAACACTTACAGGGACACTTGCTTTGCCTTGCATGGACAATGTGACTGTCTCTTTAAGGGAGAGTGAACATTTTCTGGATTCTTTGCAAGTGTTATTATTTAATAATTCATGCAATTGGTGTTCATATTTAACAAACACATAGGATTTTCAAAACTGATCCACTTACTTCAGTGAGGTCCCTGATTTCATTCTCTGCTAATGACAATATGGCGAGACACTGTGGGAGGCAGGTTGGTGCTTTTCGTAATGATGTGACGTTATTGCCATGCAGCAGAAGAGTCTGCAGGAAAAAGTAACAGCCCAGTTAGTTTTCTCTTTTATAATTATGCCCTAACTCTGCTTTCTACATACTTGTGACTATATATGAGTAAATGCTGCATGTAAGAAATTAAATCCAAGCTCCACAAAGGAATAAGACTTAAACTATGGAAGTCTGCAGCATTGCATCTGATGATTGGTGCGTTCAACTGCTCACAGAAATGACAATCTGATTGCACAATCTCCTTTAGATTTACCAACATCTATATAGTCTAAAAGGGGCCTAGCTGATTGCACATTAACTGAACAGACAGCTTAGGTAGACTCTCATTCTACACTGTTCTTAGCAAGTTGAAATGAGACTTTACAAAAATCCGACAATTAGATTGCAGTGTGTGCAGCCAGATTTAAACAGCCACAAAAAGGGTACTTGGGCCTACAGGGTATCATTAAATCACCAGCAAGGGAAAGGCGTTAGTAAAAAGGGAAACTACACACTCTATCCAGTAAGCAAACAATTTTATGCCATTGCGTTTAAGTAGTAATGTGACTTTGTAATATATACTCCATCGCTGCATTAAATTTATATCTGTACTTCATTTTTTTTAACACCTTGACAACTACTGAAATAAAATCCCATTCACATGGCATATACAGTAGAAAGTTTCTTATGAAGGTTCTGATGAAGGGGGCGTGCCCCGGAAACGCGTTAACGTCACCACTATACTGGTATCACCCAGTGGACATCTCACTGCTTGTCAGTCCTCACCTCATGATTTTGTGACACTCATGTTTGTGAGTATGATTCGTTTTTTTATTTATGTTTATTGAAATAAAAATGATCTTCACCAGGAAAGGCGCCCCTCTTGTGTTTATTTAGTAGAAAGTTTCTTGTTTAACCAGTCCCCAGAGCAGTAAACTTGCATTGTAAGCGAGGAACATGAAATAAGGCATGACAACTATGCAGTCAGCAGAGCATGCATATACAATGACAAAATATGGCTGCTCCACATACAACAATACAATACACTAATGACATTGCTTACCTAAAGAGGCAACAACATGTATACCTCACACAATCACATTACATAGTTTAGTCTAGGTTTCCCATTAAACTTTTCTTTTTAAGTGAAATACATTTGCCCAAATTTATAGCACATCAGCCCTCTCTGCTCAGACAGAGGGTTCAGGAAATCCCACATGCTGTAAGCAGGTGTAGGGGGGGGGGTTCTGTAAAAGCTGTGCCTCATATTATAAATTATTGTTCGGCTTCATTGGATGCGATTATCCTCAGCCAAGTAAATATTACCCTTTTTAATCTAATTTACTATTTTTTTTTCTTTTCTTTTTTACTTCTACCGCTCCAAGCTTGCTCCTGTGATGGAGTGCAATCTCAATACAAACTAGTAGTCCATCACTGGAGCCATTTTTTAAAATGTATTTTATTGTTTATCCGATTAACCGATTAATCGAACTTAATAATCGGCTAACTAATCGATTTTGAAAATAATCGTTAGCTGCAGCTCTAGACTGGAGTCTGTGTCCCTCAAGTTGACAGACATTATTAGCAGTGGACACATGTGCCATAACAATCTTCAACTTCAATCTCATCTCTGTCTATTTGCAGCCTGTCCCATCCCAAATACCAAGTTCATTTGCTCTAATACTTCCAAAATGACCGAACAAGTTGAAATACCTTGATTTAAAATGACATAAGGTCTATTACAGGAAAATCATTTCACATCTTACCCTTAAGTATATTAGCTTTGAGAGGTCACCAATTTGAGATATGTTATTATCTGACAAATCCAAATGTTGAAGTGAAGTACAGCTGTTTAGTTGATCGATTCCCTAGAGATATAAAAATAAATGCAACACATTTGAGAATCAGCTCTAAAAACAAATGTTTATATTAAAACTCTTCATATATTAGTGTCTACACCTTGTATTGGTACCGGAGTCAGCTCCTAATGTCCAATGTCTGTCAAATATCAAGCTGGCATAAATCTTTTAAAAATATCCAATTAAAACTTGGTTAAATAGGCCAGATTTGGACAATCAGCTCTTGAACCAGCCACATGGTCAAGTTGGAGAGTATACAGATGCTGAAGCCCATGCTGAAGACCATAATGGTTAGATGTCCAAGAGTATTCTGACTCGACAAGATAGATAAACTGGTCACATGTGTAATTCATTAAATCCAAAATTGGCCATGTTGTCATGTGTTCATTCAGTACTGAATATTCAGACCCCTTTTTTTTTTTTTTTTACTCTTCACTGTAAAGCTTGGTAAACATGATTAGATTTTCATATAAATGTTTGTATGAAAAATCTTGTCAGAACATTGGATAATACCATCAGACTTATATACAGTGGGGGGAATTTATCAAAACTGGAGCAGAGAGAATCTGGAGCAGTTGACCATTGCAACCAATCAGCATCTCTACAGTTTGCTCAGGTGAGATTTCAAAATCAGAGAGAGATGCTGATTGGCTGCAGTACAAATCTGCTCCAGTTTGTGTCTGCTGCAGTTGTGATAAATCCCCCTAGTAAGTTTTGCTGATCTTTGAAAAACAAAAATGGTATAATATGTTAATAAATCATACACATTTCACATGTTTGTGGCCATATTATAAAGAAAAGCATAATAATTTACCTTTAAATTGTTCCCTGCAAGGTTAAGCCACTCCAAGTGCACCAAGTCCTTCAGTCCTTCCACATACCCAATGCTATTATGAGGCAGATTTAGAACTCGAAGATTAAATAATTTTGAAACACCCATCATCCGAACAAGGCGATTGTTGGCTACAGACAGCTAAATGATAAACAAAGACATAGCAAGTATAGGATGAATGCGCATCAACACAAAATAGTTAAATGCAATATAACTACATTTACAGAACTATTAAGTAAAGGAAACCAGTGTGCCTTGCTGCCACAACAATATAACTATGCTCTTCCTTAAAGTGACACTAAACTCAGGGGTTAAACCCATATAAAATGCATAAAAGTACCTTAACTATCAACAGAAATGTATCTTACCGTATTTGTGTATGACTCAGCTGTAGATCCTCAAATCATCTCTGGATTGGTGATGACACTGTCCTTCCTTCTGGAGGAGGTGACTTTTATTCCCTATCTTTCCAAGCTCACTCCTGTGATGGACTACAATCTCATGTTTAGTTTATTATTTTGTAGTGAGATTGTAGTCCATTACAGGAGTGAGCTTGGAGCGGTGACTACTTTACAACACACACAGGGACCACGGGGAACAAAAGTCGCCACCCTTCAGAAGGAAGGACAGTCTCAGCATCAATTCAGAGATGATTTGATGATCTACAGCCGAGTGATACACAAATGATACATTTTTGTTAATAATTACAGTAGTTGAATGTATTTCTAGGATAGAACTCCTGAGTTTTGTATGACTTTAATAACTATACCTGACTAGCTTTTTAGAAGGGAATCAGGTGAATATTATCTAAAAATGATATATACCACAACTGTGACATTCTACTTAGCATTTGTCTTATTTCAATGCCTATACAGAGTTTTCTGAAAAAAGGGTGAATATGGAACTCCTCCCACACTGTACACAGGTAAACAGGAGTTGAAGCAGAATATGTCCAAGTTGGATTTATTTTTACTTTCCTAGATTATCGTGCCTGCAACCAAAACCTTTTAGAGGAATATCAGTATTCAGTAAGTATGTCATCTCTCCAAGCAGGTTCTGGAGCCCATAGAGCAGACATGTCTGATATGCTTATTGAATTCAATTCCTTATTCTACTACTGTCCATCACTGAGAACCGAGAGGTTGTTTTGTACATAAATCCCGAGTCACACACTTTACCACCTGCAGTGAGGATATGCGTTATCTGTGGTACTATGGAAACACCAAACTATTCTAGATGCAGGTCTTCAAAAAATAATTACAAATTGCCTTTTTATAGATGACCATACTGTTGCCAATGGAGGCACATGTCCCTTGATATATTTTCCTAAATAAGACTGACTGTAGAAGTTTACTTTATTGTATTCAGCCTTGCTATAACGTATAATTTACTAGTTGTTCGAGGACAACACATTCCCCCATACTACTTAATTTGCTGTGAAATCTAGTTAGGCTGGTCATACACTGAGTTCTTGCTCCTGTGGCCTGAACAAGAACAAATACTCACTCCACCATCCATGCTGTTTAAACACCCTGCTGGGCTATTGTATTGTGTGCTGCTGCCCCAGAATGCAGATACACTGACTTTGGCTGATTGGCTGCAGTCACTGTAGAGCTGCAAATGTTGCAACCCCTTTAAAAAAAAAAAAGTCAATAAAAGAAAATTGGTGCTGACATGGACACACACAGGGGTATGATTGCTCAGGCTGTGGCTTGCTTTCCAAAGAAAACTAACTGTAAAAGGTGCCCATACACCTGCTGATTATCGTACGATAATCGGGAGGTGTATGGAAGGCGTGCAACCGTTACGTCTTTTGTCATCCGAGCACGCTCAAAAACCCGCCGATAATCGTACGATTTTTGGCGGGTTGGTGATGTGCTCGGAAGACAAATGCCGAATGGGCCGGTGTGCGCAATCGCGCACTGCCCGCTCAGCATTGGAATCATCGCAAGTACGATCTGCCTGTCCGAGATGGGAAGATTGTACAAAATTCGAATCACCTTATAACCATCGCAAAAGGAAAGTCGTGCGATGGTTGTAAGGTGTATGGCCAGCTTAAGACTTTGAAATCATTTTGCTTTAATGTACCTGGAATGTATGCAGCTGATTTGAAGAAGAACGCCAGGAAACCTTTTTCTTAACCCTTGCAATGGGGAGTTATACTCACCCGAAAATCCAAGCTGGCCAGCTGTCACAGCGCTCCCTCCAGCCTGTCTCCTTCTCCCTGCAGCATTGGAATGTTCATCAGCGTCTACATGTCTATACAGAACATGTGTATAGAACATGATGATTTTTCACACCAAGCGCAGAGCAGGTGCAGACCGGATCAAAACTGCGTCCAATGTATTCCTATGGTATTTTGAGCTCCAGTTCACATCGCAGCGTGCAGATCCAGAGCAGGTGAAAAAACTGCAGTAGACCCTATTTTACCTGCTCTGGATCTGCAAACGCATCAAAAACACATGCAAATGCCTAGTACGCACTGAGAGCCCATTTTAAACTTTAAAAAAAAAATATATATCTATTTTTTTTTGTTGTTGCCAAAAACGCGTCAAAAAGACTAGCGTGCATGTGCAGAAACCTGACCGGATCTGCTCTGCATTTGGTGTGAACAAGGCCTTACAGGACCTTAGAATGCTGCAGTGAAGGGGGAGAGAGGCTGGATTTCGTACGATCGCGGGATGTCCCGCGATTCTCGTACGAGAATCGTACAGTGTATGGGCACCTTTAGAACTAGCTGGCTCCATGGTTTAGGTGAATACAACTTTTTTTTTCTAACCTACACAAAAACGAGCACTTAACTATTGCAGTGCAGGGTAGCCCCACTGCAAAGGTTAACAAAAATGTTCCTGGAGTTCTTCTTTAATCTGAACGTTTATTGGGCTTTAAAAAAAAAAAAATCTAAAATCAGGTTAAGTGTCTTTACATAAAACCATTTTGTTTTCACCTGTGTAAGGTTTTTGCATTTTTCCAAGTGCTCCAATTTGATTATCTGGTTCTTGTCTAAAATCAATGTTCGAGTGTCCGCTCCGCATGGTAATGTGGTGGTCAGTTTCAGAAGACCCTGTCCTGTGAGATCCACTACTGTAACTGAAAGAAAAGAAGTACACTTCACATTAAATCTTATACAGTTTTAGAGAAACATTGGGGGGAATTTATCGAAAGTGGAGCAGACTGAATCTGAACCAGTTGCCCATGGCAACCAATCAGCATCTCTCTTCAGTTTGTTCAGGTAAGATTTGAAAATGAGACGGAGAAGCTGATTGGTTGTAGGCAAATCTGCTCCAGATTTTGTCTGCTCAATTTGATAAATTCCCCCCAATGGATATATTTTTGCTGGGGTAAGCTAGGCATAAACAACTTGTGAAAGTTATTTCCCACAGCTGACATGATAATAGATGTGCCTCCTGTGACTTTGCTTCAAACGCTCAATCTACACACTGTAAGCAACTAAAGGGCTTATATACACATGCAGATTATCAGCAGAGTAGAATTGCATTTTTCTGGGATACATGCATCACACACTTCATTCATCTAAAGAACCAATCCTCTGGAAATCTGACTGATCTACATGCAAATATAAAAGAGAATGACAAATGTGCTGAATCTGCAATTCTCCTGACTGGATTAATCCTAGCCCCTAATCACATAAAACATGAACAACCCCGTTAGCCAGAGACAATGTGAACGTAGCTACATAAGCTTTAAAGTTAAACTCTGGGCACAAAGACTTTTATTGAAATGTATTCCTAAATAGGCACAAAGGATATTAATAGACTGTGTGCACTAAATTTCATGGCAACCTTAGATCTTAGCTTATAAAAGGAGCAGTGACATCACTGTGCGCACATAACCTGTGCAGAGTGCAGAGCTGTGGGAGGGATCCAGCAGACTCACCCACTAAAGGCTGCCTGCAGAGAACTACAGGAAGGGGTGGATACAAGACCAGTCACCCTGCACAAAGAGAGAGAGAGCAGCAGTGACTGGTCTTTATTACAGGAAGCTTCCACACAGAGGCAAAGTTTAACATTACTGCACAGATCTGGAGGAAAAACAACAAAGCACCCCAAGATTCAGATAAGAATACACATGACTCTTGTATTTAGACAATATTTGCTTATCCTGGAGTTCAGCTTAAAGTTACAGGTGTGCTTAGGTGTTGCCTCTCTTAAAGGAGAACTATGGGGTCAGTGTTTTTCCCCATAGTTCTCCCTAGGGTCACGGGAGGACACAAACTAGCGTCCTCCCGTGACCCAAAGCTCAGTGTACCGCGATCTACAGCTCGGGGTATACTGAGATCGCCGTAGCCGGGACAGATCCCGACATTACTGTCGCGATCCACCCAGCTGCGTCTATCTAGAGGCAGAGCCAGCTGTACCCGCCCCCTCCCCCGTCCGTTCCACCAGTCAGAGCTGGAGGGGGGAATACCTGCAGGTAGCCGTGAGTGACAGTCCCGGCTCTCTGCAGGGACATGATCGAGAAGTGAGCGACTGTATGCGTTTGCTCACTTCCCGATCTATTGAGCCGACCTGTGAAAGTCTCATTGTCACAGGTCGGCTAGAACTATGAGGCTATGATTTTCACTCGCCTCATAGTTCTCCTTTAATTCTCACCTCCATGATCTGGTTCCATTGCCTCCTCTTCAGGGAAGGCGGAAGGGGGTGGGGTGTTTGGGTTGGGCTGCATTATCTCCCCACTCAGCTCTGGCAGTGTCGTGCCCAGTAACGTCACTGGTTGCCAGGAGCTGGGCAGGATGCTGGCCAGAGTGCCCCAGGTTGCTAAGAGCTGAGCAGGGAGATGTGTATGTTCCGCTGTCTGCGCTGTTCCCTTTCCCCCTTACATCTTATTGCGGTCTCCACTCCTGCCCCTCCACATCTTGTTCTGCTGCCTCCTCCTCCTACATGGCTGGTATTTACCTGACAACTATAATAAATTAGATACATCAGTGAAAATTGGGGGGTTCTGTCACAAGACAAGTGATCTTGTGAGGCATTTATCTTGTCATAAATGATTCCGTCATGGACTGATCAGCAAATATTAAATGACACACGTGCTGTCCAACCATTAGATATTATTGTTCATCAATCTGGTGCCCCAGCCCTCATGTCCAGCTCACAGGTCTGCATCATACACTCTTTGTAATGCAATATAACATATACATTACTGGGCTGTCCCATTAATATAGTAATCAGCCACACAAGGTAATGATGAGATGCTTTTCATCACAACATGAGGTCCAAATAAAACATTCAGACATTCTCCTATCCGTACCCATCTTAGAGATTTCCAACGAAGCAATACAAACATCTCTGTAAAATGCAGTATCCGAGACCACCGGCGATCACCCGATTTCTTAACCAGGATTCTTATATATAGAAGCCCTTTTTCATAGGCATAGAATGCCGCCCTCTTCATATGACAGTTAACCGTCATTCCCGTCAGCGTATAGAACGCCGGGATATGTAGTCCTTTCAGTCATCTCGCATACCATTCCGTGTAAAACAAGACTACAACTCCCAAGAACACCCGCGTCAACCCCCAATGAGCTCGCTGTCGTCCGCATAGCAAAACATTACTGAGACGAGAAAATAACAGTGCAGTTAACCAGTCGGATGCCATTTGCAGCTCCCACACAGGACTGCGCTGCCTTTGAGAAAGCTGCGCTCACCGTTTTTTTCCGGTCCCCCGGTAGACTCCACCGAAGCAGATAGCACCTCTTCCCCAGCCATGTCTCACACCGCTTCTCGGCACCTGGGCAACCAAGTATCTTACGTCACTTCCGGCAACACAAACTGCTCAAACGTTCTGTGCTTTGAAGTCCACACATGCCATCTTGTGGTATCATAAGGGAATTACAGCTGCTATTTGGCTGCTGAAGCCTCATAGGCCGTCACCGCTTTCTGTTCTGGTGCAAGGCCATAAAGTGCGTTTTGTCACCTGAATGGGCTGCCAAACCACCCCAAATGTGAAAAAAAAACAAAAAACCTGCACCTCTTTTTTGTTTTGTTTTTGCAACTACAGTACAGTATGACATGACATTGGCTAATTGTGTAGGATCCATGCAATAATGTGCGCTTTGTTACTGGTAAAACATACCGTATGTGATGCGTGTTCAACACTATAGTGTGAATTGGCGCATTGACTCTGATGTTTTGATGTGTTTGCATTGATTTCAATACAAAATATCTCAGAGGGAAATGAATACGTGTGAATGCAGCCTAAGCACCTATTCACACCATGTCCTGCTTGCAAAAAAAAAAAGCATATAATCAGTGATAACTAAAAGCAATGCTCTCCAGCCTGGAGCCAAGGACGGACGTGTGACATTTCCACAATTACTAGGTGCAAATAAATAAAATAAATAAAGCCTAAAAATTAAAACAAACAGCCACCTTAACTTGCATTATTTGTTTTTTTCCCGTTATTAATGCATGGACACACACACTATACTGAAAAATGTTGTTCCTTCTATTTACACGTGTACCATATATTAAAACACGGCTTAATGCCCTTTATAAATGTGCATCAATGAACACACATTAGGTGTACAAAAGTCAGATGGCTTGAGCAGACCAGTCTAAATTTAACCTAAATTATTAAAAAGAAAAGAAATTAGTGTAATGGATAGGATGAGCTCATAGTCTGGGGGGCGGGGGGGCTCTGATGAAACATACAGAGGCACAACCTGACAGAAAGATGTCAACCTCTTTTGTAGTTTGGCTGGGAGATGCATGCATAGTTGATGGAAATCTATAGGGTTAGTCACAAAAGGGTGAAGAGTTTGAAGAATGCAGAATTGAACATTCTAGGACAACATAACTGATTTGGAAAAAGTCTCCAACTCAGCTCACTTTCCAGTTCAGCTATGTTGTCCTAGATTGTTCACTTCTCCAAACTCTTCACCCTTTTGTGAATAACCCTGCTTGTGTTTACATCTGTGCATGTATTCCTTGGCCTCATTCTGCAAAGAAAGCTCAGAATAGCAGAGGACAATTGCATAGCTTTATAAGTATAAGAATGTATAGGAGGAAGAGGAGAAGCAGGAGGTAGCAGCCCCTGATTTCCTGCTTTTATGGTAATGATCAATACTAATCTGATGGGTGACTATAGAAGGAAATGCTTTCTAAAAGGGGATTTTTGTACTAAAGTCCCATGTCCCTCAATGAACGAAAAGGAAAGGTCAGATTCCTTAGTCATCTCTCCTACCTAACCAGATTGGAGATTAAAGAAGAACTCGGGGCAGAATAAAACATAACCCATGCAGTTTTGGTGCTAAAAAAAAAGAAGAGGATATACTCACCTGAACCTTGGTCCCATCTGGCTGCTAGACCGTTTACAACAGCCTGTCTCCCCATCTGCTACGGCACTCTAAGGATCCAGGAGTCATCATGTCTATTATTGTGTATTGGACGCGAGGACGCTGATTTTAGTTTCAGAGAGTATCTCTTTTATATTTTTACACCCCAAGCCAAGATAAGCACTTCACTCTTCAACTGCAAAGGTTGTGTTTTATTCTGCCTGAAGTTCTTCTATAAAGGGCCTGTTCACAAGACGTCCGTTTTCTGTGCTGACCTGATCCGTACGCTCCTGCACTAAAAATGCATCCCAATGTATCCCTGTGTGTTTTATGGGCTACAGTTCTCACGTGCGCAGTCTGTTCAGGTTAAGACAGAAAAAATACTGCATGTCACATTTTGTACGGTCAGGAAACGGTCCGGAAACGCAGAACGCGTCAAAAACGCACTGCAGCTAACATACTGACAGCCCCACTCCAGCAAAAAAAAAACATTTTTTAAACTGGAACGCATTAAAAACACATATCACCGCGTCTGCAGATCCGCACCTGACCAGGACCTGAAACTCATGTGAATAGGCCCTAAGGAACAGCAAATCCACTGATGCGGTCTTTCCTTTGTACTCCCTACCTGTCAATAGGTTCAGTTTTTGGCAAAGCAATAATAAAGCCTGATTGACAGAGTACAGCTGCATATGGAATTACAGGAGGCAGATATCAAGACAAATTCAGTTAAATATGCCAGTTTGATGTAATTTAGAGCTGCAGCTAACGATTATTTTCAAAATCGATTAGTTAGCCGATTATTAAGTTCGATTAATCGGTTAAACTATAAAATAAAGTTTAAAAAATGGCTCCAGTGATAGGACTACTAGTTTGTATTGAGGTTGTAGTCCATCACAGGAGCAAGCTTAGACCGATAGAAGTAAAAAAGATAGTGTGGTGTGCAATATAGTGAAATGTAAAATTATACAGCAATGCATGCAGAATGGCAACGGCTATAGAGGACTACAAAACCCACATTATCCAGCACAATGCAGAATACCGCCAGCTATAGAGGAATACAACAAATCCCAGCAATAGTACATTATAGCTAGCAGCATTCTGCATTGCGCTGAATAATGTACTATTGCTGGGTTTTGTAGTCCTCTATAGCTGGTGGTATTTAGCATTGTACCACTTTATAATGTATTATTGCTGGAATTTGTTGTATTCTTCTACAGCTGGTGGTATTCTGCATTGCGCTGTATAATGTATTATTGCTGGGACTTGTAGTCCTCTATACAGCGCAATGCAGAATATCACCAGCTATAGAGAAGTACAACAAAATCCCAGCAATACATTATAGAGCACCATGTGTGGGAAAGTGCAGGCTTACCTGAGCAGTCTTCCAGCAACGTGCTTCTGAGATCAGACCTGTCTATCAGCAGCTGTCATCCCCCCACACCTGCTCCTCCTTACTACATCTCCCCGCATCCCTGTGTCAATCATGGATGTGGATGGGCAGGAAATGTGGGGAGGAGGTGCGGGTCTGGCAGCGGCGAGCGTGAGGTGGGGAGGAGGTGCGGCGCACAGCGTGTGGAGCTGTGAACAGGGCCAACTGATCGGAAGCCGATTAATCAATTATTGAAAAAGTTGACAACTTTTTCAATAATCGATTATAATCGATTATGTCGATTAGTTGTTGCAGCCCTAATGTAATTTACACATAATTATTTTTAATAGGCAAAACAGCTGGATTGTTTTTTTAGTATGCGTCTGGTGTAACCGTTGTGACATGGACACTTCAGTAGTTTAGGTCAATTATCTCACAGATACAATACAGACATCAAACAAACATTTGGAATCATTTTTATTTTGCTTTTACTGGGGAAAAAAAATACTTTGTGTAAAAGAAAATACAGTGTACAGCTACAGCAATTCTACACTTTACATATGAGGAAGTTAAAGTAGAACTATTATGACCTCCCAGAAAAAAAAAATGTGCTGCAGCACTAAACTACAAGTTCATAGGCACCCCTCTGCAAAGTTCCACAAATAACTGTTGATCCTGCCAGTGAATTTCACCTAATGCAGCTTCCTGTGATGGGGAGGCGATGATCAGCACTGCTCCTGAATTCAGAGCAGAAAGTTGGCACTCTTGTAGGCTGTACGCACTTGCACTATAGTGGGATTATTGTTGTAGGAACATGGTAATAAGCACTGTCACTACTAATTCACAAGCCTGTTGCATGACAATCAGCACCGAGCCACACCTAGTCCCGCACACTGCTTTCTGGATCAACAGCATTGTCTGTTGCTGAAACCCTCCTACTCCAAGCCACAGTGTCTATGAGGGGGAGTGTGTGAAGCACAAATGAAGAAGAATTCTGCTTATTAAGGGAAAGTAAAGGAAGTTTTTTGTTTGCTTTATAAAGCTGCCCATACACCTATAGCTTATCTGCAAATTTTCTATGATCAGATGGAAAAAGTGCAACAGATTCCTCCATCTACACTAATCTGTGTGGATGGAGGAATCTCTCGCTTGGCCAAGCTTCAGTATCTTGCTAGTCGGCCCCGCTGGCTCTCAAAATACCTGAACAATGCCTGCATCCAATCAGATTGTTCAGGTATTTTGAGAGCCAGCGGGGCTGATTAGCAACATACTGAAGCTTGGCCCAGTGGGAGATTTCCCCATTCACACATTTTACCATAGATGGAGGAATCTGTTGCACTTTTTCCATCTGACCACAGCAAATCTGCAGATAATTGTAAGGTGTATGGCCAGCTTTAGGCTTAATCCCATAGTATCTGGGTTTGGCACTTGTTTACAGGAGCCTTTAATCACACGTTATGTAGTATTACTCTTTTCACTCTCTGGTTGGGTAGGTGGTCTTTCTTTGGTTGGGTCTTTCTGACAACCAGGATTTGTCTCTGAAAGAAAAAAAAGATAGAGAATAAAAATACTGAAAAATGCCCTTGGCAGATGGGGACAGAACGAGGCATCTCCTACCTGGCTTTGGCTGATTCTCTAACTGTGCCTCTGGCTGCTCACACCACAGTCTGTAGTTTGGGTTGTTGAGGAAACGTTTGGTGAGACCACAACTCAGACATCTAACGACTGTTTGCCGCTGTCCTCTGCGTTCTGTTTGGAACAAAGTTTTTTCAAGTTTTATTAACCAATAAAACAGATCCAGTCTAGTCAATGGAAACATTTGTTTTTGGTTATTTTTGTGAACCCTACTGGTATTATTATTAGAACCTGGTTATTTTCCATATATAATGTGTTATATTCATAGAACACTGGTTTCTCCCCAGATAGGTGCTCTTGCTGAGCACCTTTTGGGGCTAGAAGTACAAATCAGTTTATATTGTTATCACAGCTGTGAAATCTAAATTTACATGCGCTTGTTGGTTTATACACCATCTTCAACAGGTATTTATATTTCAGAGGGCTCCTTGAGGATTGAAATGGACTTTTTACATTTTTTTTTAATACATGTTTTACACACGTATTGTAGCAGATTGCCTTCTTTGATGTCATTGTAGTGGTTTCTAGTTTATCCCTAGCCAGCACACAAGGCGATGCAGTTCTAGTTTTGGTTCATTCTAGTCTAGGAAACATACTCACATAACAAGGTCTAGTGATGGATAATATTTCTGTAAGGTTTGAGATTTATACAGCGAGTCATTTTGCACAATTATTATTATACAGGATTGATATAGCGCCAACAGTGTGCACAGAGCTTTACAATGCATATTTGTGATCCCCTGCCAGTCAACTTATATTTATTTCCGTCAATCTTTCTTAACGCTCTTTGAGGGGGAAGCCATGAATGTTTGGGATCCCTTGCCACACTGATACCAGTCTGTATACTTTTCAGCACCAAGTTGGTTCTTCAAGAGCGAGAGTTAAATGCCTCTCCTTCAAACACCACTCCAGTGCTGATGTGTACTGTTTTGCACCACTACTGCTCAGGAATGTTAATGGTATGGGTTATGTGCAACTGTATTGTAGTCTTCATATCTGACAGTTTATAGGGATTAAAATAATATCAGAGCAAGGGAGCTGTACTTTAGTAATCTTCCAGGTTCCCACAGTCCAGGTAGCACCATCAAGTTTCTACCCATTCCCAGGTTGACTTGTTCACCATTATGCAGTAAAGTACAACCTTAAAACTGGTTCTAAAGGTCAAACAATTCATATTAATGCAGGAATGGCTAGCCATATTAAGAAAAAAAAAAAAAAAACCCACATGAAATTCATCAGTAGATCGAGACATAAAACAGCTGATCTGAATCTTAACTTTTTTGATAAAAATAGAGCCTGGCTCCGATTACTTCCACCATCCCATCGGTCCTTTATTAGTCAGTTAGGTCATCCATCTTATTAGAGTTGTATTGCAGGTGGGCCAAGTCTGAGTTTGCACATAACATAGCTACCCATACCGCTGATCTACAGATTGCTTGACATGTGGTTTTACTGGAGACAACCTCTGAATTTTCTCATCACATGCCCCCCCTGTTTATGACAAACTCACCTTATAACCTTAGACAATATAAAAGAAAGCCTATATTTATTTAAATCAGAGAAAGGCAAGCTTTCAGAGTTAGAGCAGCTTCAATAAAACCATTGTGATAAGGATACTGGTACTCATCAAAACCTGTAATTCAGTAAGATCGGACTTCAGTATGTTAAGCTTACTTCTCTGACGCACAGTACATGTGATTCCCGAAAGAAGGAGGGAGTTGCATCTCTTGCAAATTGTTCTTTTGACAGATGGGTCCCTAAAAAAGGAATTTAAAGCAGACGTTTTTAGTTTTTACAAATGCGGCTGCTGCCTGAAAGATATAATGCCTGTAAGAGATTATCTAATAATCAATTCTAGTCACACTTCACAGGGGCTGAAGTGTAATCTTTGGAAAGCATTGACTGTCAAGATAATTTCTAAATATCACGAGTATCATAGCTCTAGGTCTGTTCATTTGGATTCTGCAAATGACAAAATGTGTTCTGTTTATTATATATTAATGTATAGCTCTGACCTATTCCAGGGCTTTAAAGAGAGCAATAAATCATTTACATCATTCCCTGTCTCCACAGAAACTTAAAATCTAATGGCCTACTGCCACACAAAACAAACTAAGCTTAGCAAGGCAGACGACATTAAAGTGACACCCCCTCCCATGCTGCTTTAAGGACTTACCTTAAATGATGCCTCTTGATCCGATCATCTTCTCCTTTCCAGTAGTTTTCCCTGGAGTTCTGCTTTAATTAAGCACTACACTTTGGGGTAACCTTTTACTTTTTATGCAGCTAGTGCCTCTCATGATAATCAAATCCAGGTCATCAGAGCTACTAACCACTTAGCTGCCATACACAACATATATTTAGACATACCTATGTGTGTGTATGGCAACAGTATGTAATTCTGCACTCCAATCTTAAATGGTCTACTGCTGCGCGGTCACGGAGTTGCCCATCATCGACGATTGCGCTGTGGGTGCCATTATTTTTTGAAGGCACCCCAGTCGTGCCGATTGTGCGGTCTCCTGCCACGATCCCGCCCGTGCATCCGAACACGATTGCAGCTAAAACAGCCGCGCGTCGTGTATCGCAAAACAAAAAAGGTACATGTACCTTTTTTTCCTGAGATTGCAGCACGGATGTACCCCATTGAAATCAATGGGGCCGCGTGGCAATCGCTGTCTGCAATTGTTATTGTACATGACCAAGCGATCCCGGGATGCGCATCCCAGATCGCTCAGGTCTGCACCGGGCCTTAATGCTGGTGTCTGATGTATGTTAAAAAGTCCAGCACTTCCTGCTGGGCTCAGCTTCATTTTAACTAAATACAGTATAAGAATGAACAGTGGGCACAGAGAAACAGATCTTCTATTATGGGAGTGAACAAATGTCACTGGAGAAGGAGAATGGAACACTGCCCTGCAATTTTGTAGTTGTACTTGTTCTTCTGCTCTATGTGAAGGTCAACCTACAGACATGCATTTTTCTTATCTTTTTCATGCAACAGCATATACTGCATTTATCGATGTAAATGTACCCACAATCTAAAACTAGTGTTAATTAAAAAACTTACTGTCTCAGGACTAATCGTTTGCTAATCGTTCGTTCTGTATGGCAATAAAACCGGGCAAGCTCTACATTCTCAGGGTTTTGGGCCAAAACACAATGTGCAGCCTTGAAAAAAAAAAAAGGAGATTGTAGTTAAAAACGCAGCAAAAAAATCAATTGACAAATGAGAACTTTTAATTACTTGGATCTACACATGAGTGGAAGCTAAAATGTAGTCTGATTAGGCTAATTATCCTCATTTACATGGACTAATTAGGTCCAGCAGCAGATTCCTACAGCTGAAATCCCATCTGGTTCTGAACAACTGCAGCCGCTCAGCCGTTACAAAGCAATGACAGGCTGAGAAGAGTGCAGCAGTCTGCAGTTATCCAACTCTATTCACACTGTCAGCAGTTATCTGTGGCTAGGCACAGAGGTCAGACCCTGAATGCAGACAGATTGTGTCTGGGGCTGGCCATCTGTCCCCAGCCGAAGGTAACCGCTGGATGTGCAGATATATGCTAAAAGCGGCAGGGTGCTGCACATCATGTCATTGCTTTGCACAGGAAGAGTGTGGCTGCTGTCTAAAAGCACCTGTGATTACAGCTGCAAAAATCTGCAGATTTTTGCAACAGCAATCTGCTGCTGGACATAATTAGCCTGTGCAAATGAGGCCTTAGTCATAACAAATAAACATTATATAAACAAATAACACAAACCTTTTATAATGCCAAATATTTATCCAACAAGACAATAACTTAAAACAAAATGGCACAAGTGAGAACAAATTGTGTTCTGGAAGAGCTATCTTAGAGTCCTGAGCTCTGCACAAATGAGATGCTGTGGCATGACCTAGGGAGAGCTATTCCTGCAAGAAATCCCAGAAATATTATCCAAGAGTTATGTCAAATGCTGTGGTCTACAATTCGTCCTAATCATCTGCAAGTCGGTTAAGCATCTATGGGAAATATTTGGTGGAGGTTCATTTCTGCTAAAGGAGGGTCTAAGGCTTCATTCACACCAAAACTGCATTGAAATTGCATGTGTTTTGCCACGTTTTTGATGCGTTCCGATGCAGTTTTTTTTTTAACTCAAAATGCAAATTAGACCATATGTCACTTCCTTCTTCCTGTCACAGCACTTTCCTCCTTAATTCTCTAGCTCAGGCATGCTTCCTTTGTTTGAAGGCATGGTGTTAGTGTTGGCTATAGCCATTCTCACCCAACGTAGGAGGTTATTATAATATAATAATAATAACGTCGTTATTGGGTGCACCCCTTGCTGACGGTCAGAGATATTTGATTATTAGATTAGCATCCATGTCTGGCATGTTTCCAGAGCTGTTCCATTCCTAATCTCCTCTACCAACTCACAGAAAGTCCCCAGAAGATGACATTACTAAATCTGTGGGTTTTTATTTTTTAGTTGCGTTCCGTTTGCATGCGTTTTGATGCAGCTAAAATAGTGCAAGCAGTACTTTTTCTGGCTGCATCGGAACGGACCAGTCTGGTGTGAACAGAACAACAGAATCCCATTGGAAATCATTGTGCTGCGTTTTTGATGCAGCTCAAAAACGCAACGGACTGCATCTGGTGTGAATGGGCCCCAACAGTTTGTCAAATACAAGGGTTCACTTTTTTTCCAGTGTAAACTATGAATGTTTAAAGCAGAACTAGTTCTTAACCCAACACTGCAAGGGTTAAATGCTCATTTATTTTCATCTAGGTGCTAAAATAAAAAAAGATATACTGACCCGATCCTCAGAGCATAGTTTTGCTCAGAGTTCTGCTTTCAACATGTTGTTAAAGAGTACAAGTGTTTGCATGTTGCTAGTTTCAGCAGACTGTGTTAATCTAATTTGGCATCTTTTACTGATCCGCTCATCTGGACACATTTTTAAGTGACATTAAAGTCACAATTCTTTTCCTCTCCCCCGCCATGCTGCTTTAAGGACTTACCTTAAATGATGCCTCTTGGTCCGATCATCTTCTTCCTTCCACTTGTATTCAGCCGTCGTTCCAGCGCTGGTGCCGGTCTCTGATCCAGCGCTGGTGCCGGTCTCTGATCCAGCGCTGACTGCTGTGTCTTCTGTGTCCCACTGTGTTTTTCCAACGTGCATGCTCCCGGCTGTGTGCATTCACCTCCACTGTGTCTCTCCTCTTTTCCACGCCGGAGATCTGCACTGCGCATGCGCCTACCCCATCATCCTGCCCCACAACGTTTTACATTTTTTAAAATGTTTTTGCATGTATCTACTGCTTGCTAGATATGCAAAACAAAAAACAAGTGTTTAAATTCTACTTTAAGTGCAGTTTCTGGATAACATTTTAGAAATGAATAACGTTTATTATACTTAATGCATCAGCATCCCATACTATTCATTCACATTTAACTATATCAGAGCGGACAGCAGATATCAATGCTCTCCTTCCTTTTGTGGTCACTGAAATAAATTTGGCATTTCATGAATGCCTCAGTAACATAACAAAAACAGCAACCACATAAATTAATTTATAACTAGCTTTTCAAGCAAGGTGCAAAAGGAAGAGGTTTCAACAATACAAAACACAAAACTTTCCCAGCACACTCACCAGCTAGCCTGCAACCCCCCCCCCCCCCCACAAAAAAAACCACAGATTACACAATCACTTGTTGGCGAGTGTGCTGGGAATGTTTTGTGTTTGTACTTTGGAAAGCCCTTCCATTTGCACCTTACTTTAAAAGCCAGTTATAAACTGATTTGTGCGGTTGACATTTTTGTTTTGTTGGATTTGATGTGGGGACACACTAGAGGTCTTTAGCTGCCGTTGTGATGTGCAGGGATTTTGAGGTGTCCCTGTGCCTTCTGGCCATACACCTATCAATTTTTTTAGTTCAACCCGCGGGCTGAACGAAAAAGTTTGACACAATTCCTCCATCAACACAAACAGCGTGTCCATCGAGGAACCCCACTGTTTGCACTGTATTCTGACAGTTGCTGCTGGCCCCTGTCAGAATACCCGATCAGAGCAGGCAGCTCATTGGCTGCCGGCTCTCATCGTGCAAAGATTTTCCAGTCATCTCCTTCGACCAGTTGGTCGAGGAATGCCGGCTGAAAGGACCCGGCAGCCCCACACACTGTGCCAATTTCGGCCGGTACATTAAGAACCGGCTGTATATGGGCACCTTAAGAAGAATGGGCTGCCTCCAGGCAAACCTGCCCTCAATGTATCCTTTGCTATATATGTTCCAAGATGGAGGCTCTCATAGATTAGAGTTAGGACCACACTACACAGAGGAGCCTTGACAAGGCAGTGTGGCTTCCACATATTCTGCACAAGTCATGCAACTAAAACCTCTGTTTTTAATACATATTGTTAGGGAGTGTCATTTTTTTTTTTTTTTTTGCTGTCTAGCTGGTGAGTGTGTTGCGAAATCTTTGCGTTTGCCTCAGTAACATAATACACCACAAAAACAAGTTAACATGACTGGAGTGGTTGAGATTTTAGCATAATACTATAATAATATTACCTGGTAAAGAAAGTTAAGCCGCTGAAAAGCATCCTTGTCCTTAATTTGACCGGCCATGTTCCAGAAACAGTAGATGAACCTGTATATATAAAATGGAATTGTTACCGTTATATAAACTTCCACACCATACTGTATGGCACAGGATTTACAAACCTGTCAAAAAGTGTTTAGTAAAGAGGCAGAGCTGATATTTTCATTGGTGAAACTACTTACTTAATTTTTGTCATCACTATGGTTGAAAACGATCATTGATTTGATCCCATTAGCTATCAGAATATGGAACAAATGTTCTGAAGCAAATGTGTATTTAATTTTTCTGCTTGCCTTTAAGATGCTCTTTTCTGAATACTCCAGAACTGAACAATCCTACTTGTTCATAAAGGGGCCCATAGTTGTGTTTGCCATAATTAGGCCTGCCTGTACTGTGCTGGCAGATTTCATTATCAGTTGTAACTTACATGTGCAGCACTCTCTGTAAAGGGTTAAAGATTTCCAAGCTTGGCTGGATCACTGTATGTTAATGGACTGAAGCTGGCCCCATACACTTATCGTGTAAAAAAAAAATAAAAAAAAAAAAATAAAAAGCTTGATTCCCTTCTCCAGACTATTGTATTCTGACAACGGAAAGTGCAAACATACTCCCATTGAAGTCTATGGAGCCAAAAAACCATACGATTCTGTCCAAAGAGAAGCTTGTGTACTTTTTTTGAGCTTCAAGCTATAAAGCGACAATACTCAGGAGTGAACAGGCACCACTGAACATAATGGGATTCCTCATGTTGAGCATTTTCACGCTGTGGAAAACCTGCAGCAAAACTCTCAAGTATGAATGGGGGCTAAGTGATCAGTCACTTGCTTGGTATACCTGTGTCTGCAGCACCCATGTGTACATACAACTGTACTCTCATTGATGAGACTCAGGGTAGCAGCACAATACCAGCATTTAATCCTGAATAAGAAGATATAAAGAAAGTTTTATCTAGTTCAGCATGTCCTACATACCTTAGTTGCAATGTAAAGACCTACCTGGGAAAACTTAGATCAGCTACAATCCCATGGTGAGCTTCCCCTCACTCCTTTAATCACATACACCTACACTGGAGCACAGGAAGAATTTCCAGGCTGGGACCTAGCAGAGCAGATCCATCGAAGGCGCGTAGACTGACCTCAGAGACGCATGGTCTTCGCCAAAATGGCGGCTTCCATTAACTCCTGTAGTAGTAACTGCAGACAATTTTGTAAAGCCGAGTTCCAGTAGGAAGTCATAACAGTGGAAGCTCTGCTTCTAGCATTTGAGGTCGCTTCCTGTGGTGCAGCAGCCATTTTGACTTTCCGTACGAAGTGACTTCGCCAGACGTTCCGATATTTGCAGTTCCTTGTGGCGCTGTCAGTGGTGGCGGCGCATAGTGGAGCTGGAAGTCGGGCCTGTGGTGAACAAAGCCGGTGACTGAAAGGTCAGGACCGGCCGCGGTGCCGTCATTCTGGGAGGATGTCTAGTGAGGAGAGCTACCTTGCCATTCTGCGCTACCTGACCAACGAGCGGGAGCCCTATGCCCCGGGCACCGAGGGGAATGTCAAGCGCAAGATCCGGAAGGCGGCTGCTTGCTATGTGGTCAGAGATGGCATCCTGTACTACCAGCGCAGGCACCGGGACAAAGAGCGCTTCACCGAACTGGAGGTGGTGCTGCAGCCCGACCGCAGGAAGGGGCTCATACAAGAGGCGCACATCGGGGAGGGGGGGCTGCACCTCACCCGGCTCCAGACATGGCACCTCCTGTCCAAGCGCTACTGGTGGAGAGGTGAGCACACCCCCAGGGTAACCCATATTACCTTCCTCCGCTTTCTGAAGACACCTGCAGGGAACCCATATCTCCTTCCTCTGCTCTCTGAGCACACCCCTGGGGAACCCATATTACTTTCCTCCGTTTTCTAAGCACACCCCCAGGGTAACCCATATTACATACCACCACTCTGAGCACACCCCTAGGGAACCAACATGACCTTCCACCACCTCCCATGTGGTACCCATATACTTCCTTCACTCTGTGTAACCAATATCTCCTTCCTCCACACTCTCTCTCTGTGCACCCTCTGTAACCAATATCACTGTCCTCCGCACTCTCTCTCTCTCTCTGTACACCCTGTGTAACCCACAGCTCCCTTCTCCACGTTTTCTATTCACTCTGTGTAACCCATTTCTCCTTCCTCCACTCTATACACCCGGTGTAACCCATATCTCCTTCCTCCTCTCTGTACACCCGGAGTAACCCATATCTCCTTCCTCCACACCCGGTGTATGTAAATATTTATTTACTTTTTAAATTCCAATCGTGGTAAAATCGCGGCAAAAATGCAATGCACTATGTTCCAGATCTGGTCCAGAAAATGATGTGAACCCAGCCTAATGCAGGGCTATGGAGCCTGCATTGTAGTTGATGATGCTAGTGGTTCTTTGACAACCAGAGTGAAGGGTAAAATATGCTGTAGGGACTTGTCTAACATCCTGGTGGGAGCAGGGATCAGATGAGTAAAGCTGCATTTTCCCTGCAGGTGGGCTTTAACACATGAGAAGTGTAGCACAACTAACTGACTCCTTGTGCTGCTTCTCCCTCTCTCAACCTAAGCTCTGTAGTACTGGAGAGTCAAATTCACGTCCTGTCACTACTTACATGTAAACGAAGGATGGAAAAACCCCCCCCCCCCCGATGATGATTGGAAATCTGATTCAGTTGTCAAAGCAAGAGGTTTTCTGCACATTGCTTCTGTTTGGCCTTACATGAGCTAAGGATTACAAACCAGCTTATATGATTCTGCAGTGCATAGAGATGTCTTTAACCCTTTCCCTGCCAGCGACCTGAGGCTTGCCACACTAGCAGCGCAGCCTGTAAAAGGACTAGTGGCCAGGGGTTTACCATTTATCCAGCAGGCTGGTGCCTTTCTAATGGAAGTGATTCAGGTGGCTGTAAAGCCGCTTGATCACTTTCACTGGTGTAGAAGCAGGCCGTCAGCCCTCTATGTGATGGCAATATAGTAAAAATAAAAACAAAAAACTTTCCAAAGTTAAAATTGAATAAAACCAAAATCCAAAATATTTTTTAGCCTACATACAGGCACATATGAATGTAAACAAGTGCGTTGGGTGTGCGTATGAAAACCTGGATAGTGCCACACATGTCTGATAAACAGTTGCATTAATATACTTTGACATGAAAAAATCTGCAACTGCCACCATTTTATTCTACAGGATCTCTGCTTTCAGGACATATATCATTATTTTTATGGGGCTGGGGAATTCGGTTATCTTGGGGCCTAAAATGTGTGTTTTGATGTGTGCAAAAATGATTCTGGTAGCAAAAGGGGTTAAAGCGGACCTTTACACTCAAAAATCACATTCTCTCCATGCATCCCTCCTATGTACGATGATAGATAATAACATAGACGTGTCAGATGTAAAATGCTGTGATTGGGAAATACTTACACTTGCAGAGCAAAAGGTGCAAAACGACTTCAGTGTGCCAAAGCAATGCACACTGGGCTTGCCTTGTCATCACCAGAGCATTGCTAGGAAATCTCATCTGCATGAAAGGCATTTTCCTCCCCTGAGGTGATGCGCATGGTCACATGTCCTAGTCACATGTGCCAGAAATCCAGGAAGTAAAAGGAGAGCTAGTAATCTGCCCTTAGTAAACATGGCCACTGTCAGAAGACTGGGGAAGAAATAAGGTATGCAAAGAATACAAAGCCGGCAATTATCTAGAAGTATGTGTTTATAGATCGTCATTACTAAACATTTCTATTGGTGTGTTTTGTTGTTATTTTAAAGATATGGGTAAAGGTCTACTTTAAATACACATTTTCAAGCAGTTTTATTGGCAACTCATTGTTCAGATAGATTCTGTATTGTTTGCACAAGTTTATTCATGCTACATTCATAATTGCCATTCATTATTTCTGTGGTTAGGCCTACATTTGATACGCAAGAGGCTCACACGAGAACTTTAATTCAGAAATACACACAGAGCTTTGGAGAGGTTGTCAGGGCTCGGAATTAAGCAACAAGGTTGTGATGCTGAGTGAGAAATGTTATTGCTGCTCTCAGCAGACTTCCTGTCTCGGTGGAGGACAATACAGGCAACTTCCTTCACTCAATTATTGGTTTACTTTGGTTGAATAGTTTTGCAGCAAATGTGAATGGATGTCTCAAATCTCAAACATTTTTAAGTTGTTAAAGTCTGGTACCGTAAAGCGACCCTTTCAAGTAAACCCAATTGATTGCATAACTGTCTGCAGAAGAAGAGCGTAGTTGCTTTCAACACCTACTGCCCAACACAGAAGAGAAATCTTCCTCTGGGAAGCCACACTTCAGCCCAGGGGCCATGTCTAGGTCACCTTCTTTAGCCCAGGAGGCACGTAAGTGACGCCCCCTTTAGCCCAGAGAGCATGCCTATGACAACTCTTTTAGCCTAAGGCAGGGGTGAGCAGACTTTGGCCCTCCAGCTGTTGTGGAACTACAAATTCCATGAGGCATTGCAAGATACTCACAGCCACAGGCATGACTCCCAGAGACAGATGCATAATGGTATTTGTAGTTTCACCACAACTGGAGGGCCAGAGTTTGCCCACCTTGGCCTAGGGGCATATCTGACACCCCCTTTAGCCCAGGGTCATGTCTGTGACAGTCACTGAGCCTTGTGTGAAGGCTGGGCATCATACATACAGGAAGTGGACCTACTGCAGTGCCTTCCAAAGAAAAGTAGGGAGAGGGAGAAATTCAAAGAACAGCGCCAGTTTGCTGCAAGCACCAGATGGAGAATCATATCATTAGAGAGAGAGAGAAAGATGTAGCTTGTTTTCTTTGCGTAATTTTTCAAATCGTATTCTAATGAGACAGCCAAATATCTATTTTTGATCCTCTTTTTTGACTTTGCTCCATCAGGCATTTTGAAAGAGATGAAAGATTACATCAAAAAGTGCAACAAATGCCAGGAGAAAATGGACCGATCACGCTTGACATATGACCCCTCTGAAATGCTGGAGGAGTTTGGACTTGAAGTACAGTTGGATGAAACAGATGATGAAGGCAGCCTTCCGGTGTCTAGTACCTGCGCTGATCCAAAACCTGCAAAAAAGAAGTCTGTGGCTAAGCATGAACTGGTCTTTGTAAGTCTTTTATTCCACTGAACATATCCTTGTCCCTATCTCAATGATTTAGAATCATTGACGAAAATGCTTTGAAGAGCATTCGTTTCTGCATTGGATATATTCTATCTATTCTGTGATGTAACTCTGGTGCAGAGAGCATATATAATATCCCCTTTTTGGGTACCTAGAAAATCTTCTAAAAACATTTTCATAATGCTCAGGTTTTAAAGGAAACCCTTTTTTTTCTCATGGTGGACATAGGAACAGGTTTAGCAGGTACAGTAAGCATGTTGCACTTGCCTGCCTCATGCTTCCTAGATCTGCCACTGTAGCCCCAAGAACCAGTGCCTGGGCCATCGACATACCTGAGTGCTCTTATGTGAGAGGGTTATACATAACCCTTTGTAAGCTTTATTTTGTCATGTATTTCAGGATACTGTGGAATTTCACACTAGAAGCACTTTATTGAACATTTGAGAGCCATACACCACATGCACCTTGATAAATGTAAAATGCTATGTTTGGATTCTGCTGGTGCTCTCATTTTTAAGCCATTCACCTTTGAAACAGAAACTGCCATCTATGATCACCAACACCTATCAACCCATGGTGGTGTTCAGCCACTCTCAGACACTCTACATCCTGTAATTAACAGTATGAGAGCTAAGAGGAAGTGCTTTCATGTAGTTTCCAGTCAGCAAATGAGCTGAGCATGTCTGGTATTGATGATGGGCATTCATTCCAGGCATGGTCTATGACGTCACGTGCTTGCCTACAGCTATGTGAGAGGAATGAAAGCTTGACCATGGACTCAAATACAGAATGCTGTATTAAAAAAAAATATTTGCACAAATCTATATATAGAATATGTGGGGGTGGTGTTACTTTCACTTGTCTGCATAGATGGAGGCTTGTCATTTGATTTGTTTACTGCTGTAGTCAATCTTCACTTCTAAAGGCTCAGCGTTTTTCACCTTGATGCATTCTCTGCATTAAGGTAAGCGCCCAGTACCTTTTTGCCCCCCCAGATCTGCAATCAATACAACCTTTCAGTGATAAAAATGATAAAAATAAAGCTTTAATATCACTTTAGGGTGGGGGGCACACGGGGAGGAGAGGTACAGCATACTTACGGTGTCTGCTATAAGGTGAACCTTTAACATTTCCTACTACATATAAAATACATTCATTTTTAACGCCTTTTTTTTTCATTAAAAATTATTTTTTTTATTGTAGGTTGATAGTAAAGGCACAGTTAAGCAGTCTTCTTCTAAACATAGCCAAGCTGTTCTTGATCAGTTAAACCAGCAGAGACTTGCTAATCAGTTCTGCGATGTGACACTACTCATTGAAGGAGAGGAATACAAGGCACACAAGTCCGTCCTAGCAGCCAGCAGTGAGTACTTCAGAGAGCTATTCATCGAAAAAGGAGCTGTCTCCAGCCACGAAGCCTTTGTTGACTTGTCAGGTAAGAATTACGTTTTGTTTGGTATTACATTTTTTTTTTAAAGAATATTTATTTATTAAAATTTTAAAAGTGAACACAGGAAAGCCAACATTTAGGTGCAAGGAACACAAAAAAGTCTGAAAATAAAAAAAGCAGCAGAACCTATAGGAATGCCAAGGGACCTGTGTCAGGACCCAATTCATCATGAAACCCATATGAGTTGTGTGTGATATTGAACAGACTTCATGTTAAAGCCCAGTAAATTCAATGGGGCCTGTATACAAATGCCATCACTGCATCATCACAACAAGAGTTACAAGGGTAACTGAGGACCTCTAACGGATACCCAGATATATGGGTAGCCCTTAGATGGCCACATGTGTTTTGGTATTGATTTAAAGCAGAATTAAAGTCTTGAAATAAGAAATTGCTAGAGACATGCAAAGTCTTTTCTGCCAAAAGACAACCTCTTTCTCCCAGCCTCTAGTGTATAGTGCACATATTCTATACTGTGAGATGCCAAGAATGCAGCTGGGTGTAGGGCACAATGTAACTGGGTGTAGGGGACAATGTAAATTCTGTTTGTATGTCTGGGAATTACATAATCCGTGAGAAGTGAAGCGGGGTAGAATATGGTGGCAGTAGGGGACAGTGTTGCAATAGCAAGACTGGACTTGTAGGGCAATCTAGGAGGTAAGTGTGCTATAATTTGCATGTATTCTGTGCATATTTCACATGATGGCAAAAGACTTGAGCTCCACTTTAACTGCATTGACTGTTTACCAAGTTAACTGGTGAAAACAAAAGGGCTCATGGGTAGTCCTGTTTTTGAGGGTAAAAATTACAGTGTTATGAATAGCCAGATTTCCATCCTTCAAACCTGTTATCTGTTGTGATGTGTTGGTTAAAAAAAAATCTGCATTTGTGTTTTTGGATTTGTGAAGAGTCTTTTAAATTCTGCGCATAGTAAATTCTTCACTGACTTTTTTTTTTTTTTTGATGGTTTGAATTGTAGGGTTTTGTAAGTCTAGCTTTCTGCCGTTGCTGGAATTTGCATACACCTCAGAACTAGTCTTTGATTTCTGCAGTATGGCTGACCTAGCTATGCTTGCTCGCCACCTCTACATGCATGAAGTGCTGGAAATCTGTGAATCTATTCACAAGAAGATGGAGGAAAAACGGCTAACCTTGTATCAACAGGGAGATGTCCAGACTGTCGCTTCAGAAAAGAATATGCTTAATGTCCATATACAAGGGCCTACACAAGAAGATAAGACCACCTCTCCAGTAGTGATAGAGGGCACCGATGAGCAACAGATACTGAGTGAAAACAATATGGAATGTCAGATTGCAGCACAAACACATTCAAGTAATAATATAATTGCCATTGCTTCACCAGAGAAAACCGTTATTTCAACACAAGTGTCTGTTCAGCTTACCAGTGACAATGTTGCAGCTACCTCTGTTGACGGCTCCACAGCAGTATACATTTCCAATATTTCAAATGCCCCATTAGAGCTGCAGTCGGCAGTTTTTGTTCCTGCAGTGATTGAGGTTGCTTCTGTCCAGCCAGAGTCTCATCAGATAGTAGTAGAATGTCTAGATGCTCAGCCTTTGTCTCTTATTAACAAACCTGCTTCTGAGGTGACAGACTGTGACAATGCAGCTAAAGACTCTGAAGAAGTTTTGAAAGACAACACATTGCAGACACACATGGAGTGCCAGGGTTCGCCATGTGTGGAGGACATAGAAGGTGATATGGACGTTGTAGAAGAAGATGCAGTGAAAAATAAAAACACTTTGAAGAGGAAACATGATAACATTCCAAGGTCTCCAAATTCTCCTGGGGAAGGAATGATGTCTGAAGCTGGAATTCCAGATAGTGGTGCAAGCACATCTTCTGAAGGAGATGCCGGAGCAAGGACATCAATTGAAAACACTGCCTTTGCAGCAGCAAGCTCTTCTATCCAGGACAGTCCCACCTCTTCAGATGAGGGCCCATATAAGTGCAAGTTGAGAGAGCGCTCTATTGAGGAAGGTGGATACATCCAGATGCACAGAGGAAAAGAAAGAAAGTATGCATCTAGAAAGACCAACCAGAAATCTGCAGTTCAACAGGTATACAATGTTAACTTTTGTTTCCTTAGAGCAGATTGACTTTTGGGTTTTTCTTTGGTTTTTGGCTGCCAATGGACTTGGATCTTTTTGAGTTTCTGGAAATCATATAATCAGTGCTAAAAGAATAGTGGCATTAGTACAATACCTCACAGATTGCCCAGCGTTATATAAGTATACAATTACTTAAAGGAGAACTATGACATGAGTGATTTCCACTCACGTCATAGTTCTAAGCCGACCTGTGACAATGAGACTGTCACAGGTCGGCTCAGTAGATCGGGAGGTGAGGGAAAACCCTCTCCGATCTGCCAGCGCTGACTGGCGGAACGGACGGGGGAGGGGGCGGGTACAGCTGGCTCTGCCTCTAGATAGGCAGAGCCAGCTGTCACTCACGCAGCTGGGCGGATCCCATCATCTAAGTCGGGATCCGCTCCAGGTGCGGCGTCTCAGTATACCGCGAGCTGTAGCTCGCGGTATACTGAGCTTAGGGTGACGGGAGGACGCTAGTTTGTGTCCTCCCGTTACCCCAAGGAGAACTATGGGGAAAAACACTGACCCCATAGTTCTCCTTTAACGTATGTAGACCCATTAGGGGGATTTGTATTCCATGTCTGTACCCATGTTGTTACTTTTCCCACCCCCTCCTGCTGTAATTGTCAGGGCAGAGACTACACATTAGAATGGCTCCATCATGAGGCAAGTATGGGGCTGCAATTGCTAGTCTCATAGCTTTGCCTGACTACAGTACGTTTAAATCACAGATGGGCAGGCTTTAACTGATTGTCAACTTCTTATCTCTATACTGGTTCCAGGCCAGACTCAGACAGCACTGTAGGCAAAATATCACCATGCCAGCCAGGGAACTAGCACTCTCAAAAGCAGCGTTCCCCAATGACAGCCTCCATGATGGTCCATATTTTGGTCAAAAGACACCGGACTATTGTTTTATTTAACAATTTTATGATTTTAGGGCTTGTGTTAGTACATTGATTATAGCCAGTCTAACTAAATGTAGTATAGCTCCAAAGCAATGTACTATCAGGGTCAGCAGACTGAATAACATAGGGAAGCTGCTCGTCGGGCTCCACTGTCTGCTCGTCACAGACGAGTGGACGAGTGGATTTTTCGAGCCCTGTATATTATACACCTTTTATTTTTTACTTTTCTCTTGTCTATAAGGTTGCCAGAAAACTGGTCGAAAGAGGTAAGAAAAGGATGTTGCCACCCAAAAATGAGGTTGTAAAGGAGGAAGAGGAACATGCGTGTAAAGAATGTGGAATGGTGTTTGGACGCAAATATGCTTTGATCATGCACGGCATAAAGCACAATCACAAAGCTAAAGAATTCAAATGTCCGGTGAGTTGTGATTTTTCTGAAAGCTGTCTATATGAAATGAAGGCTGTTGATGGATTTCACACCATACAATAATACTTGTCTAGCCTAATATGAATAATTGTGAAAATTGGACATTTCGAGTGTAAGGAAGACCGTCATTGACCCACAAAACTTTATATGGCTTTGACGTAAAATGTGGCCTTCACAGAATGGGAAAGCAGCCCTCAAATATATTTTTAATATTTGTATATGCAGATGGATAAAGGTTTAATGCCTTAAAAATAAGAGCTTTATGAACATATCATGATTATCCTCTTGCTGACCTGGGTGTTTATACCCCCTTCCTGTCCAGGCCATTTTTCAGTATTCAGCGCTGCGGTACTTTGACTGACATTTATTCCGTCATGCAACGCTGTACAGAAATTAATTTTATACCATTTTTTTGGGGGGACAGAGCTTTCTATTGGCGGTATTTAATCACCACTGGCTTTTTTTTTTTCTCAACTATATGATGAAAAAAGTACCGAAAATTTTGAAAAAAAACCTGTTCTCCCTACTTTGTTATAAACATTTTATTATTACCCAATTTTTTGGTAAAATATAAAAGACGGGGTCACGTCGGGTAAATAGACACCAAACATATCAAGCTTTAAAATTGCGCGCAGCTGCTAAATCGCAAAAAACTACCATACCCAAAATTAACCATAGCCGACGCTTTAAAAGCTTTTACCGCTCATCAGTTTAGTGTTATCAGTCATTAATGGCCCTAGAATTATTGCTCTCACTGCGACGTTCGCGTCAATATGCAACGTGCGGCGCAATGGATGTAATCGTCGTTTTCGCACATAGGCGGACTCAACGCATGTTGGGGCGGGGGACTTTAATTTTTGTTTTTTTTGTTTTTATTGCTTTGATATGTGACCTTTTAATTTTTTGGTAACTTTTTAATTTTTTTAAATTTTTTTAAACCTTTTTTTTTTTCTTCACTTCATTGCTATCACATAGGGAGCAAACAAGCTCCCTATGTGATAGCCAATTTGCAGTGACGGGTACTCTTTATGGAGACATCAGGGGTCTTTAAGACCCCTAATATCAACTAGGGACCCCCAGAGAAGCTGATGAAGCAGAGACCTGCTTCACCAGCTTCTCTCCGGTTTCTGTACCGGAAAGTGACAGAGGAATGCGAAAGTGATGTAATACACATCACTTCCTGCATTCCGAAGAGGTGGAGGAGATCAAACGGAGATCGTGTACTGAGCTCCGTTTAATCTCCGGCTGCAGAGCTGCTGTGCTGGTCCCGGGCTCACACCGGGAGCAGCGGAGCCCGGGATCGCCAGCACTGGCTGCGGCAGGGGGGGGGCGCACACCCGCACGCAATTACAAGCGATCAGGCGTCTCTACAGACGCCTGAATGCTTGTATGTAAACAGCCATCGCTGGCTGTTTACATTCAAAGCCGATTTCCCGTTCGTGCGCGCCGCCTAGCAGCGGGCATGATTGGGGCGGGATGGGATGTTTAAAAACGCCCACACACATTCAAGAAGCCGCTGTCCGGCCGTTTAATTACAACGGCCGGACAGCAGGTGGTTAAAGTGCCAGTACACCTTATGAAGTTGGCTAGACAATCTAGTTGCGTCAGCAGCATTTGTGACCGTGTTAGAGAGGCAGCATTTTGCCTATTCAGGGAGGAACTGGATCTTGCATTAGGGAGAGAGGAACTTCTAATGTAAATATAAGAGGGACAGATGATCCGCTCACAATTTAGAGCCATGGTGACTTATGGAAAAGCTGGCATGAGTTCATTTTTTTTTATAGTTCTATATTATCATTTTGGGTGTTATCTTTTACAACTGCAGTATTATGTTCAGCGGATGAAGTTCCACAGTTAAGGCGGTAACGTAATTTAAAAGAGAAGTAAAGCTAACCCGTTTTTTGGCTTTACTTCCCTTTTGGGTTACAGGAGTACATTAGTAAATGCACAGTGTGCATTTATTAATGTACTCCTGTGACCCAAAGTCAGCAGATAGCAGGCTAATGTCCACTATTTGCAGACAGTGCAGAGCTGCACCACGGCTGGGAAGGATCCCGACAATATTGTCATGATCCACTCGCCTCCAGTGAGTGCTAGCGCACAGGGAGGGGGGAATCCCTGCAGGAAGCACTGATGGACAGTATCTGCTTTCTGCAGGGAGAAAAGACCAGGAGTGATCAGCGGTGTTTGATTGCTCAGATTTCGGTATAGAGTCAATGAGTGACAGCTGCAGTGTCCCACACCAGCTATAAGCAGTGGTATCTGGTATTTTATAATAAGCATGTAGTCTAACTTGTATTGTAATACAGATCGTGTTTGTTTTTACTTTGTAGCTGTGCAAGAAAGAGTTTCAGTATAGAGCATCCTTGCGTGCCCATCTTATAAGACATGCACGTAGAACGGAACCATCTGTTGTAGAGGTAGAAAGAGAAGTGACCAAAGGAGCCATCAAGCGACAATACATTTGTGATATTTGTGGAAGAACCCTTCCTAAAATGTGCTCTTTGAGAATGCACATGCTGAAACATACTGGTGTCAAGCCACATGCATGTCAGGTAAGTGTGCTTTGTTTTTTAGGAAACCTTACTATAACAATAGCACTGACCTTTCCCTATGGGTACTTTTCAGCTAAAGAAGGTCAATCAACTTTCATGAGTACAAAAGTGGAACTAAGCATACGCTAGATCAGGGCTCAAAATTTCAAGTCCTGAGCTTTTAAAAGTACTATGGAACATTCACTTTCACATCTTTAAAAAAAAATGCAAGGATCATTTCTTGTCCCAGAGAATCTTATTGTTTTAGTGATTTAAGGTCAGGTGGTCGTTTTTTATTTTCAGGCGGACCTATTACCTAAAATATTATTTTGCAGTAAAAACAGACCCTGTATATTAGATAAACAAATTAAATTAACATTTCCTGTTAATGTCCATATTCATTTTGATTACTTCTGTGATCACATTACTTGATATGGCATACATGATGATAATAATAATATTATTATTATTCAGGATGTATATAGCGCCAGCAGTTTGCGCAGTGCTTTACAATATAAGGAAGACATTACAATACAATTCGACAGGATGGTAAGGAGGGCCTTGCCCGTGAGGGCTTACAATCTTTGAATGCTTCACCATAGGGCTGGTTAAAGTTCAGAAAATGTGCTGCATGTATAATAGTGTAAGACCATGCAGGCACTTCAGGTTTTTTTTTTTTTTTCTTTTATATTTGGCAGCCCTCTTAGACTCCCAACTTTCCGTTTACCATTCATCTTTTGGGATTCTAAATACAGAATACCAAAGGAGATCCAATGCAATGAGTTTCACCTCTAATCTTTGGGGACCCTGAAGTAAATTATGGACCGATTTTGGAGTTGTGCTCCCTGATACTGATAAGCGTGTGAGTCCCATTTCAGAGGTCTCAGCTGTGTACACGTCTGTACGGTGTACACGTCTGTACACGTCTCAGGGTGTACACGTCTGTACGGTGTGCACTTGGATGCACACTGTGCGCCTAAGTGCAGACACCCGGACTCACTCGGGTGTGCATGTGACAGTGTGTGATTGCGTGCAGTCGTGTACTTGCATAGGAAAGAACAGGTTGCTGCGTGCAATTACACACAACACCTCTCCCTCCCGGAATCAGGTGTTTTTACACCGTATGGATGTGTACAACTGTCTGAGTCCTATATGTGATTGTTTTTAAAGAGCTCTGCTAAAATCTGACTGTCTTTTACAGACTTTTTTCTTCCTAATTATATCGGAATTGAACCATTTGCCAAAAAATGTAATGTTGCATTTTTTTTCTGTTTTATTTTTAGATCTGTGATAAGGCATTTACACACAAGCATGGCTTAAAGATGCACCAAGCCTTGCATGAAACGGAGAGGCGGTTTAAATGTGACATGTGTGACAAATCTTTTGTGACCAACCGCAGTCTGCAAGAGCATGTGAGCACACATACAGGTAATGTGTTATTGACTTGATGTTCTGCCACTGTCTGTTTCCCCATTTTATATAGTAATGTAGACCCTTAGGTAAATACACAGTTGAAATATATTTATCCACAAAATTATTTGTAATTCTGTAAATTAGGGATTGTATTCGCTCAAATGCTCCGATCCCGGAACTTCCGAGGGAGCATGGAGCCAGCTTCCCTTCCAATCAGGAAACCGGGCAGGGGGTTATGACCCACTTCACGGCTTCCTGGTTGGTTAGGAAGCCAGGCTGCCTGGCAACAAGCAAAGCCGGCTCCATTACCAATCGGGAAGACGTGCGGCACGTAATTACCCTTCTTCCTGACTGGTCAGGAAGCCATGCTGCCTAGCAACAAGTGAAGCCGGCTTCCTAGCTGTTCAGTATATGCAGAGATTTAAGTTAATCTCCGGGATAAGCAAATATTTTCTAAATACAAGGGGCATGAGTATTTTTACTGGAATCCTAGTGTACTTTGTGTATTCCAGATCTGTGCAGTAACCCAGTGTAAAACTTTTCGTCTGTGCAGAAACTTCCTATAAAGTGGTGCTCATTCTACTTGTGCAGGGTGAATGGTCTTATATCCTCCCCCTCCTGTTGTTTTCTAAAGACAGCCTATAGTGGCTGGGGTCTGCTGGTCCCCTCCCACAGCTTTGCTCTCTGCACAGGCTGTGTGCAGCACAGTGATTATGTTCCTGCTGTGTTTTACAAGGTAATATCTGGGTATGAAAAGGTATTTGTACCTTTTTATACTGATGTTATATCACAACAGTCACTGAGAGAGACAAAGTAATTGTACTGAGCCACTAAAGCTGGCCATACACTGCTCTATTTTGTTTGTTCAACCCACGGGTTGAATGAAAGAAATAGAGCGGATTCCTCCATCAACAGTTACAATCGATTGATAAAAGAATCCCTGCGGATCTGCCGGCCGCTGTCAGAATACCCAGACAGAGCTGGCAGCTCATTGGCTGCTGGCTCTGTTCATACAAATATTTTCTGACCAGCTCCTTTGATCACCTGATCGAGAGATGCCAGCCATTTCATCAAGAAACAGCCGAAATTCGCACTGTGTATGGCCACTAAGCAACGAATCTTTTCAAAAACTTGTGAGAGCAATCATGTAAAAAGTGTAAAGCATTCCATTAACCACTTCAAGACCAGGTGTTTAGACCCCCTTCCTGGCCAGGCCATTTTTCAGTGTTCAGCGCTGCGATACTTTGACTGACGTTTATTCCGTCATGCAACGCTGTACTGAAATGAATTTTATACCATTTTTTGGGGACAGATAGGGCGTTATTTCGGTGGTATTTAATCACCACTGGGGTTTTTATTTTTTATTATAATTAGGAAAAATTACAGAAAATTTTGAAAAAAAAAAGTTTTTTTTACATTATGCGCGCGAGGGGGCGTGTCTGAGCGGACGTCTAGAGACGCCCGCTCAGATCTAGAGAGCTCCGGGCCGGCCGTTTTTCTACTTCGGCCGGCCCGGAGGCAGTTAAGATAAACACTCAAAATGTGAGCTTACTGAAAATACAGCAGGCTTTCCCTTTTATTGATCTGAATTGATACTGTACCAGAGTAGATTGTACTAGGTGTCAGTACTAAAAGCACCCAGTGTTCTAAATATCACTTTGCATTTTTTTTATTTTATAGGGGAAACAAAATATGTCTGCACAGTGTGTGGCAAAACATACCACCGAGCATCTGGGCTCAGTAAGCACCTCAAGAAGCACAGGCCTAAAGCAGACGTTCAGGAATATCATTGCACACAGTGAGTGTACTTGGTGAATAGTTCCAGTTTTAGACATCGATTTCACAGAAATGTGATCACTTATAACATACTAGCTGTTCAGTATGTGCAGAGATTTAAGCTAATCTCTGGAATAAGCAAATATTGTCTAAATATAAGGGGCATGAGTATATTACTGGAATCCTAGTGTACTTTGTGTATATCTTCCAGATCTATGCAGTAATCCATTGTAAAACGTTATTATTTATATAGTGCCGACAGTTTCCATACTGCACAGTCACATCAGTCCCTGCCCTCCAGAATGTTATAATCTAAGGTCCCTATCTCACATGCATACAGGGCCAATTAACCTACCAGCATGTCTGGGGAGGAAACTCATACAAGCACAAGGAGAACATGCAAACTCCTTGCAGATAGTGTCATAACTGGGAATCAAACTGGATAGCCCTAGTGCTGCAAAACATAAGTGCTAACCACTAAGCCACTGTGCTTGGTGCTTAAGACTTCCTGTAAAAAAACAAAAAAAAATATAATTGCTGTTCTGTCTCTTTGTGCTGGGTGACTAGTCTTGTATCTGCCCCTCCTGTAGTTCTTTGCAGGCAGCTTGTAGTGGTTGGAGCCTGCTGGGTTCCTCCCTCAGCCCAGCTCTCTGTACAGGTTGTGTACGGCACAATGATGGTCACCACTACTTTTACTAGGTAATAACTGTGTTTCAAAGGCATTTAGTTTATATGTGTGGCTGTTGAGAGATATATTTAAATGAGGGGTTTTGTGCCCAGAGTTTAGCTTTAAGTAGATGTAAGAAGCATGTTGGATACAGAGAAATACAGCAACCTTTGGAGACACACCACTGTATTATAGCCAGATTGGCTGGGTTGGAAATGTGCAGCTTAGGCTGTAATATATTTACTTTGTGCAACCTGCAGGCTGAACGAAGAAAATATTACAGATTCCTCCAACGCTCATGAGTGTTGATCGAGAAATCTCCAGCTGTTTGCGTTGTATTCTGACGGCGGCCGCCGGTCACTGTCAGGATACCCGAACAGAGACGGCAGCTCAGTGGCTGTCAGCTTTCTTCATTTGAAGATTTTCCAACCAGCTCCTTCAATCAGTTGATCGAGGGATGCCAACTAAAAGGGTGCCGACGGCACCACCCACTGTGTTAATTTCGGACGGTTCATCAAGAACCAGCTGAAATAGGTATAGTGTATGGCCACCTATATTCTCTTTCTAATTCAGTGCTGCTGTTTGCTTGATTCAGTCTTTATGTTCCAATAGGTGAAAAGACGTTTGGATTATTCTGTACAGTATATCTCACTACAGTGTTTCCGAGGCTCTAGTCCTCAAGCACTGCTGACAGGTCACGTGTTAACAGCTGTGTTTTATAGGACAGTTTGTTGCACAATCATTTTCTATGGTAAATATTGGCATAATAGGCAGTTTTAAGGTGAGATAACCGCTAAATATGGCATACATTCCCAGTGGTTGGATTTGCTGGCTTTCTGCTAGTGGAGATAATTCTGTGCTTCCACCACCAAAGAACCCCATTGAACACAGCAGCAGGACTGAGTGGTCTGGTGTATTCCTTTCAATCAGTCGATATTTGCTGCTAAGAAGCTAAAAGTTTTGCTAAACATGAAATTGCAGATCATGTAACGTGTTTTTGCATTGTGTTGAGGAAATATAGTGGATTGGATCAAGAGCTCCAGTCAACTTTCATTCGTTGTGAAAGAACATACGATCTGTTTTTGAGCCTCCAGCAGAGAGATAGAAAGGTGTGCAACATGCTGTCTTCTACATAAAATGATCCTGACTTTTATATACAGGTGCGAGAGACATTTTTCTGAAGCTCGGGATCTGCAGCAGCACATGAATAAACACCTTGGTGTCAAGCCATTTGAGTGTGAGATTTGTGGGAAGTGCTACAGCTGGAAGAAAGATTGGTATTCCCATGTAAAATCCCATTCGGTTACAGAGCCTTTCAGGTGAGGACCTTTTCACAATTTGATATATGCCTGGATTCTTCAAAACTACTGGTTAGAAATTGAAATAATTTGGAGCTGTGTTACCTGTATACTGTACAATGTATAGAAAAGATAGCATTTAAAGCTGCAGTAAACTGCTGTGTGTTCGGTGAGGTTTTTTTGCCATTATGTCCCAAAGTATGCACAGCATACTTGCACATTATGCCACACTTACCTTACAAGTGTGCCCTTCTCCAGCGCTATGTGATGCACCTTTAGTCCCCTGCTACCATAATCTCTGCTGCTGCCACTTCTGAGTTCCCAGGCATCCTCTTCAGTCATTGGATGGCCACTGATAGTGTAACTTCTGCACATGCACACAGGAGTTGCATCCTCCACATCATCAGTCTCATTCACTGCAGCATAGAGATGTTGGCGTAAAGAGGACTTTTTGTGGAAGAAGAGACTTTGCACGTCTTTTCTGCCACTAATCCCTACTTCCTTTCAGGTTTTTTTCATTTTTAACCTTACTTTCACTTTAAGGCCTCATTCACATGAGCCTTGCTTCCAGCAGCAATCATCTGTCTCTAACTACAGGTACTTGCTCCATGCGTGATCACTTCCAAACTCTGGCAGTTATTGCTTTGTACTGACTGAGCTGCTACAACTTTATTTTTCTTTTTTTCCTGACTCCCTCCATCTTAGTATTTGACTCTTCAGCCACTCCTTGTTACTTGAATTCCTCATGAGGAATTTTTGTAATGTATTGTAGATTAAAAAAAAGTATAGCAGGATCCAAACAGTGAGGCAGGCTAAGTTCTCTAGAAGTATAAAACCGAGTGGTTCTTGGTGATGAAATAAAGTTTTGGGTTTTAGCAAGCAGAAAAATACCGAGATGTTTAATGTTGCTGTGTTAAAATGTTTTATCTATTTATTTTTTAATGCAATGTTTATACTCAAGAATGTACTTTTATCTTTAGTTCAAGACAGACTGAGATGAATTTTTTTTAATATCCGTTTCAATTATTTTAGGTGTAATATTTGTGGCAAGGAATTCTTTGAGAAATCACTTTACAGAAGGCATGTGAATAAGGCCACCCATGGCAAGAAAGGAAGAATAAAGAGAAACATTGAACGCGTTTGCACCCACTGCGGTAAAAGTTTTTCACAGCTGAGAGAATTCAGAAGGCATGTCAACAATCATGAAGGTAAGAAAACCATTGTGTACCTAACAGGCTTTTTAGATGTGAAACAAAATACTGTTCTATCGCAAGGTTTTTATGCTGGGTATCTTGGTCTGTAGGGTTTCACATTGTTCACAGCCTTATTAAAAGCAATAGATTTGGGAATGTTTCTGATAATTATATGCTCTTCTTTAGATCCCACTGCTTGTTCTCTCTTCTATCTCTCCATGATCTACACTCTTCTCCCCACTCTTACCGTGTTTCCCCGAAAATAAGACCTACCCCGATAGTAAGACCTAGCACTATCTTCAGGGATTTCTGTAATATAAGACCTACCCCGATAGTAAGCCCTAGCACTATCTTCAGGGATTTCTGTAATATAAGACCTACCCCGATAGTAAGCCCTAGCACTATCTTCAGGGATTTCTGTAATATAAGACCTACCCCGATAGTAAGCCCTAGCACTATCTTCAGGGATTTCTGTAATATAAGACCTACCCCGATAGTAAGCCCTAGCACTATCTTCAGGGATTTCTGTAATATAAGACCTACCCCGAAAATAAGACCTAGTTCGGTGGGAGGTCTTATATTACAGAAATCACTGAAGATAGCGCTAGGTCTTACTATCGGGGGAGGTCTTATTTTCGGGGAAACACGGTACTTGAACTAAATTAGTTTAGTGCTGTCTTCACCTTCTTTACTTGTGTTCATGATTTATCTTCTTTCTCATGTCTTCCCTGTACTTGATCATCTCGTGCTCAGACTTTACTTTCTTTCCTCCTTGGTTTGTCCCTACTCTGCCTGCTTTCCTGCTTTTAATTCCAATGTTCTATAGTCATCTGTTGCACTCCCTGCAATGACCAGCTTTCAATGATGTCTTCCCCAAGATGAGTTTTCATAAGATAGTACACAATGCAGTATGTGTGTAAAATATATATATATATCACGTGTGCATCTATAACTAATAAAATACAGGTGCTTACGCATCTCATCAGATATCAGTATGCACTGTGAATTCTAGAATGTTCTGACTGTTGAGACTCCTCAATACTTTAATCTGAGCTGACCCTGCTCGTCCTGCGGAAATCAGTAGCTGTGGTAGGCTAATAAAATAGGAAATGTCAGCATTCAGGGTAAGACTGAGGTAATTGCACCAATTGTTAGCGCTTTTATGAAAAAAAAATACTCTGCACCTAATGTTATTGGTTGGAGGTCTTCAAATGATTGATTTAAATGAAATGATTTAAAATGTATTTAAGGATTAAAGGCAAGCATATGTACACAAGTTAGTATTGTATACAGTAGGCACTGATGTATCATACTTTTTGTTAAAAGGATACTTTTTTTTTTTCTCCCCTTTTCAGGTGTGAAGCCCTTTGAGTGCCTAACGTGCGGAGTGGCATGGGCAGATGCCCGTTCTTTGAAGCGTCATGTAAGAACACATACAGGGGAACGACCCTATGTTTGTCCTGTTTGCAATGAAGCCTACATTGATGCCCGCAATCTACGCAAACACATGACCAAGTACCATAACAACTACATACCCTGCAAAATTATGCTGGAGAAAGACAGTCTACAGTTCCACCACCAAGGAACTCAAGTGGAACATGCAGTCAGCTTTGTGCCAAATGAACTGGTAGAGGCACAGTCAGAGATCGTAAGTGAAGACATGGAAACTGTATTAGTAGCCGAGAATGTAGTGGATTCAGAAGAAGCAATTACTGCAGATGACCAGGAAGGTACTGCTGTGTCTTCACTTTCAGACCAAAGCATCATGCAGGTGGTAAACTACGTTCTGGCTCAACAGCAGGGGGCTAAACTTGAAGTGACTGATCAATTAGAGACTGTGGAAGTGGAAGTTGACCATGTTTCTGATGTCCTATGACATAGCAGTGTATAAAAAGATGTTGTTGTATATGCCGTAGCACTTAATATTATCTCCATGCAATGAAGTATGCAACCCATAAGTGTATTCAAGACTTTAATGGTTTGTTTGCGTATGTTGTGTATTTGCAGATATGTATGCAGATATTCCAGTTTGCAATGTTATTCTTAAAGCTATTCCATAATTCCAGTACAAGTTGTAATATTTCTTTCAGTAGGATAGAATTTGAGCCTCTGTTTGTCAGACATGATAAATTAAATGTCAATTACATTTCTTTTCATTAGTGGAATTGTTGTTAAACCTTCTGGTTCTTCAGTTCTCTGTGTGAACTCAGGATAAACACATACCTGCTGGCTAGAGGCTGGAAGAGGAAACTGTAACAGTTCACAGCAAATGAGTAATAAGAGGTTGCCCTCATTTACTGTTGTGTGCAAAAATACTATCATGTTGTTGACTGCAGTAGGGAACCTGAATACTAAGCTAATTTCCCTATGCTCCATGACTGCACACCTGAGAAAAGACTTGCTATATCTGGAAAATGTCATGTTATAGCTACCTTTATTCTACTGTGTTTCCTATCCCTTTCTAGTGGACAATGGTAGAGAAGGAGTGCTGTGTTGGAGTGAATGGCCCCTGATCTTTATGCTGGAAACCTGTGAGATCCCTCAGCCTTTTTTTATACTTGGTGGTCCTTTCAGCTGAAGCAGTGTGATCCTGGGGAGTACCTGGCAGCTTGGCAATCAGGCATCAGACTGTTGACACTGGTCTTCTGGCTCTCTATGTGGGGTACATATAGTGAACACTAGTTGCCCTGAGCTGATAGTTTCAAGATTGGAAGAGTTCTGATTCCTAATCTCTGCCTCCTCCCCTCTGCTTGTTGGTTCTGCGTGTCCCTGGGTAATTGGCTTTTGGTGAGCCATAGCACATTCTGAAGGTGTGCCTTCTCCACATGGATGTGGGATGTTCTCTTCTCCCACTGGCAGTGATTGGCATTGTGTTAGTGTGCTGGAAGTGGGACTGTTTTCTCAGTATGCAGAGGGGTGGGGCCCATCCGCTTGCTCCAGCCCAGCAAATGCTGGCTGGGAGTGTCTCTCAGTAGACCTTTTCTGTTACTCCATTAACCAGGTAGATGTCGGGGGGGGCACACTTCCACCCTGGTGGACAGGAGGATGGGCGATACAGAAGGGGTCATGTTTTTGATAGTCCCGCAGTGCATTCTGCTCTCCTATAAAAGCTACTGTAAAAACCTCTATCAATCAAATATCTGTTATGACTGGGAATGCCATTGGTGTGGTATGTGTCCCTGCTCTTGTGTCTAAGTGTATTCACACCAGCAGCATTGGAGCACTTTGCCCAACACAGAGGCAATTTGCCCTTACGTACTATTGCTTCAGTTCACACCAATGTGCTTCTTTTGTGTATGATGAAAAAGATTTAGACTTTCCATTTTTGCGTAGCGCATATCCTGCTTCTGTAACTGCATGATTTGTGCTTAAAAAAAAAAAAGTAACATTTTGAATTTATCCTCTGCAATAGGAATGTTTTTTTTTTCGTCTGAGAACTCCCTAAGGCTTGTCTACTAAACGGATGGAGACACTGCAGCATTCCTCATTAGAACACTGGAATTTGATTAGATGATTATAATGAAGGCTGACCCGCCCATTCAAGAATCGGTACAGAAAGGACATACTGTAGATAACCCAGATTGGATTTTTTGTTTTTCTTAACAAAAAGTGGTTACACTTCAAGACTGTGAATAAAGAATGTAAAAATCAAATGTTCTGTAATACTTGGACAATCTAAACAATGCAGTTTAGTCCTCATTGCCGTCAAACAGATGTAAGTGGGTGGGGAGTCTACCTTTTAAGTAGGTTTCAAGAGTTTAAGGATCCTCTAATGGTTCTCAAATTTCAAACTGTCTGGAAAACACAACATCAGGTTTTCATGAGGTTGTTTGACAATAGCTTTTGGCATTGATCTAATCTACTGGGTGGAGTTGTCACGCATGCTCCGTGCTTTCTTTACCACCAAACCGCATCAAGGAAGCATCTTCCCACTGCTACTCCTGCTTGCAAAGATCCACGTGGAACTTTGATCTCTTCCAGTCTACAGCTATCTTGGTCACCTCTGGTCATCCGAACCTCTCCTACTACCAGCTGTCTCGTTTTGTGTGTACCTGAGGCCTTGCCCCTTACCCTGATCCTACCCTGTTGGCAAGTTCCACTCTACCTGGTGCTCCCGGTTCACATTCTCGGAACGATTCCGGGGCTCTTTCAGCGTCTTGCAGCCTGAAATCATGATATCCTCTGCTCTTCGTGTCTGTTCCATCCTTGGAGTCCTCTTTGGCTTCGTCAGGTATTCTCATTTGCACATGGCTTTAGTGGATTCTGAGCCATCGGCCACAGAGACCCTTGATTCTGAGTCACTCCAGTCCTTGGCTGATGTGTACCATTCTGAAACTAGAGGTTCAGCCTGTTGCCTCTACCGGTGATGTTTCCAGTATTGGATCAATTAAAACTCCCAAGGCGGGAAAGAACTTCCTTTTGCACCTATTCTCCATGGGGAGAATAATTCTGCTTTTGTGCAGAAGTGGTCCCACTGTGGATCTGGCAGTGTCCTACCGTAACAAGGTTGACATGTCTCTTCAGGGCTCAACTGATAGGTGGTTGGAAGCTCTTTCTAAAGCTTTGTTTTGCTTGGCAGGTCCTGCCCCTCATCCAATTCTTGTTGTGACCCTCCTTTGTCAAAATCCCTTATAAGAGATTGAACTGCTTCTATTCATCCCTTGCTTATAGATTGTCTGGAGCAGATAGCTGTAGTGTTACATTTCAGCTGTGACCATTTGCTGGCAGCCTCCAATCTCATTTCTTACATGTCTCATGTTAGTACATAGACATAGGGCACTTTGGTATGAGTGCTGGACTGCGGAACCGTTGTTTAAAAAGCCTTTGATCCACGTAGTATTTGAGGCACATTCTCTCTGGGCCAACTGTTAACAGTGTCATCAAGGATGCTTGATGACACCCTGGAACTGAACACAATGGTGCAAACTAACCTAATTTTTATCATTGGAATTAATTTGTATGGGTTTTTGGTGCACATAAAAAAAACATTATGGTGTGGAGATGGTGCGAACAAGCCCTCGTGGAGGATTTGGACACTGGAAAGAAAGAGAAAAAAAAAAAGCGATCAGCTTGTATAATACTTCCATCTCCTGGCATGCTTCAGTTTTGTAGAAAAGCATACTCGGAGCAAACACAAGTGGGATTTCTGAAAGCAGTCCATCTGAGGATAGAAACACTAACAGGCTTGCATAACAAAAACAAAACTTAGCTCAAAGAGCAGGCAGAAGGACCAAATGCCCATAGCTGGCATCAGATGAGGCTTGAAAAAAGACCCATGTCCATCAAGTTCAACCTATAGAGATATGGAAAAAAAAAAGAAAAGCCTAAACAGAACGCTATGCCACCAATTACCCACAGTTGACCCAGAGGAAGGCAAAAAAAACCAACCCTTAAAGCATGGTTCAATTTGCTCCAACAGGGGAAACAAAAATTCCTTGCTGATCCCATAAGGCAATCGGATATTCCCTGGATCAACGATCTCTGATGCTTAACATACCTATAAGAACCCAATATCCAGTAATCTGTACATTTAGAAATACATGCAACAAAAAGCCCAAAACAGACATGTAAAAAGCAAATGTAAACTGATTCAGTTTTTTTTGTTTCTGTGAACCTTGACTGAAATGATGATGCTCATGTGAAAAGTGCCTAAGGCCCCTTCCACAGAGGCGGTCTGATGGGTGTACGTCTGTCAGTTTTTCAGCTGGACCCGATCGGAAACCCAATGCAAAAACAAATGGAACAGTGTTCTGTTTCTCCAGACCGGATCGGTGGTAATCTGATGTAAACGCATGTCTGTTTACATCATATTCCCCCATAGACTGGCATGGGGTTCGGTAAATGCAGTTTTTTTGTTCCTCCATCGCAAGATGGAGGAAAAAAAACAACCTATATGGACACGAATGTCCCAGCGGTGAGATCCGCTCTGTACTGCTGTTATTAGGAGAGGATCCGTACATGGATCCTCTCCTGATCAGTCTGTGAAAGGGGCCTTAGTACCTCTCCTATGTGCCTTTTGTCAAACCCTTGTAATCAGAACTACTAGACTATTTACCTTCGTTACAGCCTTTCTTCTGGTCAGTAATACATCTAAAATAGGGAAAGATCAGGTCTTTCTTATTGGGAAACATTATTTCTGTTTTGGAAGACAATAGTTCTCAAGCTGAATTACACCTTTCTGCCTGAAGATGCTTCAGTGTTTGAAAAAGAACAAGAGAACTTTCTGTCTATTACAAAGAATTGGGAATTTCATGAAAAGATAGGGATTTTAGAAGAGGAATCATTCATTAGTAGCAGGACACCCTGTCTTGGTGAACAGACAAGACTATTCCCATCCTGTTTAAGGTTGGGGCCACACAGCTTCCAAATCTACTATTGTCAGATGGATTAAATCAGTTCTTTTCCTCAGCAACCAGTAATTTCTTTTGAAAATATAGGTGTGCTGTGATTACAACTAGTCTCTGTGGATTATGACTTTTGTATATTTGGAAGCAAGAAATATTAAAGTAGATGTACACTATATCACCAATTTATCTTTAACATGTTAATGTGAATTCAAAAGTAATTTTCAATTTCTTTAAAAGAAAGTTTTGCCATAAAGGCATTTCCTGTTTAGACCCCATTCACACCGGGGCAGCTCGGCCGTGTGGATCCACCGACATGAACAATCCCATACATTGCTATGGGGACCGTTCATGCGACCGCACGATCCGAACCGCCTCCTGCCCGAATTGCTCAGAGCTCTTTTTTTTTTTCCGCACTGCTTAGCACAGTTTCTATACAGCTTCCAATGGAGCCACGCTGATCAGTGCGGTTTTGGGTGTTTTCAATTGTGTTTCAGCTCTGAAACTCAATTCAAAACGCCCAAAACCGCCTTTTAAAAAAATCGAGCGGAAACTGCTCTGATCCGCACCCGCCCTGGTGTGAATGCGGCCTCTGCGAGGTTATAGTAAAGCAAAATAAAAAACAAACAAATGAAAACTAAGTAGTAGTAAGCTGCAATATGTACTTTTTTTGTTCCTGGGTTCAATCGTCTTTTAAAACATCATGTTTGCCTTTAAGGTGAATTTGTCAGGATAGAAACATGGGAGATGCCCCTGCTGACCTCTCCTTTTCAAAAGATCTGTCCCCTGGCTGTCATGCTGATGCACTGGCTTCAATGCTTTCTGATTTACTGACATGGGACAAGCGAATCTGGAACTGGGTTATAGCATGCTCGTTTTATGCCTGTGACTTAACAGTACTGAAGCAAGGTAACCAGCATTTTTAGAAGTTGTCCAGCACTGACAGCTCCTATTCCTCTCATGACAGATTGTCTTTGGGCCCATACACACTCATCTTTTGCAGTAATGTTCAGTCAAATGTATGTTTTGCCACAAAACACAATATAATATGCATTGCAGTTCCATTAGTTTAGAGTGGCACCCCAATGCACTTTTATATCTTTTCACAAGGTTCCGTTAGCCCATTCAAAATGCAGATGCTGCCTTAACACAGTGACCCGAAATACACATAGCACTTGCCCATAGTGACCAATAGACTTCTATCTTTAGTATGTTCTGTCAAGCTTTGAAAATGAACGATAGAAGCTGATTGGTTGCCATGGGTAAATGCTCCAGATTTTGTCTGCTAGTTACTGTATAATAAATTCACCTCATAGTGTGAATGTTCCCAAACTCCAATAAATAAAAAATAAAAAAAACAGATTTAACAGTTCTAAGCTTTTACAGGGGTGTGACAGAAAAAAAAACCTACTTGTCCAAGGCACTAAGTCTGGTGCCCAATCTACTACCAAAACCGTATTTAACTGTGCTAAGAAGCGCTTCTCATTGTTCAGCGCGGTCACCATCGCAATGTGCAAGCACAGGGCTCCGCTAGAAGGCAGTATAGGATACAGATAGTACACTAGGACTGCAACTAATGAATATTTTCATAATCAATTAGATGGCTAATTATTTTTTCGATTAAATCGGGTAAAAAAAAAATGAAAAAAATTCCATCCGTAATTTAAAATAAAACACACAAATGGAGTTTGAGAGGCAAGGCATTGCGGTACAGTGCATTCCAGTGCAGGCGTTCACACTGTGGGTGGGAGGCACGTTTGGGGTGCCATTGAAATGAATGGCACTGCAACGCACCTCTCGCAGCAGAATTGGTCAGACCCAAACCAAAAATGACTTTTTTCCCACCTTTTGTAATAAATTTATTGTAAGCACATGGCGCTTGAATAGCTTCAGCCAGGGAATGACAGATGCCAGTGGCAAGATTCCGCAGACAGCAGCTGAATGTACATGCAATAACCAGCCTGCTATTGGCCATTCTAAATTGCAATAACCATCAGCAGGCTACTATTGCACCTGGTTACTGCTTGCTTTACCCTTTTTCTAGCGAGAGAGCTAGGGGATCCAGCTAACTAATCAATGAGAATATTTGATAACTATTCTCATAATCTATTAGTTGGTTGCAGCCCTACAGAACACCCATACCGGCGGAGGGGAAGGACCGTTCGCTGAAAGATCAGTACAGCAGAGGGGGGGTTGGGGACAGATTTGGGCGGGTAATTCCATTTGCCCAAATTACTTGGGAAAGTGAAATTACCCTTTAAAGCACATTGTGCGTGCTGAGAGTGCGCTGCTGCCCGGCTACCACAATATGGCACACAGTGGAATGGGGGCAGCACTCACAAGTAGTGATGGGCTCGGGCATGTTCGTAGCTCCACGTGCCGAGCCCGCCAGGAAGCTTACAGCGCCAATCACAGGCACACAGACATTTCCCGATCTCTGCAGCTGCGGACCGGGATAATGTCTCAGTACCTGTGATTGGCGCTGTAAGCTTCCTGGCGGGCTCAGCACGTGGAGCTGCGATTGCGCCCATCACTACTCACAAGCAGGCTGCTACAGGTGATCTGGGCGGTTGTATAAAACGAGCAGCGACTTCCCCGCTCTACATTTAGCCCTGCTTGCTCGCAGCAGGGCTAAATGTAGAATAATAAAAAACACCTGCCCGGCGCCCGGAACGGGGTGATAGAAAATGGGCACCCCTGCTTTCACCACTGTATCAATTTTTTTTTTTCCTCATCACTTCCTTTTGTGACCAGGGAAATGTCTGCGATAGGAACACAGACAGAGAATCTACTGTTTTCCCACTTAAACAAACAATTTTTAGGGCTGAGCTGATCTGAGCTTTACCTACTGCAAAGGCTAAAAGATACAGCTCTGCAAAAAGAAAAAAAAAAGCAGACTTTCACATTCACAGCATGAGATTTCATATTTTTAATTCTGAAACATTTTCATATTGATAATCTCTGATGACGTACAAAACAGGAAGAGTATGTCCCACTAAGGGCAGGGTACAAAACATATATACACACTTCTCAGGACAAAACCACAAGCGTGTTTATTCCCACGGACAATAAATGAGAAAAACAAACAAACCTATAGACAGACAAAACAACAGAATATATGAAAACTGGATAACAATTTAAACCAATAGATATTTGAAGAAATGTATTCCAGTTATAAAAAAAAAAAAAAAGGAAACAAAAAAAAGCCACTAGATCCAACTGTAAAGATTTCATCCCTAAAAAAAATGAAGATTCTAAATGCCAGAAGACAATATCCTAAGCCCTTTACATAAATATATAAACATTTCAGTCATCTTCTTCATCACCATCTAACTTCGAATTTATATTCCGCTCCCATAGTTTCTGGGTATCTGTAAATCCGTGCTTTCCTTTGTTGAATGAATTCGGCCCTGCTGATGTCGGTGTGTCCCTAAAAAGAGTATGAGAAATGGACAAATGTTACAGCAGGATAGGCACCAGAGGACATTTCACATTTCAAATGTTATCTTTACTCCTGCCTTAAAGTGACACTAACCTCAGGATTTAAACCACATAAATGCATTCAAGTCTCTTAACTATTAACATAAATGTATCTTATTTGTGTATCACTCAGCTGTAGATGCTCAAATCATCTCGGAATTGGTGCTGAAACTGTCCTTCCTTCTAGAGCAGCGGTTCTCAACCTGTGGGTCACGACCCCGTTAGGGGTCGAATGACGATTTGCCAGGGGTCGCCCGGGAGTCTCCCGCCATTTGATAGCGGCACCCGGCCGCCTGGGCGAGAAACACTTTCTCCCGCAAAGGTTTACTCTGCTCGATCAAGTAGAGTAAACCTTTCCCTGCGATCGGGGGCTGCCGTAAGTCAGAAAAAAACAACCCAAAACCACCATAGGAATGCATAGCTAGATTCCTATTGGCTACTTCAATTTGCAATAGCCAATAGCAAACTAGCTATTGAACCCGCCCTCTGCTGCTGCCAATCAGCAGAGGGGGACCTGAGGTTATCCATCAGGTCCTCTTCTTGTGATTGACAGCAGCAGAGGGCGGGTGCAATAGCTAGTTTGCTATTGGCTATTGCAAAGTGAAATAGCCAATAGGAATCTAGCTATACATTCCTATGGTGTTTTTTTTTTATTCTGACGGCGTATGTGGCTACGGAAAGAAGATTCAAATTTGTAAGGGAACAAGGTATCGCCAATCTAGCTGTGCATTTAGTAAGCATAAGATGTGCAGCACTAATAGGACAAAAACATCCTTGGGATGCTGGAATTCATATAAATTCCTTACTACATCTTCCCAGAAAGAGTAGATTGACTCATATGGCAACAACTAATTATTCTGGTTGCTGGGGAATATCACTGAATAATAAGGCTAATCTCAACAAGTAGAAAAACATGTTCTATAGGAGTGGTTCTCAACCTGTGGGTCCCGGTGTGATTTCTGCTGTGCTATGTGAGAGTCCACCTCAGCCCTCTCCTAGCGCAGCAGTGTCAGTTCTCCTGCCGCGCCGCCAGATGTACCGTAAATTTTACCGTTGGGGGTCACCACAACTTGGCAAATGTTACCAAGGGGTCCCGGCCCTAGAAAGGTTGAGAACCACTGTTCTAGAGAGTGACTACTTTTGTTCCCCATGGGCCCTGTGTGTGTTGTAAAGTAGCCACCACTCCAAGCTCACTCCCGTGATGGACTACAATCTCAGGTTTTGTTTACTAATTTGCTTTGGCTCGCTTCCCATTGACTTGCATTATATAGTGGGTTTCAATTAACAACCATTCCCTCAGGAACCTAACCCCAGAGTAGATGGATAGGTAGGTAAACAAACAGGCAGACAACATCCTAAAAAGTGGCAGCTAAAGATGGATCCGTAAATCTTATTAGCAGTTAATGTTACCTTCCAATATTTTTCATCCGCATCTTTGCCTCTGGTGGCATTTCTTCAGGTTCACTCTGTAATTCATTAAAATAAAAAAAAGATGAAGAATGAACAGCTCCAGCCTGGGTAAACCTCTCCAAAATTTAGAAGCCACATATAACACCTCATTGTCAGTAACACACAAATCCACGAGCCACAAACATTTTCTAAGGACTGGTGTTCCTGATTCGCATTAAAACATTTAGAGGTGATTTATCAAAACTGGAGCAGACAGAATCTGGAGCAGTTGCAGATGGCAACCAATCAGCTTCAATGTTTCCTTTTCAAAACTTAACTGAACCAACTGAAAAGAGAAGTTGATTGGTTGCTATGGGCAACTGCTCCAGGTTCTGATATATTCTCCCTTTAGTATCTTATGAGGAACATAGAATGTCCATCAAAGGGCCCAGTGGCAGACTATTATTAAATCCAGACAATACTTACTTCAATGTATAAAAATAGCTCGAACTCCCCCCTCCCTGCCCCACCCTATCAACATCATGTTACAACACGTCTGTCGCCGACATCAAGTACTGCAGAAAAAAGTTTCATATTTGGACCAACTTTAATTTGTTTAGGACACAGAGGGGAATTTATCAAAACTGGAGCAGACAGAACCTGGAGCAGTTGACCATGGCAACCATTTAGCATCTCTTTTTTATTTTCAAATCTTAACTGAACATACTCAAAAGACAAGCTAATTGGTTACTATGGGCAACTACTCCAGATTCTGTTTTCTCCAATTTGATCAATTCCCCTCACACTGTTTATCAGGTCAAAGAAGCACTGCTTTAACCAGATGGAGAGTAGATCTCCCCAAGGCCTAGTTTGTGGGCTTCAGGAGAAAGCATTCGATGAGTTTTCTAGCTGCAGGAATGCTCACTAAATACCTAGCTTGGTTTCTATTATTGTGATGATTGGGTAAACTGGGCGTTTGGTCAGTCACAATTGCTCCAATGGAATTGTATTGGAATATCATCCAAATAATAATTTTCCTGCTTATAAGGGTCCCACACTGATGAGAAAACATTTGCAATGCTGCAGGAATACTACAAAATAGGGCTGGTAATGATTACAATTTTCGTGTTCGATTAACCAAAATGTTTTTTGATCGATTAATTATAACGCACATACAGATCCAACTACATTGGCCTATACACATACAGCACAGCAATGAAGTGATAAAATGAACTAGGATCACACTAATCCAGCTTGTTATTAATCTCACGTGCCGCACTCAATATGGCCGCCGCTTGAGTGGGGCAACTCAGAATAATAACGTGCTGGATTAGTGTGATCCTAGTTCATTTTATTACTTCATTGCTTCAAGTCTCGAAAAAAAGCACTGTTAAATACATGGTGATGAGGAAAAATGTAGTAATAAAAAGAGAAAGCAACAGAAAAGATTGGGCATCAATGTCCCCAACCAGGACTGAGCACCAGAAAAGTGTGGGGAGCAAACCTTTTTAGGGTCCAGACTCCTAAAGACATGACATATACTCTATGGGTAGATCTGCTTATAGCGTTATGTAACAATACAAGAGCACATGGCTATTATATGCATGGGTTTCATTTACTGAAGGAGTAGAAGCTGTACAAATAGCAAAGGGAATGTTGACTTTGAAAAGTGTATGTTTACTTTGTGCAGATAGTATATAAGGTAAACCTGCATGTCCTCTAAATACATATTAAAGGTTTTTAACTATGAGGATGAGTGGAAATCACTCCCCTCATAGTTCTCCTTTAACGATATTGGATTGTAACACGACTGTTACTTGTCTTGTGTTATATTTTGAATAAAAATCTCGAGGCACCCCAGCCTAAGATGTCATAGATTTTAAGGGGGACCCCACGCAAAAACAGACAAAAAGTGGGTTTCCCCATTCACATCAAAGCCACCCTTTCAACATCACGGCCTCCCTTTCTCATCAGAATTCCCCTTCACATCAGTCTTGATTTCCTCCTTCACGTCACAGTCCCACTATCACTAAATTTTGAGGAGCCCTTGAGGAAGCCAGAAGGCACACCAGGGCCCCCTGGTTGAGAAAGGCTACCTAAAATAAATCAACCCTTGCTGTTTCTCTGTGTGTTCATGAGCTATTGATACTTTCTGATTCCAAGTATCAGACAAATTTACTTACATCATCTTCATTGAATACTGATGCTACAGTGCTCTTCTTTTTAGCAGCAGCAGGCTTTACATCCTTGGGTTTCTAAATGATTAGAGAAAAATATATTTCAGTACAAAAAGATACAATAAACAAACATTATATATATATACCGTATATATATATATACACACATATAATAAAATGTCTATGAAATATACCCATACAGTACAACTACAACAAATATATTCCATTTCAAGCAGAATACATTACAGCAAAGCAGGTTTCCTAAAAAGTATGCAAATAACCCTCTCCAAAAGAAAACAGGCCATTTTTACAGGGCAGGCCTTTAAAGTGACATTAAACCCTCAGATGTTTTAACATAAACCAATACTGTAATGTGTGCCTTACTGTAATCCATGGTAGTTTCCCTTCTCTTTGCTGCTCTTCCTTTTAAATCCGTATTTTTTCTCATGGTGGGCAGAACTTCTGCTTTGCAGCAGACTGCCTTGTCTCAGGAATGGATACACGGTGTCTGTGTGTAGGTTTGTATAGGCTTGTAACCTGAGCCAGCACTACAGGAAGAGGCCCTGAGCTGAAAAGGGAAGTTCTTCCCAAGCATGAGAAGACATGAGGATTTATAAGGAAGAGCAGCAAAGAGAAGGGAAACCACCATGGATTACAGTAAGGCACACATTACAGTATTGGTTTATGTTAAAAAATCTGAGGGTTTAATGTCACTTTAAGTGATACCACACCTGCTCACTGTTGTTCCGTCCTCAGACCCCCACATCACTTCAGGAATGGCCAGTGACATAGGGTTGGAGCATGAAGTCACAGCACAAGGGCATCAGACACTCACAGAAATGTTGAATGCTTAAGATTCTGATGGAGGTTGTAGCTGTGGGACACGAGCCGCCAATAGGGCAATTACAATACCTCTTCTATTGCAGGGAAATCTGAGTTTTTTGGCCTGCTAAAAGAGTCCCTTTAATGTATACCTGCACTTGTGGCATACCCCACCACTCTGAAATGGCCGGCTCCCTCTCCGCCTCTAAATGCCAGTACAACTCTTTAGAAGGCAAAACTTCTTTTAGGAAGTAAAGATTTACATAACAGATCTTCCCATATTTAGGGTGATCCTACAGCCTTTTAGAACATATCTAAAGGCACCTGCTATATGAGTAAAGTGGTGGTTTAAAGTAGGGCTGCAACTAATGAATATTTTCATAATCAATTAGTTGGTCGATTATGTTTTCGATTAATCAGATAAATAAAATTAAATTCCATCCCTAATTTAAAATACACAAATGGAGTGTTACAAGCATAAAGTTTACTTCAGAATAACACTGCATGCACAATTTTTTGCAATCGCACTGCATTGGAAAGCACTGCATTGTGGTACCGTGCATTCCAGTGCAGGCGATCACACTGTGGGTGGGAGGCACGTTTGGGGTGACATTGAAATGAATAAACTGCAACGCACCTCCCGCAGCAGAATTTGCTCAGGCCAAAAACAAAAATTACTTTTTTTTCCCACCTTTCTAACATTTTTTTTGTAATAATTGTATTGTAAGCACATGGCGTTTGAATAGCTCAATAGCCAGTCTGCTATTGGCCATTTCAAATTGTAATAGTCAATGGCAAGCAGGCTGGCTATTGCACCCGCCCTCCCAGCGTGAAGGAGAGAGCTAGGGGTTCCATCCAACTAATCGATAATGAGACTAGTTGACAACTAGTCTCATTATCGATTTATCAATTAGTTGGTTGCAGCCCTAGTTTAAAGTGTGACTCAACTCAGGAGTTAAATGTTAAAAATGCATTCAAGGGACCTATTAACAAAAATGTATCTTATTTGTGTATCACTCACTGTATATAGTCAGATCATCTCTGAATTGGTGCCGACACTGTCCTTACTTCTGGAGGGTGACTACTATTGTTCCTCATGGTCCCTGTGTGTATTGTAAAGTAGTCACCACTCCAAGATCACTCCCGTGATGGACTCCAATCTTGATACAAATGAGTAAACTAAACATGAGATTGTAGTCCATCACAGGAGTGAGCTTGGAGAGGTGACTACTTTTCATCAAGAACTGGCTGAAATTCGTACAGTGTGAAGCCAGCTTAGGGAACTTTAGTTCGGGGGTGAGCAATTCCAGCCCTCCAGCTGTGCTTTAAGTACAAATCCCAACAGGCCTGTGGGAGTCATGCCTGTAACTGTCAGTCTTGCAGTGCCTCATGGTTCTAGTAGTTCCACAACAGCTGCAAGGCTGGAGTTGTTCACCCCTGCTTTAGGCACTGCTCCCTGGGATAGATAGATATATAATTGTATTTTTTTATTTTTGTAGTTGGTTATTTGCATTGCAAAGCTTTATATTCTGAACGTTCTTCCTGCATAATGTAACTAAGCCCTAAGACAAATGCGGAGAACTCACCCAGCATCCCTTACAGCTAACAAAACACATTTGCTGTTAAAGAGGGTCTTTACCCATATCTTTAAATTGACAACAAAGACACCTTTAGAAATGCTTAGTAATGACAATCTACAAACACATACTTCTAGAGCAGGGGTCTCAAACTCAATTTAGTCGGGGGCCACTGGACAAATGTTTTCATTTTTTTAGTCACGCGGGGGCCGCTACTATATACGGTACCAGTTGCAACTGTTACCGATTCAAGTTAATGATCAGGTGACAGCCACTGCATGTAGAAAATAATGCAGCTGCATGTAAACGCCTGCACACCGCATGTAATCATATATGAAAGGATTACATGCAGTTAGGAATCAATCACTCTCTCTGGATACACGATTGTTTATCCAGGGAGAGTGATTGTTTTTGTAACTGCATGTAATCATATCACATACGATTACATGTGGTATGCAGGCATGTACATGCAGCGGCCGTCACCTGATCATTAACTGGGTGACAGTTGCTGTTGCATCTTTGAGGGAGGAGGCACATCATCGTTCCCTGGTTATCTAGTGGCGATTAGTAAGGTCTAGTGCAGACCTTGCTAATGATCCATCATTCGTCCGGAGCTCAGAACTGACAGAGGTCCGGCCGGAGCTGACAGGAGCAGCTCTGCGATCTGCATCCAACAGAGATGCAGACCGTGTAGCAGCTCCCACAAGTCGGGCGCGCAGTCCGTGACCACGTGCCCAACTTGTCAGCTGGCTGTTCTAGATAATTGCCGGCTTTGTGTTCTTTGCATTCCTTATTTCTCTTTTCTTCCCCAGTCTTCTGACAGTGGCCATGTTTACTAAGGGCAGATTACTAGCTCTCCCTTTACTTCTTGGATTTCTGGCTTGTGTGACTAGGACATGTGACCATACACATCATCTCAGAGGAGGAAAATGCCTTTCCCTGAGATCTCATGAGATTTCCCAGCAATGCTCTGTTGATGACAAGGCACTCCCAGTGTGCATTGCTTTGGCAAACTGAAGTCATGTTGCCCTTTCAAAGCAGGAAGTGAATGCTCTGCAAGTGTGAGTATTTCACAATCACAGCATTTTACACCTGCCATGTCTTTGTTATTATTAATCATCATATATAGAGGGATGCATTGGTAGAATGTGATTTTGGAGTGTAAAGGTCCACTTTAACATTTAAAACTGGCACAAACATTGACCACGGCAGTGTATTTTGATGGAGCAATATTTCATATCCTACGTACAGCAGCAGAAAGCTTGATTGATATGGACGATGACTTTTTCCCAATCTGACCTCCTAGAGCAAATCCAACCTTGGAGACTTTAGGAGGACACGGCTGTGTGCTGGACTCATCAGAGGATGTATCTGCCGACCTCTTTTCTGCACTTCGGCTTGAGCTTTCCCCTCCATTGCTGGAAGAAACAGTCTTAGTGTTCACTTCATTTTCTGCCTCTTCTTCTGGTCCTGGTGAAGTTGAAACAACTTACCAAGATGAGCATTTGGTTACTGGGCTGAATGATGGGAACAGCAACCACAAAAGATACCAAAATGCACCTTAGTATTAGTGTAGGCAAGAAACCCACACCAACAGATTAAGATACACAACATTATGAAGACAGTACATGAAAGTGATATTCTAATAACATTCCATGTACAAAAGTAGAATGATACAGGCTCATTCACTTCATTTTCCCCACATTAAACCAAGGGACAGCATCACACTTCGGGCTCTTCACAGTGTACATTAGAAGCAGCAACAAGTCAAATAGACCTTGCCTCATTTCCTGGATAGAGGACATCCAACATCATCTAGCTATTTCCTCCCATGCCTGACTGTCCCTGGCCTGCCCCTTTCATTCACTGTATTATTATTTTTTCCACCATAGCGCCTCAGCATCATATATGAATGTTACCTTGGACTGTCTCCATGCAAATACACCTACTCCCCCAGACTGACATCCACCCATCAAGGTATTTTGATATTTACATAACTCCTGCCAAGAGCCAGCCCATTGCTTGGTCAGGGCTGAGATCTCTTGAGTGGAGTACTGAGACAGGGTGCTGTGAGGTTTTCAGGAAGCAATGGACAACACCCTGTCGGCCCTTCCCACCAGCCATGATCTGTCTGTATTGCACAGAGAAGGACAGAGCTCAGTACACGACCTGCGTTTGATCTCCTCCTCCTCTTCGGAATGCAGGAAGTGATGTGTATTACATCACTTCCTGTATTCAGTGTCACTCTCTGGTACAGAAACCGGAGAGAAGCTGGTGAGGCAGGTGTTTGCTTCATCAGCTTCTCTGGGGGTCCCAAGGTGACATTAGGGGTCTTAAAGACCCCTGATGTCTCCATAAAGAGGACCTGTCACTGAAAATTGGCTATCACAAAGGGGGCTTGTTAGTCCCCTACGTGATAGCAATAAAGCTAAGTGAAAAAAAAAGGTTTAAAAGAATTTGTTACAAAAAAATTAAAAGTCACATATAAAAAGGTAATAAAAAAATTAAAACATTTTTTTAAATCCCCCGACTCCCACATACACATGCAAACATGCGTCGAGTGCGCCTACGTGCGGAAACAACAATTGCATCCATTACGCCGCACATACCAAGGGAAACGTGCGGCAAAACGCCCCAAAGAAGCTCCTGTACTTTGGACGTAGGGCGTTTTGCAGCGCGTTCCGACGCGCTGTAAAACGCCCAGGTGGGAACCATGCCCATAGGCAATCATTGGTTTTCACATGTTGAGCGTTTTATAGCGCGTAGGAACGCGCTGTAAAACGCCCAGGTGTGAATGGCAGAGGTGAGTTTCCCGATCATGCGATTGCTCTGGTCACATGATCAGGAGCCTGTCCCAACTATAAACAGTGACCGGAAGGTATGGGTGACTGTGCGACCATTGTGCTGGGAGAACAGCAGGCCTGCTGGATGTATTTTTGTGTACAGCCAATGTTAAATGCCACCCACCATACTGTGGCCTGCAGGAATTGGCTAATTCCTGCAGAAGGGACAAGCTAGGTAGGATTTTTATGCACTTAAAAAACTAAACAGCATTTTTAGATTTATTTAAATAACCACTCCAGGTTCTAGAAAGACTGACCCTTATGGTGGGGCTACCTCTGCACTGCAAGGGTTAAGTGCTTATTTTTCTCTAGGAGCAAAAATAAAGAACTACTCGCCTGATCCTTGGTCCTGCAGCAGTGACCCCTTACCCCTCCTCTGCAGCTGTATGTCCTTTGGCATCCTCACGTCTAATACAGGCGACTGGACCGCATTAGACATGATGACGCCAGTGGCACTTAGACCACCATAGCCCAGGGGAGAAGAGACTGCAGGGATCAGTATAGCAGTCAGGCAGGATTGAGGATCTCAGGTGAGTATTTTTTCTTTATTTGAACCCCTAGAGAAAAATGAGCAGTTATGGCTTGCAATGCAGGGGGAGCCCCACTACAAAAGTGGAACCTGGAGTTCTTCTTTAAAGTTATGCTGCGTGACCGGGAACATGTAACACACATATATTAGAGGTTATCCCAATCTGGCTGCAAAACGTGGAAATATACTTTAGGTTAAACAATGGAGAACAATGCCGTGTACACGAGCCCTTTCAGCGGCAGCACAGGTTTTATAAACACAGCGCACAATGCCTTAGCTCTTCACTCAAGCCCAGTTCACACCAGGGAGTAGCTGGGACGCAGGACTTTGTTTCCCATGTTTGGCACGTGTCCCCATTGGGTCCCTGGACACACGCCAACCACGGAAAAGAAGTACATGTCACACATTTGGCGACATGCATTCCTGCGCGTTCTCACGCGTGCAAACATGTAGGGAAAACCACGTTTGCTCGGCTGCGTTTGGGGTGCCATTAACTAATAATGACAACTCAAGCGTGTTTTGTGTTTGTGCGTGTATCAGAAAGAACATGCGCCAAAGTGCACATTCACAATACTCCCTGGTGTAAACAGGGCCTCATAATAATAATACAATGATCACCTTCCCTTTAGAGCTAGTGAAGCAGATCGGGTGAAGCTTGGCCCACAGCAACCAACCAGATTACATTGTAGTAGTGTAATGGGAAAATGAACACAGTCATTTATGCATGTTGGTTGCTCCTGGGCTAGTGACACAATGGAACATGCCAATAATACTAGCCAAATACTGCAGCTACATGTGCCATCCCATCTCTAATAACCCAGCGAGCTTCATTAGGGCAGAACAAAACACTGCAGCTGCGAACATAATGCTCCTAGACCGGACCCCCTTACAGCAGCTGGCAATGTCCACTCACACATCACTCTCACAGACGCCGCCATTAGCCGGCACCACGTTAGAGCTCCGTCTATGGGCACATTAATAACGGGCTCAGCTAGTTCTGTATGTAAAATCACACACGCTCCATATCACCTCCTCGGCTCCTCTTCTTATCCGCCATCTTCTGGGCAGCCATGACGTCACTGCTCTAAAACGTCCAGCCCCCCGCCCTCCCAAGTACCATAGAGAAAACAGCCCGCTAGTGCAGATTTACTGTCACGTAAACTCCAGTGCGGTCTCTATTGTCAGGTCGGACGTCTTCCGGTTTGAAAAACTTTATTTAGATCGAGATAAACCACTGTGCAGCCTAGCTCAGTATTTGTATGTAGTATGTATTGGTTTTATGCATAATGATTACGGCCAGGACTAAAATATGTTAAATAAAAAATATATATGTAAGTATGCTTTTTCTTTTATCCAAAGCGGTGGAGCTGTCCACTGTTTTTCCACTTATTTGTACAGGGATCATTAGGCTGGATTCACACCTAGGCAACGTTTTTCCTAATTTCTTTGCATTTTCCTGCACTTTTTTTGCGTGTGGTTGCGCATAAATCAATTTTTTTGCAGATTGTAACACATTGATGTCAATGAGCAAACGTGTAAAATGCAGCATATGCGTGTTTTTGAGCATTTCCATTGAGGTCTATGGGGCTGCCACAAAGAAGCTATTGTAATTTTTCCACCGATGGGCATTTTGCTACAAGTGGCAATATGCAAAATGCCATAGAAACGAATGGGATTTTGTTTTGGGTGTGTTGTTTTAATGTTAAACTCAGGGAGTTAAAGTAGAATAAAACTCTCCTTTGTTTTTGCATATATATATATGCAAAAAATTTTTTTTTTTAAAGTTACCAAAAAGGCAAAAATGTACCTGTGTATCCGCCCCTTGCTCCTATATGAAGATCGGAAGCTTCATCCTGCATAGCCGCTCGAGATGGGGCGGGCGCATGCGCAGAACAGATCTTCGGTGGGGAGGAGACACAGTGGAACTGAATGCATGCAGCCATGAGCATGCACGTTGGACAGACACCATCGGGCAGAAAGAAACAGGAGTCTGCACTGGATCAGAGACCAGCACCAGCGCTGGAGGGATTGCTGAATACAAGTGGAAGGAAGATGATTGGATCAAGAGGCATCATTTAAGGTAAGTCCTTAAAGCAGCATGGAGGCTATATTTGTGACTTTAATGTCACTTGAAGTTTTAAAAATAACATTCAAGTACCTTAACTATTAATAAAAATTGAACTTGTTTGTGTATCAGTCGGCTGTAGATCCTCAAATCATTTCTGAATTCATTATGACAATGTCCTTCACTGGCGCTGACACTGTCCTACATTTAATTTGTATTGAGCTTGTAGTCCATCACAGGAGTGAGCTTGGAGTAGTGGTTACAACACACACAGGGACCATGGGGAACAAAAGTAGCCATCCTCCAGAAGGAAGGACAGTGTCAGCACCAATTCAGAGATGATCTGAGGATCTACAGCCGTGTAAAATACAAATTAAATACATTTTTGTTAAAGGAGAACTATGAGGCGAGTGCTTTTTACTCACCTCATAGTTCTAGCCGACCTGTGACAATGAGACTGTCACAGGTCGGGTCAGTAGATCGGGAGGTGAGTGAACACATACCAGCGTTCGCTCATCTCTCAATCCTGTCACAGCTCTCTGCCGTGACGGGAGGGGCTGGATTCTCCCCGCTCCGCCAGCGCTGACTGGCGGAACGGACGGGGGAGGGTACAGCTGGCTCTGCCTCTAGATAGGCAGAGCCAGTTGTCACTCACACAGCTGGGCAGATCTCGACATCGATGTCGGGATCCGCTCCGGCGTCTCAGTACAGCTCGCGGTATACTGAGCTTAGGGTGACGGGAGGACGCTAGTTTGTGTCCTCCCTTTACATAGTATTTGAGGTTGAATAAAGACATTAGTCCATCAAGTCCAACCTATTAGGATCTCATTCTAGGAGTACCTGTACCCCTGTATATTACGGTCCCTTAAGAAATCGTCCAAAAGTTTCTTGAACAATTCCACATTATTTGCTGAAATCACCGCCTGTGGCAGTGAGTTCCAGACCCTAACCGATCTTACTGTGAAGAACCCCCTTCGCCCCTTGTGCTGGAATTTTTTTTCCACCAATTTTAGGTGATGGCCTCTAGTTTTTGTAACGGAGTTAATTTTAAACAGTTTATCGCTAATGTTGCTACCACCATTGAACATCTTGTACATGGAAATCATATCCCCCCTTAATCTCCTCACCTCTAATGTGAACATGTTTAAATTTAGTAGCCTCGTCTCGTAGCTCTGGTCCTCCATACCCCTAATTAGTTTGGTTGCCCTCCGCTGGACTTTTTCCAACTCAAGGACATCTTTTCTTAGTACTGGTGACCAGAACTGGACCGCGTACTCCAGATGAGGTCGAACCAATGATCTATAAAGTGGCAAAATTATAGACTTGTCCCTGCAATACATCCCCTTTTTAATACAGGACAAGACCCTAAGGAGACCCGTTACCCTAAGGAGAACTATGGGGAAAAGCCCTGACCCCATAGTTCTCCTTTAATATGTAGTTAAGGTATTGGAACTTATTTCTAAGATTTAACTCCTGAGTTTAGTGTCACTACATAGCTGAGTCAAATTCTTCATAAGCTCATTTAGAAGTTTTTAGTGATTACTGCTGTGCTGTCTCTTTAGTTACCTCCCTAATGGCCATTTATTAAAGCAGTAGTAAAATGCAAACACAAAATTGATATAGCGGGCCCCCAGGTGTTGTTTGCTATAATTTGTTAGCTGTTCAACTGGTAATCTGACAGTTCTGAACCCAAAACTGCTGAGAAAATAGTGCTTCCAGATTCATTGATCGAAGAGCAGATCGGGCAACAGAAGGTACCCTTTCTGCTCCTGCTCACCATCCCCATTTATGTATTGTGGTTCCAGGAGGTGGGGGCGGCACCTTCTTTGGTGCGTACAAGTGATCGCTTATACATGAAAGCCAGGAACCAGCTGAAGGAAACGGTCCCAAGATCACAGTTGCTGCTTAGGATGTCTAGGATTATTCAATGTATTTAAGGAACATCAAGCAGCACAAATTGCTCAAACCACAATACAGGGTTGGCACCCTAAATGGGTACATATGGAACCTCTTTCTTATTCCCCACTATCTATAGATTTATTAATGTGGATACCAGGAAGGCTGAGTCTTGTGTTCCATGTTATCCTACTCTCTCAGTGTGGGACAGACAGCAGGGCAGATGTGTCCTAAGCTCTCCACATTCGCCCCTGGCACTCTCCTAGGCAATCTAGAGTTTTAACTTGGCCCCAGGTCGTCTCTGTTTATTCAGAGGCCAGATATTAAATCTATAGAACATATTCACTACACCTATCATTAACTCACATATATGACAATGAGAACAAGACCTTGGCAAAATCCAGGATCTCCAGGGTTGGCACCACCAAGTCATCAGATATCAACCAATGCATCATTGATAAAATAAACTACCAAACTTTGATGAGGTGTTACATGGTCACCAGTAGGCTAAGTTAGTTCCGCCAGCATCTTCACTGTGCTTTAGAGGCTATGTTCAACTGGGTCCATGTATCCCAAGGTCCGCAAATTCTGGATAAGAATTTACAATATGATATATTCTGTAACCCATGCTAATATTCCCAATTTCCTGTTAAGTATTTTATTTCTTAAATTAATATAAACATCTGGGTTCAAACATATTTCTGGCTGCTAGGATAGCAATGGCTAAAAATTGGAAGAACCCCACTATTGCTATAGAGTTTGTCAAACAAACTAAATTGGGTGATGAATAATAAACTAACATGTTCTCAACATAATACCTAAAACAAGTTTAAGAGAAGTAGAACCTATGGATTCGATACCTTTCACTGAATTCCTTCTTCTTATCCTTCCATCCTCTTTCCATCTTGCGGAGGTCCACCACCCCAACTTAAGTGGGCCTGTTCCTATGCTATAGTTCCTATTGTCATGTATTGCCATGTCTAACCTACAGTATTGGTAGAGGTGCACCACAATGAAAATGTCAAAAACGAAACCGAAATAAAAAAAAAAAAATTTAAGGCCGAAACTGAAAGTTTTTTATTTTAACTTTAATGTTTTTTTATATTTTATTAATTTTTTTATAAACTTTAATTTTTTTTATTCATTTTTAATATTTGCATTTTTTTTTTACTTTTAGGGGCTTCGGGGAAATATTAGGGGTCTAAACAGACCCCTGATATTTCCCTTTTAGAATAGAAAAACAGATTGAGGACAGAGTCCTCAATCTCTCTTTCTGTGTCCCCTGTTATCGATGAACAGGAATCCTCTATGAGTGTTCCCGTTCATTCATAACATTGTGTGTTTACTATAACTACAACTATGAATGAACAGGATGTGATTTAGATCACTGCCATTCATTCATAATTGAGGATATAGTAAACATACAATGTCCCCAATTATTTACAAACACCCAGTGATCACTGAGTGTTTGTACCGCTCTCCTTCCTGACAGCTGTTACAGGAGGCTGAGCTAACAGAGCTCAGCCTGCTATGACAGCGCTGACTTTCCGCCCACACTGCTCTCTTCTGATCTGTGACAGGAGGCTGAGCGGGGTGGGAGGAGAGACGCCGGCCGCTCACAGCACTCTTCTCCCGCAGCACTCGACCGCCTGCAACAGTTTCTCTTCTCCCCGCTGGGACACAGAGCAGCGCCCAGCAGGGAGGAAAGAAAGCAGGGATGCGCCGATGTATCGGCCAGAAAATGGCACTTTCGGCATTATGCAAAGGTGCCATTTTCGGCCGATATATTGGTGCATCCCTGGTTATTTGAACCACTATATATAAATAATACTCTTGACAATGTAAAGGGACCAAAATCCTTACAGGGCATGATTATGCAGCCGCACAAACAAAATGACTAATAAGCAGTTTTAAGAAAGTGACTTTACTGTTACATTCTTGGTTCATAACTGTAGATGACATTGCCAATGTCCTGGTCTGTTATATTTTCTACCTCGAAACAATAAACAGAATGAAATACAAAATTAATGTATTGGTAGCCCAAAACATCATAGCATACCTCAGGATTTATAATACAGTTATGTAAAATATATATATACACCGATTAGAACAATGGAAAGACAAGCTTTAAGAAAAATTTAGCTTATTTCCTCCCACCATTTTGACTGCATTTGGTTGGCAGAATTGCTGCTGGTGTTCCTCTGAGGACCTCCTGCTCGCCTTCCCTCAAATGACTTAGATTTTTGCGACAAGGGTTTTTCCAAAAATCCAGAATGTTTTCTTGTCGGAACAAATGACAGCGCATTTTTCCAGTCTCCTGTGTCCTTTGTGGCCATCAGTATTTCAATCATTTGATTTAGGGTAAGATTTTTTGCACCAATGTCCCATTTCAGGTAATTGTCTAATGGCAGTCTCGCAGTAGCTAAATTCAGCCGCTTTGCAATTCCTAGAGACACTCCTGTCTTTTGACATTTATCAACAAACGCACCAACAATGTAAATCTTCTCATGATCAAATTCTTTTATCACATTTGGAGAATCAGCTGTCAAGTACACGAGTCGATCTCGAGGAAAGATGTCAATGTGAGATTTTTCTGTGGCAGTTATTAAGAGTTTGTCCCATGCCTCTTGGTAGCGCTTCACCAGTTCTTTATGATATGGGCCCCCGGGTTGTAAATTGCAGAAATGGATGTGAAATGGATCACCAGAGATTTTGTTGGACCCTACACTCATCATAAGCTGACTTACTGTGTTCTCGATTTCTTTTTGTGACATATATCGATCATACACCATATCAAATACTAATGGTTGCCCATGTATCATTGACTGAACAGTTCGCCACCCATAAAAACTATCCTCACTTGAACTGAAAAGTTTTAAGAGATATGTGCTTATTTTTTCAGTGCTTCCTTCCATTTCACTCCTTAATGTTTGCTTTTCTAGTTTCTTTCTTTCCCTGCTTTTCTTTCGGAATTCTTTAAACATAAGTTCCTTCAAGTATTTCTTTCTTGAGGACTTGGTAGGTAGTTTTAGAAGTTCCTGCAGCTCCTCTGTGCTAACAGAGTCTGGAACAGATTTCCCTGCTAGTCTCCACATGTCAACCAGCTTTTGCATACTTTCTATAGAAGATTCCTCTTGTGTGTCTGATTCTTCCTGATCAATAGTGCTCTGCGTTCCGCTTCGAAGAATATCTTTCCAGGAGTCTAGGTTTAATGTTTCAGTGGCTGTAGGTTTGTTTTGACTCCTCCAACCATGGGTCAGCATCAGCATTCTACATTGTGAGAGCTGGTAACATACTTCAAATGTTAACTGTTTATTTATACACCTTCTTATCGATAAAGGGAATGTAGAAGACCTAACATTTCTTAATACTGCATTCATGAATGCCATCTTGAAGGATGAACATAACACTGTAAAAGCAAGAAAAGAAACATTCATATCTAAACTAGTATACATATTATTGTACCACTCACAATATATTTCGACTTAGCAGGAATTATAAAAAATTTGAATTACAATTATAATTTTCAAGAAATTGTTAAGCACACAACAATGGAAAAGTAACATATACTTTTCCATTGTTGTAATAATGTTACTTTTCCATAAAAGTAACATTATTAAAAATAAGACTCTCAAAACCATCCACCACTGTGTCCAATACTTGTTTTGTCCCCACTCTCATCAATTTTCCCCAGATGTTTATTACTGCAATTTGCTATGTGTACTTCTACCAGATGACATGACAGTGCTACACCCTTAATAACTAGATGTTCAGGCACTGAATGCAGCATTATGGTAGGGCAAGGGAATGTGCATATATTCTATACCTTAAACAGTTGGGATTCTCAGTGGGGTGGAACAGTAAGGAGGAACAAGGAAGTATAGGCAGTGGAGTGTAGGAATAAAAGGACCAAATATATCAAGACTTAATACCTCATGAAGAGGAGAAATAGCTCCAAATAAAAATGCCTTAAAAATACATTCAAGTACCTTTAAATATGAACTAAAATTTATCTTATTTGTGTATCACCCAGCTGTAGATCCTCAAATCATCTCGGAATTGGTGCTGACACTGTCCTTCCTTCTGGAGGGTGGCTACTTTTTCCCCCATGGTCCCTGTGTGTGTTGTAAAATAGCCACCACTCCAAGCTCACTCCTGTGATAGACTACAAGCTCAGTATAAATCAGAAAACTAAACGTGAGATTGTAGTTCATCACGGGAGAGAGCTTGGAGCGGTGGCTCGTGGGTATCAGCTGGAGGTGGGGAAGGAGAACGACGAACATTAGTTTGCTGATCTCCTACCCGCTAAATGGGACTGGAAGCGCTGGTCACTTCTGGTTCCTCAGCTGTCATTGCACGGCTGCAGAAGCAGTGGAAATGTGACACGTGGGGTCTTTAAAAATACCTGCCACCACTAGTATGCGATCACATAGTGGACTTGTAAGCCCCCTTATGTGATTGCAATTAAGTAAAAAAATAATGTACAAAAAATATGTTTGTTAAAGTTCCCCTCCCCGGCAAGCGTGTATCAATGTAAACATGCGTCGGGTGCACCTACGTACGTAAAGTATGATCATGCTACATGTTAGCTATTGCAACGTGCGCCAGAGAACAATAATTCTAGGGCCAATATTTACGGATATCTTTAAACTGATGACCTGTACAGGCTTTTAAAGCGTAGCCTGTGGACAATGTGGGGTACTGAATTTTGTCGGTTTCACAGACACACACACTTTCTGACCTGGACATGTTGGGTATCTGTTTACTTGTCTTTTATACTTTACAAAAATAAAGTGTGGTAGTCAGATAAAAGAGAAGTATATATTTTTACAGGTATAATGTAGGGTTTTTTTTAACATGGGGGAGGCAGTAAGTAATAATCGGACCTTGCATTTTAGTGTGAGGATTGTTATAGGTCAATACAGCAACACAACATGTAAACCTGTGCATTTCTGGTTCCTACCCACAAGTCTACCAACTAAAAAAAAAATCAGACACAAGTGCAGTTACTTCTTACATGGACATAGTGACAGATGTGACCCCCTGAGACATGCTGGAAGGAATGGACACTACAACTATAGAAGTCTTTATTAGAAGTTTTCTCCCAATCAATGTTTTGTCCGGTTTTCCCTGTTTCTGCTCCGAAGTATAGATCAGGAATTGCTGAGACACACGTCCTTCGTGATCTGAAGGAAGCCCGTCACTAACCAACCTTTCCATCCCTGTAAAACCACTTATGTCCTTCCCGGAGAAGGATACCCCTTACTCACCATGTAGTTCTCCCAGACACGTGAGGACGGAAGTGAGACGTTGCTCTATTTCCGCTTCCGGCGTACCAACGCTGTGTTTTTTTTTTTTTTTTTTTTTTTTCTTTCTTTCAGATCTGACAGTCCTGGAGTTTCTTACACATGCTGGATGAGTAGAGAGCTCGGTGGAACGCGTTCTATCGCCGCTAAGGTAATAGGATTGTACATGGCATTATCTGTAATTGTCAGCCCCTGCTCCTGTAATAGGTTTTTGCCTCTACCAGCAGTTTGTAGAGCTTCAGATCCATTTACTGTAGTGTGTATCATGGAATATGGCATCCTCAGCAATGTCCTTAGGGTTTTGCTGAAATGCTTTCTTTCATAGTGTTGCAGCAGTTGTTCAGAAAGGATGCTGACTGCACAGACCTGTTCTTCATTTGGAGGGACGGTCACTTATTTGGAACCAAATCTCTCTTTCCTCCTCACTTGTCCCTCTTTTTGGTCTAAAGTACAGACATCTATGACAAGGTTCTATTTCACTACCAAAGGTTTATTCTGCAATAAAACCTTCAAGTTATCTAATAATTATCTTACCTGTTATTTTTAAAAGTGTAAGGAAACGTAATGGTGACAAAAAAACCCTCTATTCAATAGACGCGTTTGACAAACGACACCACCTGTCAGAAGCGACATGCTCTTGAATTTTTTTCCGCACCTCAACGCAAAGCATCATGGCTTCAGCAATGTGTACAGCACCATGTGAACAAGGCTTAAAGCTAGCCATACTCCTATAGATTATCTGCAGATTTTCTCTGGTCAGATGGGAAAGGTGCAATAGATTCCTCCAACTACGCTAAACTGTGTGTATGGAGGAATCTCCCACTGGGCCAAGCTTCAGTATCTTGCTAGTCGGCCCGCTGGTTGTTAAAATACCTGAACAATCTAGTTGGATGTAGACATTGTTCAGGTATTTTAACAACCAACGGGGCCGACTAGCAAGATCCTGAAGCTTGGCCCAGTGGGAGATTCCTTCATCCACACAGTTTAGCGTAGTTGGAGGAATCGATTGCACCTTTTCCATCTGATCATAGAAAATCTGCAGATAATCTATAGGTGTATGGCCAGCTTAAGTTGGTGATTAGACCTCCACCCGATATTCCACACTGATACTTTTTAGTAGGTTTCTGGGGGACCTGCTGTACATTGTGAGATGGAGGAAAACCACAGTGCTAGCCTAGAGTAAGGTTATTATTTGCATATCAGCCTAGCGAGTTTAACTTTTTGTTTGATCTATTCATCTTTCCTGATAAAACATAGAAAAACGAAGGTAACTTTCTGTTACGAATAGGCAGCAATGGGGAGATCACACAAGATACATGAATAGTGGATGTGCATTTCAGAAGAAAGTTTATTTCCCTGAAGATCTGTTGTCTAATCATCAGACCCCCTAGTGTATGTCCACTTCTAAAGTAATATGTATTCCTTTTTAATCTTCTGCACTAGTTCACCCATGTTTGTGCAGCAGCTGTCTCTGCAGACAAACCTAGGGTATGAGGCTACTCTCTTTTTCTCATTTCATACTCCTGGGCATTAGTTTGTATTACTATCACTTAAGAGTTCATTTTACTAGATCTCCCCTTAAGGACACTGGAAAGCTTTACCGTTTTTGGAGAATAGGAGGAGAAGGTATGAAAACCATGTTGGTATGTAATGCCCAAGAAATGAATGTTATTAAACTGTGTCTCCTTCTTTTCTAGGCATTGGTCTTTGTTTGGATCTCAATAACGGAGGAACCATGAGTTTTCTCTTGCCAAAACTGAGCACTAAAAAAGAAGTGGATCAGGCGATTAAAACCACAGCAGAGTTGGTCTTGGTTCTTCGATTTGGAAGAGATGATGATTTTGTTTGCTTACAGCTTGATGACATAGTAGGTTTCCATGGCTTTTAATAAAATATATGTGACAACCCCATATTTTCTATTGCTTATGTTTTTTTAAATTTAAAAATGATTGCCATGTAATCAACTTAAAGGAGATAAAGCTTAAAGTTGTATATGATATTTATTTACAACCTCCCTCTCCTTTGCAAGCTATTCGCCATCAGTCATTCGTGTAATACTTAACTGACGGCAGATCTGAGCTGTCTGATTGTGGCTCCTGTTGAAGCTGCCATTCCGCAGCACTACCTGCACCCAGATCCCTCCCTGCATGGTAGCTGCTTTTAAGATGTAACATTAGATTAGAGAATACATGGGAAATAGAAAATAAGTTATTGTGTATTTAGAGTTCAGGTCTTCATTAAACTATATTTCTGTGTTATTAGCTTTCAAAGACATCACACGACCTGAGTAAAATGGCAACCATTTACCTTGTTGATGTGGATAAAGTGCCTGTCTACCGCCAGTACTTTGATGTCAGTTATATACCATCTACGGTCTTTTTCTTTAATGGACAACACATGAAAGTGGATTATGGGTAAGATAGATTGTTGTTTTTGTTTGCTGTTTTTTTAATTTTAGATAAGGCTTACATATGCAGAAATAGAGCCCTGAAAGGTTTTATTTATTTATCAAATTACAAAACAAGAAAAATCTTGATGTATTTCACTCTATAGTGCTTGATCATAAGGCTAAACTGCAAAACACATCAAGGCTTTTCCTCTGCTGTAATGTGCCAATTTAAATAAAACCTCCCAGGACTATATTTCTGCATATACACTGGATACACAGAGCCAGTGAGCAGGAGGAAGTGTGGTTGCTGGTCCGTCACCCAGTAGCAGTGGCTACTGTTACTCAAGGTTTAGTCTGCACTCTGTGATTCCTTCAAAGCCAGTCACCCAGTGGCAGTGGCATCTGATTGTGTTACTCAAGGTTAAGTCAGCAATGAATGATTCCTTCAAAGCACTGTCTGGCTATAGGGTGAAGTCATATCAGTGTTTTTAGACATTTAAGTTAAAGGAGAATTATGGGGTGAGTGAAAAAACACTCACCCCCCTAATTCAAGTCGACCTATGACACTAAAGCTGTCACAGGTTAGCTCTTTTGATCGGGAAGTCAGTGAACATACACCACTGATCGCTGACTTCCTGATCCTCTCAGTCACCACTTCCCGCAGGCATCACGCCCTCCCCTCTCCGTTTCTCCAGCGCTGACTGGAGGAACGGAGAGGGGAGGGGGTGGGCACAGCTGGCTCTATCAGCCATTGAGGTGGGTCTCAATAGTATTATGGGGATCCATCCCGGCTGCAGCACGGCTCTGTGCTCTCAGCATAGTGAGTTTTGGGTCACCGGAGGACATTAGCATATGTCCTACAGTGACCCTGAAGAGAACTATGACCAAAAAAAGTTTCCCCACTGTTCTCCTTTAAATATCTAAATCCCAAACTTTTGTTTTTAGTTTGGGACAGAGTATGGAAGCGTTGGAACCACTATAATGTTTTTATTGCTAATTATGAAAGAAAGCCGACAAGGCAGACTTCCTAAAAACTTTTTTTAAAGTCTCATATTAGAAGAATAAACATTGATGTTTCACGGTGGCCCTCTTTTTCAAGGTGACAAACTGAGAGAGCCTTGAAAAAGAGGGTCACTGTCTTGAAAACGCTGTCATATTTTCTTCTAAAATGGAACTTTAGTAAACTTTTTTTTCTGCATTTTCAAGTCTGGTGTGCTGGATTTCTTTCATGGTTGGATTTATATGATAGCAGCATTTAGCTGTGCACCTACCCTTAATAAGGAATCCCTAAGAAGTTTGTGCAGTATGGTAAGATGAAGTTTAAGTTTTTATTGCTGCCTGTGTCCTGGGTAGATGCACTCTTTTATTTGTCTTGGTGACCATTGTAGGTGGGAAAGAGAAAGATGCGAAATCCAAATGTTTTAGCAGAACAGGATCGGAAATATCAGAAATTGGGGGCACTGGCAAAAACAACATCCCTAATAAGGATTTTACCATTCCATATGCTAACCAAAACAACAAAAAACGTTTTGGCTCTAGATATACCTGAAAAGCTATGGGACACTTTTAGTAGCATTTACCTAGAATTTGCCTTGATCCTGTCACAGAGGTATTTAGAGTCTTTTCTATACTCAGTATCTCTTGCTAGCATCTTTTTTTTTTTAAAAGGCAGTCAGCATGGTCATGGAATGGCAAGTTGGCTCAAGAACATTACAGTTTAAATCTGTAGCAAAATTTAGAGCAATGTAGACATGGCTTTATAGTTGCTGTATTATTGCTATAGATCTCACATCTACAATTTCCCCCTTATTTTATTGTCAAAGCTGATATTCAGTGCTGAGTTCATGTCCAATTTTAGTCAGGTGTAGAGAAATACATTTAAAATTCAGGATCCAAATGGTTTGGTGTCTGTCATAAGGGACTGCCGAGCCTTGATCAGGGCTTACAAGATTTAGAAACTTTGAAGACTGAAGATAGATCTAGAAAGTGTGATCAAAAAATAGGGTGAATGTTTCAATTTAAAAAAAAATGTAATTACAGTAAAAGAGACATTGCCATTAATCCCCCTCAAAATACTCCCCCTCGCTTCAAACACACTTTTCCCGTTATTCTTGCCACTTTCTGAGCAGTTCTGGAAGTCTTCTTTCAGGAGTGTCTTTTAGTTACGCTGTCATGGCTGCCTCAGTGTCCTGAATCGATTCAAAACGGTTCCCTTTCATGATCGTTTTTACTTTGTGGAAGATTTAGAAGTCGCACGCTGCCAGACCCGGTAAATAAGGTGGATGAAGACACATTGTAATATTGTTATTTGACAGAAATTGCCATACCTCAGGCAATGTGTGACACGGAGTGTTGTAAAAAATGTTTTCATGGTCACTGCAGCATCACCATAAATGTATCATTTCGTGTGTTTCTTGAGCACTTTTTTGCAGTTTGAAACAAAATTTCATGTTAATGCATTGTTCGTGATCCATGCTTTACAGCACACTTTAAAATACACCTTTCAACCAAAGCTCACAACCGACTGACTGCACCAAACAACTTGTCTCACACAGTTACTAAGGGTCAACGCACAGCTTCCCGTACTGAAGATCCTTTCCGTTGGATGGCACTTGGCAGCAGCATTCACCGTATTGTTTTGATCACACCTCATTTTTATCCTAAATATGTTTAAACTCACTCGCTGACGATTGAATAACTACCTCCACTGGAAGTCTGTTCTGAGCATCCACCACTCTTTCAGTATAATCATTTCTAACTTTACTTCTGCAATTTTCTCCTGTTAGTTTCAGGTCCTGTGTTCTTGACTTTTATTTTTATTTTGCAGATCTCCAGACCATACAAAGTTTGTGGGAAGTTTCAAGACAAAGCAAGACTTTATCGACCTTGTTGAAGTGATCTACAGGGGAGCAATGCGTGGAAAGCTGATTGTGCGGAGTCCTATTGACCCCAAGAACATTCCAAAATATGATCTTCTGTATCAAGAAGTTTAAAGTGGTTTCCATGTTCAGAAAACTATTGTTTTCCTATGACTCTAGTTAATTACAAATGCATCCTGTGGCTGCTATTGTACAGAATGATTCATGCTCAAAAGAGGGGATCCCTGCAACAAACATCTACTAATGGAATGTAGTTTCCAGTGTTCTAACACATAGCAAGGGCTTTACCATGTTGCTAAAAACACCCATCAGAAATCACAAGACATTCTTTGGTCTGGTTCCATCCGGATTTTCACAAGTGCAACAGATTGCTTACCTAAAGCACTGTTTTTTGTTTGTAAATGCACAGGGTTATTCACAAAAGGGTGAAGAGTTTGGAGAATGCAGGAGAAGTGAATAATCTAGAACGTAGCTGATTTGGAAAAAATCTCCAATTCAGCTCACTTTCAAGTTCAGCTATGTTGTCCTAGATTGTTCTCTTCTCCTGCCTTCTCCAAACTCTTCACCCTTCTGTGAATCACCCTGTCAATGCTTTCATTGGACTTATTTATGAAAATAAAGTATTTTTTTTTTAAGTATACCTTAAGAAATTCTTATTTATGCATATATATAGTTTTTTCGGCATGGAGTACCGATATTTATCTTTCGGTACTGGCCGATACTGAGTACCGATACCGGTTCTTCCACTAGCGTGGAGCTTGCATCTCGGACAATCAGAAAGCGGCTTCCTAGTTCACAGCGTCCAGCTGGCTGTTTGGCCGGCTCGATGTTGATTGGCCGAGAAGCTGGCTTTCCAAACAATCGGCATCAAGCTGGCTTCCTGGCCAATTAGGAAGCCAGGTCATTACCCGCTGTCCGGCTTCCTGATTGCATAGAGCCAGTTTCCCGGCCAATCAGCATGGAGTCCGTTTCCTGGCCAATTAGGAATCAGGGCAGCGAGTCATTACCCACCGGCTGGCTTCCTGATTGGCTGGCAAGCAGACTCCCATGTTCCCTCGAGGAAGAGGAAATCTCTCCCTGACCAGAAGGTCCAGTATCGGGGAAGGTATTGGAGCATTTTGGCGAGTACGAGCACAAACACTCGGTATTGGCACCTGTACTAGTATCGGTGCATCCTTATTTAAAATTAACAACTATTTCCTATGACATTAAACTACAGATTACAGTTGATTTTATGTGTCTCAGCACAACGCCCCATGCTGAGGGAATGTTAAGTATGTTGATGTAAAGTACAGAGACATTTCTTGTTGTTTTGTTTTCTATTTTTAATTTTGCTTAATTTTTTTTCAACATGCTCAAAAAACCCCAAAATAATGCAACATATTTTATAATTTAGTGGTGTCCATATCCATTCTCAAACCATTATGTAATGAAGTGCTACATGGTGGACACAAAGGTCTAAAAGTTCTCAGTCCTACAAATGACAATTATTCTCCGTCGTTCTGCCCAATAGGTCTACATTGTTTTACATCCACAATCTCTAACCTTTGATTATAGAATCATATTCTTAACATATCTACTATTTCTAGACACATTGTTTTCATTAGTTACATGTACGCTTGGTAGAACTTCTAGTTATCATTGTATGTGCAGGTGGAATCAGACTTCTGCGACTCTTTGAAGATCTGCTGATAAATCGAAAAATAGACCGGAAAGCAACAGAGGGAGCCAGGTCATGGTTTTCTGTGCCCGCAGACACCTTTGGGCAGTCTAATTTCCTTAAGGAGCCAGTGGGTCTGTCTAAAGGTTTTGCACTCAATACCCAGCTCCTACAATGTAAACGTATCCAGGCTTGGATTTCTGGCTCAGTTCTTGCCTGATGCTGAGCATGGTGTTTTGAGTCTATAAATGCTACAGCACTGACTTTGCTCATAACTTCCTTACTTTCCTTACAAAGTAAATCCATAAACACTAACCCACCATAGCCATGTGCAATAAATGATATGTTGCTTGCAGCACTTTTTGAGATGAAATGGTCCCAGACATAGCTGGTGTGCTCTTCTGCTGAGCTGCAACACCTTTTGGGAACAATAATTTTTGGTTGAAGTGCAGTGAGCCCAACCTTATCCCCAGTTTCTATAAGGCAGGACTCCTCTTCTGTTTTCACCAATGTATGCGGTTCCTCTTTCACCTCCACAAAATTATCATTCGGATTTAGCACAATCACAGACCCACAGTCTCTTAAGGCAGCCTTAATATATGAGATCTGTGTACCTTTGCCTATCGAGTGATGGAATATTACTTTTTGGGCCCATTGACCAGCTCTGATCACCCCACGGTCTTGAAGCAGCACAAAAAGGTTTGTCTGTATACTCAGCAAATCTTTACTCATGAAGAAAAAAGACCTTGACTCATCTTCAGCAGCATCGATTGGAATGTTAATCCTTTGAAGATTGCAGTCTTTTTCTAGCAGCTCATAAACATAAAGTGTAACCATATCCCCAATCATTTTATATCGTTTGTGGTTCCTATCATATTCATTTTTGTAATAGTTATACAGAAAGGGTTTATTGGTAACCATGTGTCTCAACTCCCCTTGCTCATTGAAATAATACTGGAGGTCCTCAAAATGCTGCGGGATTTCTGTGCCGTCTTTGAATTTCATCAATCCTTCCATGTCTTCAAAGAAGAAAAAAAACAATAGTTCAGATAACATTGTGGCATTTTTTCTGCAAGCTTTATGCCGAAAAATAATAGTTTAGAAACTACTGTGGGATTTGTTGTGCATGTCACACACATACATCATAGATTTATGTCATGTATCAGGTGAAAACAGTAAGTGTATGTATCCGGAAAGGTAAATCCAAACCCTTTTATTATTACTATACAGGATTTATATAGCGCCAGTGCTTTACAATATAAGGAGGACATTACAGTTAGGAGGGCCCTGCACATGAAAGCTCAGAATCTTTTTATTTGCAATATTCTTTATGGAGGCTTTGTAGCAGTAAGCATATTGAATACACCAAATGTTAAAGGAGAACTATGGGGTCAGGGCTTTTCCCCATAGTTCTCCTTAGGGTAACGGGAGGACACAAACTAGCGCCCTCCCGTTACCCTAAGCTCAGTATACCGCGAGCTACAGCTCGCAGCATACTGAGACGCCGGAGCGGATCCCAACATCGATGTCGAGATCCGCCCAGCTCTGTCCGTTCCGCCAGTCAGCGCTGGCAGATCGGAGCGGGGAGAGGGGAATCCAGCCCCTCCCCTGTCACGGCAGAGAGCCGTGACAGGATCGAGAGGTGAGTGAACGCCGGTATATGTTCGCTCACCTCCCGATGTACTGAGCCGACGTGTGACAGTCTCATTGTCACAGGTCGGCTAGAACTATGAGGTGAGTGAAAAGCACTCACCTCATAGTTCTCCTTCAAAGGAAATGTTGGGAGAAGCAGAGGCTGCTATTGCTGGCTTCCTGTTGAAAATGTTTTTTGCTTCAATGTCATGTTGATCCAAAGGCTTCAGCACTTTCTGAATCACTGACCTGGAACAAGTGTACAGATTAGGTTATGATTCTTCAGTTTTAAAGGTGGCCATACACTTTACAACCATCGCAAGACCTTAGTCTTGCGATGGTTGTAAAGTAATTAAAAAAACCTACGATCTGCCCATCTTGGACAGGCAGACCGTACTTGCGATCATCGATCATGCTCCTTAGACAAAAGACGTGCAACCGTACAGTAAAAACGGTTGCACGCCTTCTATACACTTTGCGATTATCGTACGATCGCGGGATTATCGTGCGATAATCGCACAGTGTATGGGCACCTTTAGGCTTGTTTAGGGTCAGTGGTTTATAAAGTAATGAACCCTCTTGATAACATGTTTACAAGGAGATCAGTCATGGAGACCCCGATATTTCTTCCTTTAAAGCCGAATTCTGGGCAAATCAAATCCTAACCCTTGCAGCGGGGCTTCCCCCGCACTGGAAGGTTTAAGTGCTTATTTTACCTAGGGTGCTAAAATAACAGTTAATGTCACCTGAACCGCAATCCCAGCTTGCTCTTAGACTGCTCACTACAGCCTTGCTTTCCTTCTGCTCCAGAGGTCTAAGGTCCTGTGGGTCATCACATGCAATACAATCTGTTGGACATGAGGACACCGAGAGACATTCCATCGTTGGAGTGGAGGAAACAGACTGCAGGATCTGGTCTAAAGGTGCCCAAGCTCTACGCACGATCGCGGGATTAATCGCGGGAAATCCCGCGATCGTACGATAATCGCAAAATGTACGGAAGGCGTGCGACCGTTTCTACTGTACGGTCGCACGTCTTCCGTCGAACAAGCAGGCTGGAAAACCCGCCGGGAATCGTACGATTCTCGGCGAGTTAGTGGCCTGCTTGTTCGACAACTGCCGAACGGGCCGGTGTGCGCACGTGCACACTGCCCGTTTGCAGTCATCGGAAGCCCGCCCCCATTGCAGGCATCGGAAGCCCGCCCCTCAGGGGGGCGGGCTTGCGATGGTCGCAAGTACGGTCTGCCTGTCCAAGATGGGCAGATTGTACGTTTTTTTTATTACTTTACAACCCTCGCAAGACAAAAGTCTTGCAAGGGTTGTAAAGTGTATGGGCACCTTAAGTGCAAGCCGGGATCGCAGTCCAGGTGAGTATAACTCATTTTAGTTCCCTAGACAAGATGCCCCACTCTGAGAACTGGCATGCCTCTGTATGCTAGATTAGTGTTGCTCTTAATTTCTGCCAATTTCTTAATCTGAAAACTGGCAGTAATTATGTTTTAATCACTTGCAGTCATAGTGACAGGTTCTTAAAGAGGAGGTAATAATAGGAACTACTGCATCCCATCAGATGCAGTCACTGTTTGGGTATTCAGACAGCCACAGCACCCACTGGCAATAGCCAGCAGTGGTAATCCCTCCATCCATGCTGTTTAATGTGGAAGGAGAATTCTACTGATTTTCTCTTTCAGTCTTTGGGACCCTAATGAATCAAGTCTATGATGTACGCAATGTATACCAACAGCACATCAATGGGATAGCTTTTGACATTAAAAACAGGTAGACAAATTTGAACGTACTAAAGTCAGACCACCATATTCTGATACTATGGGTTGTGCTTCCGCCCTTTGCTTCCTTGTAAATACTACAAAACCTGTACTGAGGAAATACATAGGGCGGCGGCGGCTGCTGCTGCTGCTGCTGCTACTACTACTAACCTCTGCTAATAATTCTAGTTGCTTGGCTGTCATGCTGATCCATCAACTTCTAAATCACTGAACAAATTTGCAGATCAGGATTTACTTTTAGTGACTCAGTGAAAAAAAGTGAAGCCTCTGGATAATTATGACAGCCAGACAGCTAGTATTTTCAGGAGGATAGGTCTGCAATGTCAGCCTCAGTATGTCTCTCAGAACTGATTTGTTTGAAGGTAAGCATGAGCTCTTATGCCGAGAGTAATGTGTAGGCTGCTACTACTCGTGACTCCATTCTAAACATGCTTGTCGCCCAATCATCACGTTGATCCTCTGACTCCAACACTATATGAGGCAAGAGCAAATATACAGCAAACAAAGTTAGAAAGGCTGATCTGCAGAATGTTCTAGGCCCCATAGAGGATTAGAGACAGAAAATTGGTATTAAAGACAAGCAACTAGTATTTCCAGAGGAAGCCAACATTAGAGGGTTTCACATTTCCTTCAGCAGGGGTTTCCTTTAAAATATAATTGTACTTTTGTATAGTTATCTATTAAGTTAACCAACCCCAAAAAAAAAAAATCATACCTACCTGTCCATGTTTCTGTCAGGTCCACACTGTGCAGCCCATGGGGAGCTGGGGAGCTGCCACTGCAAACACATCCACTTGGTCCCTCGCTTCTTCTGCACATGTGAATGAAAAACCCATTCATTCCTGTAGAGAGGTATATCGCTGGGGCACATGATAGAAGGACTCTCTAATAAAACAAATAGGATTTTTTTCCCATATATGTGCACACGTGAGGGACTGGCCTAACGAGTTTGCTGCTTTTAAAAGGGGATAACCTAAAGGTGTTTACACCTTCCGTTCAGAAATCCTGCTGGTGTTACCCATGCATGTGCAGTAACCTACCATAGACTTGAATGGACTCTACCTTTTAAGTAAGGCCTCATTCAAATCTATGGGAAATGAAAGCACATGCAGTGCGGCGATTTCTGAATGGACGATGTAAACAACGCGAGAGGTCACCGCTGTTACAGAAACATATGTGGGAAACAAGGTAGAGGGGGGGAGTTAGTTTACAGTAGATGAGTGTGGGTAGGGAGTGGGGCTACGGACTTTTTTTTTTTTTTAATCTAACCCTCCCTGAACTTGTCCCTTAAAGAACTATGGGGTCAGGGCTTTTCCCCATAGTTCTCCTACGGGTAACGGGAGGACACAAACTAGCGTTCTCCCGTCACCCAAAGCTCAGTATACCGCAAGCCACAGCTCGAGGTATACTGAGATGCCGCAGCCGGAACGGATCCCGACAATTATGTCTGGATCCACCCAGCTGGCTTTGCCTATCTAGAGGCCGAGCCAGCTGTACCCGCCCCCTCCCCCGTCCGTTCGGCCAGTCAGTGCTGGAGGATCGGAGCGGGGGGAATCCAGTCCCTCCCCTGTCACAGCTCTCTGCCGGCACAGGATTGAGAAGCGAGCGAGCGCCGGTATGTGTTCGCTCACTTCCCGATCTAAGGAGTATAACCATACTAGAGTATTATTATCTGGTAATTAACCTAAAGTGGAACTTGACTTACTTTGATCCCTCAGAGTGTATTGCCATGATGTGCAAGTACGCATCTCATAATTGCACAATCTGGTACTTATCGTTCAGTGCGTACTCCTGCAGTGAGGAGATGACAGTAACAGGACAAGGGGGAAAAAGCAGACCTCTTCTCCCACTCTTTTCCTGGGTCTGAAGTTAACTTTCATCTCTATTGGCCAGCCACAGATCATGTCACTCCCATGCATGTGCGCAAGAGGATGCCCAGAGTAAGGCTAGGTTCACACCTAGGGTGATTTATCGCGCAGATTTAGCCACGCAATATCGTACAAAACAGAGATTTGCATTCAAGACTATGGAGGCTGTTGACACCTTTGCGGATTTGCCGCTCGATAGACATTGCCTGTCGCACATAAAGGTGCAGGAGCTATTTTCAGGTGGTTGTCCCACAGTTTGGATCCCATAGATATCGCTATGCATTGAAAACCATGCGACAACGACGCGCTCACCAGCTCAATCGCCTAGCCTAAAAGTCAGCATCTGGCTCCTACTCCTAGTCGGCAGTCATTGTAAAATTTAAAAAGAAAACGTTTTTTTTGGTCAGGGGAGACATGCAAAGTCTCTTTTTAGCAGCATAAAAACATACCTGCTAGCAACTTTTACATTGGTATCTTTAGTTTCCCTTTTTGAAGGAGAAGTGCACTTTAAAATATATGATATATATGATAAAATATATGAAGATGTCGTTTTGCTCCTTTAGGCTGACCTAATTGATTCCACCTCCGTTGCTTGTTTACATCCTGTGGCAAACATCTCCTGGCTGCACCAGCACAGCACATCCCATTGAATTCTATGGGGCCATCTCCCAGGTGTGGTACCGAGGTAGGCAAGTCCCATAAAAGTCAATGGGAATGTACTACGCAGGGGCAGCCCGTATAGCCACATTTTGGCCTCATCCACATGGGGGCCACACATAACATTTGAGGTGTATTTCCCCACCTAAGAAGCCACCCATAGACTTCAATGGCTGTACTGCAGGTATACGCTGGTTTTTAAACACACACATGCGTATGAATGGATGCCCCAAACGGCGTCTGCATTCTGGAGATATGTTTGGACGCATGCGCAAGATTGCAAAAGTACCAGTGTTCTGTCGAGAATCCTGACCCAGTCGAATTTGCCGACCTGTACATCTGCGAAGATTTATTTACAAAGTATTTATTTCTAATTGTTCATTTTGACCATTCATAAAATGCCATCCGAGCCAGCTGATAATAATAATAATAATAATAAATGGCATTTTATGTACATTCACAGTTAATAATGTAAGCAATTACACAATGTAATTGCTTACAATGTTAATTGTGAATGTGCATAACATGCCTTCCATTATTTACAGTCATGGATGACATATAATGAACTGTCACAATTAACATTTGGTATTAAATACTTTGTAAATAAACGGCTTGTTTCCTCGTTCATCCCGGTTTCTGCGCAAGCGCAGATGGTTAGGTCGGCAAATTCTACTGGGTCGGCATTCTAAACAAAACACGGCGTATACCAGCTGTACAGCCACTTAAGTCTATGGGGCAGCCGTATACAGCACGTGTGGCTCCCTAGCTGCGGAAATACATCTGAACTTTACATGCATGAGGCCTTATCATGAGAAAAATGGTGTCACTGCTGACCTGACAATGCTAGTTGCTTGGTTGTCATGCTGATCCTCTGCCATCAATACTGCGTCACTGACCCCCCAACATGCCCATGTCAGTGAGGCAAACAGCATGCCAGCAAAGCATCTAGCATTTTCAGGAGAGCTCAGCAATGGCCACCTCCATGCTCCCGCGGTCTGGTGTGGAGACAGCACAGCATGTACACTACTGTACAACGCCACTCACTTCTCAGAGAAGCTCCGCAGGAGTCACGTGACAGCAGCAGCCGAAGCTCCGGGCCGGGATCACGTGACTGCGCCTTCCACTTTCGCAGACGTCACGTCCGAGGGTTCGGGATACTGTTTCTGGACGCGGAGGAAAGGGGATATTTGTGAAGGGGGGCAAATAAAGTTCACGACGTGCTAATCAGCGAACATCCATGACAATCTGTGACAGCCATGGAAATACGGAAGTAGCCGTTCTAGTGTGTGGATGTAGGTGACGTCATTGGTCGACATTTGCAAGGTGGGAGCTATCCTCTGTGCTTTCCGTGTTATGAGTGCGAGTGATCGAATGATCTACGATTGGGAGTCATGATAGTAGACAGGATTTGCTTTTTTTATGATTGCAATGCATGTCAGTTCACATTTACATAATGCATGTATGGGTGCTGTTATCTGCAGGGACAGCTCCTGGTTTTGTATATGGTTCCCAGTTGTCTGCATTGTTATTGTGAGAGTTGACATGGACAAGAAGCAACATCGGAAGTGAATACAGTGCAATTAGTCTAACTTAAAGGCAAAGTCCAGCTTTTGCAAATAAAAATAATAATAAATTCACACATAAAAGAAATATGTGCATTTATTGATTTTTTTTTTTTTGCATTTGCAAGGCATTGTAACTGCAATCACCGGGTTGTGGGTGCAATGCTCTGGCTCCTGCAGACCTGTTTCCCCCAGCCCCTGTCTGTATTGATGTATGGTCTTTCAGTTACGGGGCAGGAGGAAGTACGAATGGACTACAAGTATGGTGACATCACCATACTTGTACTCCATTGGGAAATGCAAGTCCCTCTGCTGCAGGGAATCCTCTCAGTGGACGTGTGATTAGATCACTCAGCTGTGCAGACTTGCCTACCTGTAGTTCCGCTAGCATGGATCCGATTCCTGGCCAATCAGCATCAAGCCGGCCAAATGAGCATGGAGCTGGCTTCCCAGCCAATCGGTGGCGAGTCCTGATTGGCCTGGAAGCCGGCTCCATGTTCTCTCGCAGCACTGCCAGTCAGAGGAAATCTCTCTCTGACCGGAAGTGCCAGTATCAGAGCATTTTGATGAGTATGCGCCCAAATAGTCAGTATCGGTGCATCCCTAATCAATAATAAAATAAACACAAAAATTGTTTTAAAAGTCTCCTGCCGCCACATACACGCATATTTAAAAGCAAACGCATTGGGTACCCCTTCGTATAAAAACGGCAATTGTGCAACACATGTTTCTTATTGCCACTTAGGCTAGAGTGAGAGCAATAATTATAGGGCCAACTCTAAATGAATGACCTTAAAGATACCGTGTTTCCCCGAAAATAAGACACTGTCTTATATTTTTTTTGGCTCATAAAAAACACACAAGGTATTATTTTCGGGGTAGGTCTTATTTTTTTTTTTTTATGTACAACAATCGGCACTTATTCATGTACAACAGTCTACGTGTATTCAGGGCAATCAGGGGTGCCGTACCTTTCCAAGAGCAATTTGGTAACCAATCACACTTTCATTATCGATTCCTCACAGACGGAGTGCATTTGGTATCACTCCGCCTGTGACAGGAGCCGGCGCTATAGATGAGGCATCGGCTTATGCGGCTCTGCTCCCTCCGGTGCCGCCTCGCTTCTTCCAGCGCTGGCTTCTTTGGCACTGCTGATTATCTCCTGCCTCTCCCACGGGTCTTCAAGTTCCCCCTTATGCCACCACCGGCCCTGGGAATGGTCACAACTAGGTCTTATTTTCGGGTTAGGTCTTATATTTTAGCAATTTCCAAAAAGAGTACTAGGTCTTATTTTCGGGGTAGGTCTTATTTTCGGGGAAACAGGGTAGAATAGGGGATTGTTAAAATCCAACAGGCTTTTTTTTTCTTTTGCCATCTGTATTCTGTTGGGAAGTTCTCCCTTTACTTCCTGACCTGTAGATCTCAGTGGGAAGTAACCAGAAATCTCTCCAAAGTGAGGAAAATGCCCTTTTAGGCAGTTATTACTGGAACATGTGTCCCATAAGAACATTCTTCCAATATTCCTGTCGTGGTGAGAGCTCAGAAATTTGGCTTTTCATGCCTGATGACCCTGAATATAAATATAAACCAATATAGCGGGTGAATCTCTCTACTGAGACGTACAGTAAAAACTTGATAGGGGTTCTAAGCTCTTGCCACCTTTCCAGGTGTATCTAAAGGCATTGTTTTGCCTTTAGGTATTCTTTGAAACAGCCATCTATTATGTTTCCAGGAATCCTTGCTAATAATTGCTATGTCTGATGCTCACAGTACATGCGTGTAAATAGTGCATTGATATGTAAGAAAAAATAATAGAATAAGGAATGTAATGTACTTTGTACATTTGACACACAGGGCTGTTCTATGTGACCAAAATATTATTTTCATTTTTTTAAACTAAAAATGAAATTAAAAGAATGATAATTATAATGACCAGAAAAGAAACCAATTGCAAGAAGTGCTACACAGCTGCTAGTAAATGAGTCCAGAAGTATGTGCATTAGAATATCAATTTAAACAGTTCTTTTATTTGAGTCACCCGACTCCATATGCACATATCAAAGTCCTGATGAAGGGGGGGAGGGGGGTGTTATTAAGCCCTGGAACATGTTGGCTGTTTCATTTATTTGCAAAACAATGGTCTGGCACTCCTGTTGCATTTGGTAGTTTTTGTACTCTTGCTCTGGATTCTCAAATTAGGTGCCCTCTGTTCTACTAGTGCAGCCTGCTGGAGATTCATGGAATGGACTCATTTCCCTTTATCACTGTGATATCTATAAGGCCCAACGCCTCCTGCATACATTTTCTATAAAAGAAACGGAGACAGTGGAAATTGTAGTGTCCCCTCATATTGGTGGCCAGTAGAGAAGTGCTTTCTTATATTCGTGTCCATGTGAGGAGGACTCTTACATTGGTGGTCATTGGGACAATGGCATCTTCACACTGGTGGTCACGGGGAGGAATGCTCCTTAAATTGGTGGTCAGAATGTTCCTTTCATTGGTGCTTAGTGGGAAGAATGTTCCCTTCATTGGTGCTTAGTGGGAAGAATGTTCCCTTCATTGGTGCTTAGTGGGAAGATTGTTCCCTTCATTGGTGCTCAGTGGGAAGATTGTTCCCTTCATTGGTGCTCAGTGGGAAGATTGTTCCCTTCATTGGTGCTCATTGGGAAGTATGTTCCCTTCATTGGTGCTCATTGGGAAGTATGTTCCCTTCATTGGTGCTTAGTGGGAAGATTGTTCCCTTCATTGGTGCTCAATGGGAAGAATGTTCCTTTCATTGGTGCTTAGTGGGAAGATTGTTCCCTTCATTGGTGCTCAGTGGGAAGATTGTTCCCTTCATTGGTGCTCAGTGGGAAGATTGTTCCCTTCATTGGTGCTCAGTGGGAAGATTGTTCCCTTCATTGGTGCTCAGTGGGAAGTATGTTCCCTTCATCGGTGCTCATTGGGAAGTATGTTCCCTTCATCGGTGCTCATTGGGAAGTATGTTCCCTTCATCGGTGCTCATTGGGAAGTATGTTCCCTTCATCGGTGCTCATTGGGAAGTATGTTCCCTTCATCGGTGCTCATTGGGAAGTATGTTCCCTTCATTGGTGCTCATTGGGAAGTATGTTCCCTTCATTGGTGCTCATTGGGAAGAATGCCACTTGCAGATAGCTAATACGATCATTGGTGTCAGTGGTTACTAACCTGAGAGGCAGATATTGCTCATTTGTAGCATCCTCTCTAGGTGATCCCTCGGGTTACATGGTATCTTGGTTGAGAAAGGCTGCTTTAGCTTTCTAAGGCCCTCAGGGACAACATTGTATCCAAGCTTGCTCCTGTGATGGACTACAATCTCAATACAAACTAGTAGTCCCATCACTGGAGCCATTTTTAATTTTTTTTTTATTGTTTATCCGATTAACCGATTAATCAAACTTAATAATCGGCTAACTAATCGATTTTGAAAATAATCGTTAGCTGCAGCTCTAAAGTTATTTGATGTATTATTTCATCAGCGTGTGTGCCTTTTCTCTCAGTATCTAATAGTGCAAGAAATATTTTTATGTGCACATAGTCAGTCATATTAACAGATCGACCATTTTATTTCACCTACAACTTGTACAACATTTTGTATTTCCATATCTTTATTAAACACATTTTAAACAAGGGTGATACAAACTGTAAGCCCTTAGGGCCAGTTCACACCATTTGCAGTTGTGATGCAGTCCGTTTATTTGACTGCTGCAGTCAAAATACATCACAATGCTTTCCTATGGGCTTTCTTGTGCTTTATTCACACTGCAATGGTGTGAATTAAGCACAAGAAAGCCCATAGGAAAGCATTGTGATGTATTTTGACTGCAGCAGTCAAATAACGGACTGCATCACAACTGCATATGGTGTGAACTGGCCCTTATGCTTAGTAACTAGTGGGACCTTCTTGATTGAAGGTATCCCCAATTAAAAGCTTTCTGGCTGTGGGTTGGTTTCCCTTCACTAGAGGTTAGAAGGTGTTTTGGCCCACATTGCTTCTTATGGGGAGACAACTGTGTACCAGTACTGTTCCTGTGTTGTCACCCTATTCTGTTACAAGTGGCGGACATACAATAAAGAATTTGCATGCTGCAATTTTTGTTTTCAAAAATCCTCTGCATTAAAACGCTCTTGGGTCTTTTTTGCCCTAAAAGGTAGTGTTCCCCAGGCTATTTTGAGATCATTGTGATGATTATACTCTCAGCCCCACTGTGATAATATATACATTTTATGAATATTTCATTTGTTAGTATTATGAATCTTGTAAATTAAGCATGTTTGATGTCTTATTTACTTCCTCTTATACATGTTTGTAACCACTTTTTATGATGGTAACTCTATTACAGTAAGAATGGTGGCAGTCAGTATAGAAAAAACAACTCCTAGCATCACGCATGTGTATTCTTGTGCTGCACCCAAATGTTTTAGAACTTTACGACAAGGCCTCATTTGAAGTATTTTGGAGACCTTTGCTGCACATCCTACAGCAGTCTCATTCTGCTGTAATTGCTGCAGCAAAATCCAGCGATCATACGAGAATCGTGCAGTGTATGGAAGGCGTGCGGCCGCTCCTAATGTACGGTGGCACGACTTTTGTATTTCGAGCATGTTGGAAAACCAGCCGAGAATCGTACGATTTTCGCCTGGTTTTTAACATGATCGAGAGATGACTGCCGAACGGGCCTGTGTGTGCACGCGCACACTGCACATTCAGCATTGCAGTCATCGGAAGCCCGCCCCTCAGGGGGGCGGGCTTGCGATGATCGCAAGTACGATCTGCCTGTCCAAGATAGGCAGATCGTACGTTTTTTTAAAGTACTTTACAACCAACAAAGACTTTTGTCTTGCGAGGGTTGTAAAGTGTATGGGCACCTTTTAAAGATGTGCACAGAGCAGGGAAAGAAAAACATGAGCAAAGTGCGGGGAAAACTTTATAATACAATTCTGTTTTACTTACAATGCTGTACAAAACACAAAAGTATTCTTTTCTGAGGGTTTTAGTTCTGATCTATCTAAAATACTCAGCATGTATGTGTAAGGGGAAGCATGTGACTGCCTCCCCTTCCTCCCATGAAGCAGGGCTGGATGTCTAAAGGTGGCCATACACTTTACAACCATCGCAAGACCTTAGTCTTGCGATGGTTGTAAAGTAATTTAAAAAACGTACGATCTGCCCATCTTGGACAAGCAGATCGTACTCTCGATCATCGCAAGCCCGCCCCCCTGAGGGGCGGGCTTCCGATGACCGCAATGCTAAACGGGCAGTGTGCGCGTGCGCACACCGGCCCGTTTGGCATTCGTCTCCCAAGCACCGTTCAAACCAGCCGAAAATCGTACGATTTTCGGCTGGTTTTCTAGCGTGCTCCCTAGACAAAAGACGTGCGACCGTACAGTAAAAACGATTGCAAGTCTTCCATACATTTTGCGATTATCGTACGGTTGCAGGATTTCCGCGATTATCGTGCGATAATCGCACAGTGTATGGGCACCTTAAGTAACCTGTGACCAAGCCCTGGTTCTGTTATGGTAGGAATGGGGAAGTATCCCTCCGGTTTCAACAAGGTCAGTTTGGTGATTTTGCGGGAAACTACAGGGCTAGAGCCAAGGTCACTGTTGCATGCACTGCTGAAGTGTTGCAGGGGTAGGTGTTTCATACTAGGCATTAAAACATATATTTTAAATATGGCCATCACCATGAATGGGTAGGCCTGTTGCAGATTGCACCACCTGCAGCTTCAATATACAGGCCATGTATGAACAACCTATCAGTAGGATTTAATTGCCAGGTCCAGGCCTTCACAATTTGGCACTAAGCGTTTTGCAGCAGTTTTAATCCACCTTTGTATCTTAAAGGGACACTATACTCCGGAATTAAATCTCAAAAATACTTTCAAGTACCTTATAACTCAGCTGTAGATCCTCAAATCATCTCTGCATTGGTCCTTCTGGAGGTGGCTAATTTTTCTACCCATAGTGCCTGTGTGTGTTGTAAAGTAGTCACCACTGCAAGAGCACTCCTGTGATAAACTACAAATTAGTAAACTAAACGTGAGATTGTAGTCCATCACAGGAGTGATCTTGGAGTGGTGGCTACTCTACAACACACACAGAGACCATGGGGAACAAAAGAAGCCCCCCTCCAGAAGGAAGGACAGTGCCAGCACCAATTCAGAGATGATTTAAGGATCTACAGCCGAGTGATACACAAATAAGATACATTTTTTCGATCATCGCAAGCCCGCCCCCCTGAGGGGCGGGCTTCCGATGACCGCAATGCTAAACGGGCAGTGTGCGCGTGCGCACACCGGCCCGTTTGGCATTCGTCTCCCAAGCACCGTTCAAACCAGCCGAAAATCGTACGATTTTCGGCTGGTTTTCTAGCGTGCTCCCTAGACAAAAGACGTGCGACCGTACAGTAAAAACGATTGCAAGTCTTCCATACATTTTGCGATTATCGTACGGTTGCAGGATTTCCGCGATTATCGTGCGATAATCGCACAGTGTATGGGCACCTTAAGTAACCTGTGACCAAGCCCTGGTTCTGTTATGGTAGGAATGGGGAAGTATCCCTCCGGTTTCAACAAGGTCAGTTTGGTGATTTTGCGGGAAACTACAGGGCTAGAGCCAAGGTCACTGTTGCATGCACTGCTGAAGTGTTGCAGGGGTAGGTGTTTCATACTAGGCATTAAAACATATATTTTAAATATGGCCATCACCATGAATGGGTAGGCCTGTTGCAGATTGCACCACCTGCAGCTTCAATATACAGGCCATGTATGAACAACCTATCAGTAGGATTTAATTGCCAGGTCCAGGCCTTCACAATTTGGCACTAAGCGTTTTGCAGCAGTTTTAATCCACCTTTGTATCTTAAAGGGACACTATACTCCGGAATTAAATCTCAAAAATACTTTCAAGTACCTTATAACTCAGCTGTAGATCCTCAAATCATCTCTGCATTGGTCCTTCTGGAGGTGGCTAATTTTTCTACCCATAGTGCCTGTGTGTGTTGTAAAGTAGTCACCACTGCAAGAGCACTCCTGTGATAAACTACAAATTAGTAAACTAAACGTGAGATTGTAGTCCATCACAGGAGTGATCTTGGAGTGGTGGCTACTCTACAACACACACAGAGACCATGGGGAACAAAAGAAGCCCCCCTCCAGAAGGAAGGACAGTGCCAGCACCAATTCAGAGATGATTTAAGGATCTACAGCCGAGTGATACACAAATAAGATACATTTTTGTTAATAGTTCAGGTATTTGAATGTATTTTTAAGATTTAATTCCTGAGTTTAGTGTCACTTTAATTCCATTTAAATGGCCAATGTGTTAAACATCTGCCAGGTAGTAAAGGTTTAGTAAAGGCAGCTAAGAGTTTGGTTGATGGTAACTTAAACAAACTAATTTTTTATTTGTATGTTCTGCAGATTCGTTTTTAAGAGGCAAAATTATCATGATGGATAAGCAGAAAAAAGAATCCCCTCCAGGAACCCAATCTAGTGGAAAAACACCTGGGGTATGTAACTACAGACAATTTATATCATGGACATGTGAGATTTTACACATGTCATATAGTATTTAATTGGCCTTTGAAGAGCTTTAGCCCTCGTTCACACCTGAACGTTTTGTAGCGCGTTCTACGCTCGACGAACGCTCTACAAAACGCTCAAAAATATAAATCCCATTGTATTCAATGGTCTCGTTCCCACCTTGGCGTATTTCCGCCCGTCCCTAACGCGCTACAAAATGGCCCATGCCTGAAAAGGTACAGGTACTACTTTGGGCCGTTTTGTTGTGCGTTTCCATTGGGATACAGCCAAGTAGCGAATCGCGGTAAAAAAACGCACGATGGTCACGCGACAGACGCGCATATGCAATCGGCCTAGGTGTGAACAAGACCTTAGGCCCCGTTGACACCAAGGCATCATAGTTTTTGCGTGTTTGTACGCACGGGTTCAGCTAGCTTTTTCTTTTTGCACGCCTATGCATGTGTGAAAACACGTGCATATGATGACATGCGTTTTGACTGGCAGCTTAAGAAACATTGCAGTCAATGGACAAATGCACGTACAAACACGCATGAAAATGTGCAACTTGCTTCTGACGCGTGTAACCATTGAGGTCTATGGGGAAAAACGAGCTGCAAACTACCAAAAGAAGCTCTTTTTTCTGCGTTTTGACGTTTTGCAGCTCAGCTGTGAACTGGGGCCATTGAAAATCATGGGATTTCTTGTGTTTGGGCATTTTGAAGAGCTTTTTCTAGTGCTCAAAAATGACTAGGTGTGAACCAGGTTATAGACCACATGTGTCAAATTTAAGGCCCAGGGGCCGAATCCGGCCCACCAGGCCATTTCCTAGACTTCTACTTTCAGATCTAGGTATTACGTTATTACTAAAACCAGTGATAATCGAATGCAGAGGCAATTATGATATAGATTAGATACATTTATATAGTCTTTTGAGGGCAACCATAATGTTGATGCTGCCCACGATTAAATTGAGTTTGACACCCCTGCCTTAGACAATATCTGACTTCATTACTAACATGTTCTTTATGTTATTTCTAAAGGTCCCGTTAGCCACCTAGGGCCCATTCAGACTATTGGATTGCGATTACACACAACAACACGTTATACGCATTGCAGTGACATCTATTTGAATGGCACCCCAATGTACTGAAACAACGCACATGCGTTGCTGTGCGTTGTGTTGCAAATTTTGAGACAACATGTGATTTTTGAAATGTTTTAGGGTGTTGGGAGCCTATCATTTTCAATGTACTTCCAAGCAGTTGGTACGTGGTTGCAGCTCAGTCCCATTGACTGCAATGGTTGCGTTTCGCAAGCAGTAGTTTTGGCTGCAATGCTTTGCATGTGTAGAAATCTGAGAGACTGTCAAGTAAAATTTTAGGTAGACAGTAAAAATGCCGCTGTCAGAATACTGAACGGCTGCTGGCTCTGTTCGTTTTAAGGTTTTCCAAGCCGCTCATTCGATCAGCTGATCAAGGGATGTCAGCTGAAAGGGTGCTGACAGCGGTACTTACTGTGCAAATTTTGCACAGTGTATGGCCAGCTTAACTTGCATTTTCAGTAACTTTCTACTAGATTTTGACTTATCTTTTAGTTCATTTTCAGTTTTACCTACATGTGGTTTTTTTTTTGTGTGATAGTTTAAGATTCCAAAGAAAAAGCCTGATGACTGGTGTGAGGACATCCCAGCCTCATCTCCATTAACGAAACTGCATGATAGTGACTTCAGAAATGTTAGTTTTCGAAGGGTAAGGCAAAGTGCATATTCCATACAGAATGTTTACTGATAATTGTTAAACACAGTTTGACGATATTGAATATTTTTTTTTATAATTGTATTAATTTCACTGGATTATTTCCTGTAAGCTTATTGGTCTTCATAATTAGTAGGGGCAGTAGTTTGGCCTGTCATGCAATTTTATTTCAGTAGTAAATGTCAATGATTTGCAAAGATTCACCACAAGCACATAAGTGACTGTTAAAGGGTTTCTAAACCCTCAGCTTTTTTTTGCATATATCTACTGCTAGCAAGCAGTAGATGTATGCAAAAAGTAAAAAATAAAACAAACAAAAAAAAACTCTTTAACCTCCCTGGCGGTCTGTTTTTTTTTTTACTTTCAAATCTCATGCCGGTTCCGCCCCCTGCGACGCGGACGCTCGCAAGGGACGGAAGACGGATGCCGGCATCGGCCGGAGGACACCACGAGGATCGTGGACAAGATAAGACGCTACAGTGTAATCCCGAGTCACACTCAGGATTACCTCCAGGGAGGTTAAAGGAACAGTAATTTTAACATCACTTAAAGTGTAAGAATAAAAATGAAAAATTCATTCATCTTTTAGTTCATTTTCAGTTTTACCTACATGTGGTTTTTTTTTTGTGTGATAGTTTAAGATTCCAAAGAAAAAGCCTGATGACTGGTGTGAGGACATCCCAGCCTCATCTCCATTAACGAAACTGCATGATAGTGACTTCAGAAATGTTAGTTTTCGAAGGGTAAGGCAAAGTGCATATTCCATACAGAATGTTTACTGATAATTGTTAAACACAGTTTGACGATATTGAATATTTTTTTTTATAATTGTATTAATTTCACTGGATTATTTCCTGTAAGCTTATTGGTCTTCATAATTAGTAGGGGCAGTAGTTTGGCCTGTCATGCAATTTTATTTCAGTAGTAAATGTCAATGATTTGCAAAGATTCACCACAAGCACATAAGTGACTGTTAAAGGGTTTCTAAACCCTCAGCTTTTTTTTGCATATATCTACTGCTAGCAAGCAGTAGATGTATGCAAAAAGTAAAAAATAAAACAAACAAAAAAAAACTCTTTAACCTCCCTGGCGGTCTGTTTTTTTTTTTACTTTCAAATCTCATGCCGGTTCCGCCCCCTGCGACGCGGACGCTCGCAAGGGACGGAAGACGGATGCCGGCATCGGCCGGAGGACACCACGAGGATCGTGGACAAGATAAGACGCTACAGTGTAATCCCGAGTGTGGCTCAGGTTACTGCTTTTGGTAATGAAAATTAACCCCGAGCCACACTCAGGATTACCGCCAGGGAGGTTAACACTGGTTTAAATTTACCTGTGTCTTCCCTGCGCGCTCCAGTCCGAAAATTTGAAAATTCTCGGGCGGCTGCAAAGGATCTTGGGGCGCGCATGTGCAGTTTACATTTTCGGCCGGGACGCTGGATCGGACACCCGATGCAGCGCCAGAGAGAAGGCTGAAAACATCAGGAAAGAAGAATTTTGTATTAAGAGACATCATTTAAGGTAAGTGCTTTAACTTTGGGGTGAGGGGGAAAAAAATGGTGCCTTTTAATGTCACTTTAAGTCCATACAGTATGACACTGAAGATATAATATGCCCTTAACATGTACTAGTCAAAACTTCTAAATCGAAAAAGGAAAAAAAAAAAATCTCTTCACGGTCATCTCAATGTTTTTTTTCTGAGAAACCATAAATACCTTCATAAAAAAAATTAAAGTACAATGACTGCTTGATATCCAGTTTCTCTGCACCCCCTGCCAGATGCTGGAGAGAAATGTAGATGGGTTGCAGCAGGACTTGCACCCTTGTATCTAGTTGGTGGTCATACAGCAACAGTTTTTGTTATAGCTGTATGTGTTTGTTTTTCAGAGGGGACGCGATTCGGTGTATGAAACCAATAATTTATCAAGAAATATGGACTCTCATTTGTATTATACATTGAGGCTTGACAGGTAAATCCAATGTTTAATGTCTTTGTGTTTCTGTTACCTTTGTAACAAAAGTGGGCATACATTACCTAAGCAGGTTTTGACTTTGTAAAACTTGACTTAAAATTTTTTGGGATTGGGGTGGCGAAGGAAAAAGGTGAGTATAGTTTTGTGGAGCTTGCTATCGTGTGAACGGGCTCGATTTAATGCTTGTATCAAAAGCATCTGTTTCATTTCCTAAGAAGTGCCATTGTTGTTTCTCAAAATGTGAGGTGAATAAAAACGTCTGCCATTAGTAATTCATCAGATTTCATTGTTTGAATCAGGAAATTAATTTGCTATAAGCAACAGTTCTGGTCAGCTCCATTTTTTATACATCTGGCCAAATGTCATGTTTCAGCTTTAAAGTGTGCTTCCATTTTTGCAGCCAAATTGGGATAACAACTATTGTATAATTGTTACATGTTCACATTCGCATAGCATAAAAATATATTAAAAAAAGATGTGCTTATCTTTTATAAACGCCCTTTTCTGAAAACTCGTGAGCTGTAAAATCCTACTTGTCGCTTGCTATGCAATGTTTGAGACGTCTGTGGGGTTGTGTTAGCTATAATATGTCTGTACTGTGCTGGCAGGTTTCATTATCAGGTAATGATGCGCAGGACTGTCTGTCCTAACAAAGAACTCAAGACATTGAGGGGAATTTATCAAAATAGGAGCAGACAGAATCTGGAGCAGTTGTCCATGGCAACCAGTCAACTTCTCCTTTTAATTTTCAAAGCTTAACTGAGCAATCTAATGAGTGAAGCTGGTTGGTTATTTTACTCAGCTGCTCCAGATTCTATCTGCTTCAGTTTTGATAAATTCCCCCCATTAAATGCTCATGTACTGCTTCTCAGTCTTGTCCCTCCAGTCTGTCCATTTTCTGCACATTGCAATCTTTTTAAAGCAATAGAAGTTGCCAATAAAGTCCTAATTTTATAATCCTGCTCCAAAGAAACAGCTAAAAAGGTAAGAAAGGAAAACATAATAAGGTATGCTGTGTGAATGGGAATGCATAACAAACGTATAGTGTGTGGGGTTCTTAAAGGAGAACTATGGGGTTAAGTCTTTTCCCCATAGTTCTCCTTAGGGTAACGGGAGGACACAAACTAGCGTCCTCCCGTCACCCTAGGCTCAGTATACCGCGAGCTGTAGCTCGCGGTATACTGAGACGCCGCAGCTGAAGCGGATCCCGACAATTGTGCCGGGATCCGCCCAGCTGCGTGACTGACAGCTGGCTCTGCCTATCTAAAGGCAGAGCCAGCTGTACCCTCCCCCGTCTGTTCCGCCAGTCAGCGCTGGCGGATCGGAGCTGGGAGGGGGGAATCCAGCCCCTCCCTCATAGTTCTCCTTTAAATTTGACTGCAAAAGACAAAATACATTTTATAGTAACGCACTCAATTTAACAACTGCAAAAAAAGCTGCTGACCAGTATAAAGTGCAGGCATCTAGAGGGCCAGCACATATCTGCAGAATCTTTTCCAGGGGCTTTTTGATCAGGCACTAGGTCCCTGACACTCATTCCCTGCAGCTTATACCTGTAGGCAGCTTTTGTTTTCTCTTTTGTTAAAGTGACAGTCATTATGCAACCAGGGCGGTTGCTCTTTTGCTAGTACAGATATCTTCATAATGAAAACAATAAACCTGTTTATATATCTGTTATATTCACAAACAAACAGGCAACCCAAAATTATCTTGACGGATATCCTAAGAAGTGGTCAATGGAAACAGGCCGCACATAAAATTATTTCTGGTTCAGTTTCTTGTAATGATGGAAAAATTCCAATTAATCCTGTTTCATCAGCTTCCTATATTCACCCCCCAGCATCAGAAAGTTTGTGCGTGTTCAGGTATAGTATAATAATCTAGAAAGATGGAGATACCTAGCGTGAATGGCATTTATTGTATAAGGGATTTTTGACAAATTATGACAGTTAAACATTCTCTGTTAGCACAGGCTTATCGTTTCAGTTCATACTTTACTTAGAATCCATACTTGGGAGTAGGTGATAAGTAAGGATGCCCCGAAACTTCGACCACTAAAATGGTGCATTGGACAAAAGGCTGAAAATGTGGCAAAAAATGTAGTGCATCCTGACGGCTTCTCTCCTTCCCACTGGGAGCTGGTCTGCGTCCCCTCCGCTGCTCTCCCCCACCCGGGTTGGCAGAGGCAGCAGGGATCCGAGTGGACACAGACCAGTGCCCAGCAGGGAGGAAAGAAGGTTTCAGGAGGCCAAGCGGGGTGGAGACCACTCTGGATGCCGTGCGGGGCGTAGACAGCTGTCAATGGAGGCCGAGCTCTCCTCCGAACTGCCCAGCTCGGCTCCTGTGACAGGCGAGTCAGGATAGAGAGTGGTGTACAAACACTTGGCATTCATATGATATAGGAATTGAAAAGGCTGTCTGAATACACAACATTGGTCCTGATCTGCTGATCACACACAGAATGAGAGTGAATAACGAGACTTCCATCTGCGTCCATATTGAAAAAGTACAGATCATGAAAATGTTTATAATGTTTTGGAAGGTTGACTATGTACATTTGGAAAAAGAGCAGATATAGGGAATTATACATTTAGGAAGTGCAAAGGACATAAATAAGTAGAGGCAGTCCTTATTCTAGACATCTGCAATAAAAATGAAAAGACTCTGTCTCACCTGAAATTGGTATGTGGTCTTCCAATGCCTTTTTATTTTAACCAATTTGCATTTTTTTTTGTTTAATATATTTTTATTGTTTTTGTTTCCATAGAAGTACATTTAGACAGACATTCATAAACATTAGTTTCACATTATCTCTTAATTTTAATAATTATTTATAGCTCTAATTAAAATAACTACAACTTTCACCCACTTCCAATATCTTTATCCCCTTATATTGTCTACATTCCTCTATTCTTATTATTATTTCCCTCATGTGTTCACTAGTGTGATAACTAAACAATATACAATCCATAATAAACCCTTTTATTACAAACTTAAACCTTGTTCCTTCCTCCCCACTTTCCTTATTTATTGTGGTCCTACTTTTATTGTGTATCCTAACTACTATTTAATTACCTACCTTCCTATACCCTATGTGTACTACCTTCCCCTTCTTCTAAATATACCATGTGTCCTCACTTCTTAATCCCGTCTTCCCATTTTCCCTCCTCTCCATAGAACCATCTTCATTCCTTTCCATCTTTCATTCATATAGGTCATATACTATGTTTGTCTAGATAATTTTATAATCGTATATTTCTTTATTCCTATTTGACCAATGGCATTTTATGTGAAATCACACTGATTGCTCACTTTGATTTTTAGAGCACCCCACACTAGTGAGTACAGAGAACAACACAGAGAAAGAGAAATTGGAACAAAGAATGAAGTACAACGTCGAGAGGAGCGTAAAGGTTTGTTTTTAACCACTTCCTGTCTTCAGACTGTAGGTTAACACTCCTCTGCATTGTGGCTCATGTTGAGAGAGAACTAATCTATGTCCTTTCTTTGATTCTGCACCAAATAAAAACCTTATGGTATGTTCACACCAGATGCAGTGCGTTCCGGCCCGATTCAGGCCAAAACGCACTGCATCGCATTGCGGCCAGCTCACTATTTTGTGGGGCCGGAGGGGGCGTGGCGAGCCATTGAAGTGAATGGAACTGTAGCCACGCCCTCCGGCTGCAATGCGATCGCTCGCACGGGATCACAAGGCACTTCAATGGCCATTCACTTCAATGGCCCGCCACGCCCCCTCCGGCCCCACAAAATAGTGAGCCGGCTGCAAAGCGATGCAGTGCATTCCAGCCAGAATCGGGCCGGAACGCACTGCGTCTGGTCTGAACGTACCCTTATACACCCCCAAAAAAGATTTAAAAAATCATATAGGTGGGCAAGTTAGTCATAGGGGTCAATTTTCAGATTCAGAAAAGTTTCACCCAAGGTCCACACATTTTCACATAATAGTCCATTACAAACATCTTGGGTGAAAGCATTGATAACTTATGACATATTGGCACTGTTAAATTTGCACTCAGCATCTAAGCTTTAATGATTTCTGGACATATTTGAAGCAAATCTGTTTGCCACTGTTTTTTGTTAGATCACCCACTCACCACTCTCCTGTCCAATAGAGGGTTCCTATTGGCCATTAAGGCACTCTCATTGGACAGGGACTTGAAGATTGGGGATGTCAGGCTTTGATAACAAATTGAATCCAGATACAGAGGGGTACACAGAGGAGGGATTTCTAGCTAACAAAAGCAATATAAACACCTTGTTGTACCTGCCCTAAGTCAATACTTTTACTTTGAAAAGTTTGGAATTGCTAACAGGTTTACTTTAATGAAATTTCCACATACCGGCATGGTTTGCTTTTATTTTTGTTACTGTATTGCCCATTTCTGCTGAGCTGCGCATGGGCAAATCATGCAGATCTGTAAATTTATTGCGTTGATTACTATTCAGGATTATATTATGAAATGATTGTATTGTAAATTGTATTGTTAGTCACATAGGTAGGTGATGGATTAACTTCTTTCCCTTTACAGAGCAAACACAAGAGTCCCCATCTAATAAAGCCTGTCGCGATGTCAGCAATACACCTGCTTCTTCACATAGAGACCTGAACTCTGGGCCCAGAAAATCTAGTAATCATGACCAGGAAAGCCAGGGTGCATCAAAGGCACAAGAGCAGGTATATGTATATCACCATATAAACATCACTCTGTCCTACTGGAAATATGTGTGTGCTGTCCTTCCTGAACTCTTTTAAAAATTCTAGTTGGCCAGCTATTTTATTGATCCAATGCGTTCTGAATCGCTGACCTGCAAAAAGAATGCAGATCAGAAGACCTGACTTTTTTTTAAAATTTACTGGCTGTATTCTTCTTTCATGTTGGTGACACTCAATTTACTTTAATGTAGTTTACTGTAGTTATAGTCCAGAAGAGCTGCTTAATACATTTTTGCTATCTCTCTCCTCAGGGGCGTAACTAGAAATCACAGGGCCCCATAGCAAAATTTTGTATGGGGCCCTGTGATTGCTAGTTATGCCACTTGCAGAGCCCACCGGATATACCAAACAGCCCACCTGAGAGTGACCCTGCAGAGCCCACCATAGACTCTCTATAGTGGGCTCTGCAGGGTCTCAGATGGGCTGCACACCTCTTACCTGTCAGCGCTGTCGGCCTCCTCTTCCGTCCCCGTGCCCCTCCTCCTCTTCTATCGACGGGACCCGCCTGCTCTTGGGTCGCTCCCCAGTGATGTAAGAGGATGCGGGGTTGCTCTTAGGCGGGCCCTGCCTCCTCCACTGCGAACGCCGGCCTCTTCTGCCGTAGCTGCTGGCTGTCACTGACACAGCTCCGCAGCGGCTGTGAGGGGAAATCAGTGATCTTCACACCCGCTGCCTGAGCTGTGACAGCCAGCACCCTTACATGCCATAGCGACCCAGTCTCTCTCTCTCTCTCTCTCTCAACTGTCACTCTTGCATTGCCTCATGGGACCTGTAGTTCCACAACACCTGAAGGGGCCGGAGTTGCCCACCCCTGGTTAGAGCCTATATAAGGGTTCATTATTTGCACCTCTGCAATCAGTTTGGGGGCAGCTTCTCACTTCCTTTAACCACTTGCTGTCCAGAGCAATTTCTTGATATTCGCACACACATAAAATCTGAATTTTTGCCTAGGAAACATCTTTAGACCCCCAAACAATGATACATTTTCTGAAAGCAAAGACCCTGTAGAATAAAAAAAAACGCTAGTTGCAATTCTTTTTTATGTTGAACGGTATTTGCACAAATGTTTATCAAACATTGATGCAAATCAATATTTTTAGCATAAAATATACTAAAATTAAATTTATTGCACAGAAACAGAATATAGTACCCATTTTTTTGGTAAAATATAAAAGGGGTTACGCCTGGTAAATGGATACCAAACAAGTTCAAGCCATTAAAATTGCGTGTGCCTGTGAAACTGCAAAAAAATAATGATTAGTGATTAATGGCTCTTTAATTATTGCTCTCACTCAGGCGTTTGTGGCAATATGTAACATGATTGGCACAATTTTCCTTTTGCACCCAATGCTTGTTTGCATTGTATGTGCGTGCACGTAGGGGGCGGGGGACTTTAAAACATTTTTTTTGCATTTTGTAAAAAATTTTTTTGTATATGTTACTTTTTTTAAAAACATTTTTTTTACACTTAACTGTATTGCTATCCTAGGCTGGTCTACAGTTTTTTCTTTACCAGTATCCTATCCTCCTGTAAGCTGCCGTATAACCTGAAGGTTTAAGACTTCCTGTCTCCCAATGGACTGTCCCTCAAATAATTTTACAGCTAGTACAAAAATCCAATTTATTTTTTGAGTTAGAACGTCTGGCAATGTTTGTATTACTACACTACATGTAAGATGTCTACGCTGACTGGAAGAGTATTGTTACAGATAAAAATCCTACATAAAATCACAGATGTAGCCCAATGTCTCCAACTGTATAGTAGGCACCACAGAAGAAAGTATATCCGACCATATAACATTGGTCTGCAGCAAGTGGTTAAATTTGGAAAGCCCCAGTCTGGTATTAAAGGTACAAATACTAATGCTGTCAGTTTAGGAATTTTCTTCTACCCACAAATTTGCTTGTTATCTTGTATTGCTGTATGTTCTAATACAGAAGACAACTTCCTAAAATATTATGTTTATTCATTTAAACTCCAGAAGAATGCTTCAAAGAGTATTGTAGTTACACCACCCAGATGTGAAAGAACATATTGCTACAAACGTGCAGAACACCAAAACAAGAAAACATCACTTTCTCCTTCTTCAGCTGACTTCTCCAGCTCTTCCTCTGAGCCGTTTACAGACCGCACTTTATCCTGCACTTTAGATTCACCAGGCAGAAAAAACATTTCTAGAGACAAAATAAATAGGACGGCTGAGGAAAAGAAAAAATCTTCTGATGATGGATGTTCCTCGGATCCACCAAAACCCAGTTCACTGTCTGATGTTTACAGCAAAACAAGAAAAAAACCGTTAGCAGCTACAAATGACAGTATGAAAATTCAGCCAAGTAAGTTAATGTTAAAGTGTATACCTTGTTCTGGAAACAACTCCAAAATTTTGGATTTCCACTTACTCTTTGTCTCTCTGACACTGATCAACAGGACAAGTAGAGGCAACAAATCTTAGAGGTGACGCAGACCATTCTAAAATCTAAAACCAAAAAAGTTTTGCTATTTATATATACCTTAAATCATGTCACGTAAAGGATAATTATGGGGTACACCATTTTTTTGTTTCCTTATGATACAGGAGTACATTATGCAATGTACTCCTGTGACCAAAAATGCACCATCAGCTTACAATTCAGTGTAATATACTGTGGGAGGGGCTAAGCTCTGTGCTGAGAAGCAATCCCGACAACATTGTTGGGTTCCTGCTCTCCCATTGAGTGACAGCAGCTTGTAGGAGCTGCTTTCGCATTCATGAGAACCTATGAAGGCGCAGCAGCTCTGGGCACATCCTATCAGAGTTTATTCATGTCAGATCACAGGTCGTGAACACTAGCACATCCATCCTGCAGTTTGTCCTTCGTCCCCCCTCCCCTCCACACTGCTGTCTCCGACAATACACATAACACATTGGCACTAAGACCGTCACTTCAGCTCTGTTCTCGCTCTCCTCTCTTCCACTCTGCTGTCTTGGGACATATACAGGGAGAAAAAGAGATAGACAGCAGAGTGGAGGAGAGGAGGGCAGGGACAGAGCTGAACTGAGTGTCTTAGTGCCAATGTGTTATGGGTATTGTCTGGACACGGGAGAGAGAGTAGGGGGTACGAAAGACAAACTGCAGGATGGATGTGCAAGTGTTAACTCTGATAGGATGTGCCCTGAGCTGCTGTGCCTGCACAAGTTCTCATGAACATGCAGCAGCTCCTACTGTCACTTAATGGGAGAGGAGGATACCGACCATATTGTTGGGATTGCTTTTTAGCACAGCTTAGCCCCGCCTACAGTATATTACATTTAATTGTAAGCTTATGGTGCATCTTTGATTACAAGAGTACATTGCAAGATGTACTGCTGTATCATAAGGAAACTAAAATGCTACATTACAAAGTTAGCACCAGTAGCAGGTAGGTGAAGCTGTCTGTATATGTCTCTCTCCTTGGCAAAGCTAGCTATACACTTGAAGTCTCTTATTATTCAGCCCTGTGGGCTGAGCAAAAAAAATTGTTTTATTTCCCCCATCCATGTGAAACAGCGTGGATGGGGCATCTTCCCTGACGGGCTGTTGTATCCTGACAGCCGACACCTGCAACTGTTAAAATACCCGAAAAGTAACTAAATGAGTGACTGCCGTCACTGTTTGGCTGACAGTTTTTGGGGTGCCTCCTTTCGACAAAAATCTATTGGAAAAATCAACTTTTGTCAAACGAGTGGTGCCGACAGGGTCACCTACACCTCTGGAATTTCAGTCAGCAGGACTTTCACAGCATCTGTTTGCCAATGATTTCAATCACTTGAGCCCCCAGGCCTTTTCTCCCTAAATCCCCAGGTCCCAGAGAATTTTGTTTTTTAGTTTTAGCAATGTCTCAGTTCTACATCTTATATTGTCTAGGTTTTGAAATCTATATATGGGTTTTTTTGTAACAGATATGGCTTTAATTTGGTAGCAAATTTGAATACATATTTCTTATTACCATGGTTTTGGTCAGGAAAAAATAGTAAAGAATAAAAAAAAAATTCCTGATACAGCAAAGTTTGTGCACCACAACATATTTACCCCAAAATATAACAAAAAAATTATTAAAACCTGATTAAAATGATATTGCATTAGTGCAAGTTTTATATAGCATAGCGGAATGGTGAAGCTCAAAGTAAATGCATGCGTTTTACTTCAAAACTACTCGCCGATACCAATTACCGAATACCGGAAGTCCCATTCAGGAAGCCAGGTGGTGTGTAAAGACTTGCCACCTGGCTTCCCGATTAACAAGAAAGCCGTCCCAGCCTGTCCCCTCTCGCCCCGGCATGTCCAGCCTGTCACCCCCGTGGCCTCTCCAACCAGGAACGGTCTTCCTCCGATAGCCAGGCGGAGCTGTCTTGCTGGCCAATCATGTAAGCCGGGCGCCGTGTAACGACGCGACGCCCTGCTTTCTGAGTGGCCGGGAGGCCGGCTCCATGCTCCCTCGTCATGAGTTGACGAGGGAGCATAAAGCCGGCTTCCCGGCCAATCAGAATGCAGGGCGCTGCATTATTACATGGCGCCCGGCTTCCTGATTGGCCAGCTTCCCGGCCAATCGGGAAGCCAGGCAGCGCGTCATTACACGCTGTCCGGCTTCCTGATTGACCGGGAAGTCGACTCCATGCTCTCACAAGTGACGAGAGAGCATGGGGCCGCTTGCCGGCCAATCAGGAAACCGGGCAGCGTGTAATGACACGCTGCCCAGCTTCCTGATACAGGAAGTACTTGTGCTAGGTATCAGAGCATTTGGGCGAGTACGAGTACTCGCCCAAATACTCGGTATCGGCACCGATATCGATACTGGTATCGGTATCGGTGCATCCCTACAATAAACAGTTTAAAATAAAGGGTTTTTCTTGTCGATAACTGAATGTTGTGTTATGTATTGAGTTCTTTAATAGAGACTTATACTGACCTGATAATGTGTCGGGATGATTTCCACAGTAATTTTTTTTTTATTATTCAAAAGTTGTACTGTCTAGTGATGACGATGAGGCTGCCCAGAAAGAAACAAAGTCAGGCTTTCCACATACTGTGAAAAAAACATCAGTGGAGAAGAAATGTCCATCTCCTTCTAAGGATGCAGAGCCAATGGTATGTCATTTAGTATCACTTCTTCTACAGGCAGAACATTATTATCTCCCGCAATCTGTTTTTTGTGGATTGCTGGATTATTAATTCTTGATATATTTTGTTTCATATTTAATCTGATACATTGCAAATCTGACACTATTTGAACCAACAGCGGTGACATTTTGTTGTTTAGGGCTACAGCTTTAGGGTTGTGTCCATAGTCACATTTTGCCAGATCTAGTTTGGTTTTCATATTTAAAGTAACACTAAACTCAGGACTTAAACCTTAAACTTTTGTTCCCCATGGTCCCTGTGTGTGTTGTAAAGTAGCCACAGCGCCAAACTCACTCCCGTGGAGGACTACAATCTCATATTTAGTTTACTAATTTGTATTAGGACTGTAGTCTATCTTGGGAGCAAGCTTGGAGCGGTGGCTACTTTACAACACACACAGGGACCATGGGGCACAAAAGTAGCCACCCTCCAGAAGGAAGGACAGCGTCAGCACCAATTCAGAGATGGTTTGAGAATCCACAGCTGAGTGATGCATCAATAAGTAGGGATGCACCTAAATTTATAGACCTAAACTAAAAATAAAATAATTGTCAGGCCGAAACTGAAAATGAGGTGTGGTTTTTTTATTTTATTTTTTTCTCAACCTTTTAAAAAAAATGTTAAATTATTTTACTTTTTCTTTTTGCTTTACTGCTAGGGGCTCTGGGGAAATATTGGGGCTCTAAACAGACCTTGAGGACACAGAGTCCTCAATCTCTTTTTCTGCAGCCCTTGTTATGAATGAATAGGACGCCTCTATACTGAGTGTTCCTGTCCATCATACATTGTGGATATACTGTGTCCACAATCATAAATGAACAGGAAATGATGTAGAGCACTTTCCATTCATTCATAACTGGGACATAGTCCCCTGGACATATGTCCAGTTTTTTACAAGCACTCACCGATCAGCTGATTGGTGAGAGTTTGTACACCGCTCTCCATCCTAAATGGGCTGTCACAGGAGGAGGGGCAGGCGGTGGGAAAGGAGAGCAGATCACAGCGCTCTCCTCCAATCACCTCTCTCCATCCTGACACAGGACATGGAGTTGGGATGATAGCTCCGCCTCCTATAAAATGACAGCTGTCACCGCTCGCACCTCTCTCCATCCTGACACAGGAGGCGGAGCATATATTTGCAGGCTCATGTTTAATGCCCATAGTACAGTTATACAAAGAGAAATGTTTTTTTTGATGTATGTGCAATCCTTGCTCTCCTCTGATCGTTGATGTTATCCTGCAGGATCACTCTGGTATTTTGAAAGATGCCCCTACTGAACTAGAACAGTCTGATAGCTCCGTTCTGAGGCTAAAATTCCTCAATGTGTACTATGGCAAAAAGAGAGGAAGGGTATCTGAACTGGCTAAGGTAATGTATAGGTTGTATTTTTCTGTAGGATCTATTCTAAAAGAATTTGATAAAGCATTTTGGTCAGATACATTTTTTTTGTTTATTATTTGTATAAAAGCTTTATTCTACAAATAAGCATTTAACTCTTAAACCCTCGGCCCAGTTTTAGCAGTCTTGGTATGTGCTAGTTACTCTTTTTAAAAAATTTTTAAGCAACCCTGCCATTGCATAATTATCAAAACTGTAGCAGACAGAATCTGGAACAGCAACCAATCAGCTTCCCTCTTCAGTTTAAGCTAAGATTTGAAAATGAAAGAGAGGAGGTGATTGGTTGCCACAGGGAACTGTATCAGATTCTGCCTGCTCCAGTTTTAATATACTCCCCTCTATATATTTTGTTACTTTTGTACACATAATTATTCATTTTTAAAAGTTTTTTTTTTTATTAACACACTAATCCACACTGACAACTGTAGCCTTCCAGCCTTAGTAATCACTATGCCTCTTCCTGTGTAATGCACAATGACACCTGAAGGTGTCAGGTTTGATTGTAAACAAAGTTCGTGTGATTACGGTGACTGGGTGTCATGATTAGATGATCAGGGTCCATGCTGTTTTCTGATCGCATAGACCAGCTGTCAGTGACCACGCAGGCTAAGAACTAGGAATATGCACAGATACCACAGAAAACTGAGAAATGTTTGATGGACTAACCCTTTACATTTTTCTATACATGCGTTCTGTTGTCCCTTCAAAACAGTGCTCTACATTTTGTTTTTTCTTTCTTAATTTTACAGTTTACGGCGACATCCATTGAAATTCCTTTGAAAGGTAAGTTTATTATATTTGACATTTCTTGAGAAAGCTGAATGTTGTTTTGCAGCTAACTGTTCATGAAAACACAATTTCCGGTTAGTTCATATTTCTAGTGCCATTGTCTCTTATTCGTGAGAGAAGTTTAGCTCCTGTAACATAATGCTGCAGTGGTTGAGTGTAGGAAAGGTAGACACTACTCTTGACTATGAGTAAGTTTTTAAAAATATTGTAGCATGATAAATAAATGAATAATTTGCTTGTTATCTTCCATCACAAATCTAAAAAATAAGGGGTTTATTCTTCATTTTGGTATAGCGGATAGAGCCAAGCATGTCACTCCTTTCTGCCCCTTGGCCTACAGTACAACCACACCCACTAGTTTATAGCACTGATACAGACTAATATTTAGAGCATTTAATGGCTTGTAGGCCATATAGAAACCATTGTTTCCGTGGAGTGGATCATGAGGACCAATAAGATATTGCCCCCTGTCACAGCTCCCACTATGGAATTTGTGAGATCCATGAACTCTTGTTAAATCCTGTTCAAGTCCTGTTTCATTCCTCACTCATTTCATCCTGTTTACATCTGGAATCCTATGTGGTGTAGAAAAAAGGATACTACATAAGAAATTTGAATAATTTTTTTTAGACTTGTCAACTTCCAATCAACCTCCAGCAATTCATTTGCTGTTTGTAATTGGGTGAGCTGAAAGAACTGTCTAGAACTTTTTATCATATACAATTTTTGCTACAGTGGCCTTGCACAAAATTACAAGTCTGTCGGTGGAGACAAGGAAGCTGCACAAGTATGGATTCTGGATTACGAAGGGAGGAGACTCGGTCAGAAGTAGTGCTGTCATTATCCTGTGGTTGACTCCTGACTATGTGCCTGTCATAGAGCGACAAATGGAATTGTCTGCTAGAAAACAATCCTGTAAGTATTTTGATTTGGCTTTTCCAACGAAAGTATATTTTCACTTCTAGTTTAGACCTACTGATAGACCATATAATATTTCAACATTAAAATATAGCTAAAAATTTTTATTTAGAGTTTTTGATAGAATAGGGAAGGGTTAGAACTAGGGATTCACCGAAATTTCGGCCACGGAAACATTTTGGTGAAAAATGGTACTCTGGGCAAGATGTCGATAGTACAAAAACAGCCGAAAATGCGTATCATCCCCAGCTTCTCTCCTCCCCGCTGGCTGCAAGCTTCGCTCTGTGACCCCTCTGATCCCTGCTGGTCTTCCCCGCCTGTGTCAGCAGAGGCAGAAGTGATTTAAGGGAACACAGAGCTCTCTGTGTCCTCAATCTCTTTTTCCATTTTAAAAGGAAGAAATCAGGGGTCTGAATATAAAAAAAAGAAATCCTGCATTTCCTGTATAAAAGCAGTTGGCCTGTAGTCTTCTGCTTTGATGTCACACAATTACTTCTTGGCTTCTATTTGTTAATATCAACTACTGTAGGGGGTTCACAATCTACTAATTATTAGGTGATAAAAGCTGTGAGATTGAAAAGAGGGTATAAAAAGAGTTATAAGAAGTATGAACATATATATCCTAATGGCTAATATTGCAAGTTTAATCCTTGCAATTTAAAAGTAGGGTTTAGCAGATCTATTACCCTTAGGGTAAATGTTTCCTATAACTTTGATAACTGCCAAACGCTAAACCAAGGAGAATAAATAGCAGTTTTTGGCAATTATGCTAATCAATGGTCAGCTAAAATAATCATAAACATATTGTTTGTGTTTCTCAAATTAAACCATATTTAATTTTTTTTTTCATCCTTGTAGCTAAATCAAACGAGTTCATCTTTCTGGAGTTAGTGGAACCTCTTAAAAGCAAAGAGCAGTCTCTGATGAATGAAATTATGGTGGAAGCCAGCAAGCATGGTTCACCCTCTCTTGCTGAAGTGCTTAGCTGGGAGGAGATATGCACCATGCTGGAGTCCTTGCCCTCCGACGAGTGTTCCTTCAAGTTAAATTGTTGTTCTGCTGGATCTCAGCTACCTGAGGTAGGCTTTTTATGCATGAACTGTATCCTTCAGATAGAACACTAATGTAGTAGGAAGGGTGTATATAATCATGTTGAGGGACATTCCTTAACATAGCACTTGCAGAGAAGAATAGTGCATAGTGTATAAATACATGCAAACATCTATCGACACAGCCAATGCTTCTTAACTTAATTTAATGCAAGGGTTTATCCCCACCTGCAGTAGAAGGATGCTAGGCACAACCACTTGAAAGCTTAGCCCTGGGGACGGCCCCTTGCTGGTGGCTCAACCCCCCCACTAGCTTGAAGCAGCTCAGGTTTTTGCCCAGCGTCGCGGAGTTGAGACTTAGCTCTCTGTGGGATCTTTGTTATGGTTTCTTTTTTCTTTTTGTGACCTTTAATCAACGGCTGAGCCTGGTGACAGGCTGGATATCCTAGATCCTTGTAGTCTCCCCAGCTTGGCCAGGGGGATATCTCACGGGGGGATGCATATGACCGAGCGGCCTGTGGCTGCTTTGTCACATTGCCCCCCTTGGCCACCAGCGGTGGGAGGTGGTCTGTGGTGGGGACTGGCACCCTGGCTTTTAGCCTGGTCAGGCAAGCGTTTCCCCCTCTTCTGGGGTTGTGGGACTGGTGGGTGCCTGCTGACTCTGGGGTCCCCTCTCCTGTTGGGTATGTGGGCTCCCCTGCAATTTTGGCTCTGTGCTAGGCTCTATTGCCACCATCATGCCAGCATTCTGGTCACTCGCCTCCGATTTACCCCCACTCCCCAGCACAACATCCTGCACTCCTTGCTGCCTTACTTGACCTCCCACTGTGCCTACGTGTGCTGGTTTTACTATACACCAGCTGGTGGTTGTGATGTGCACACCGGCCTCTGCCTCTCCACTGTGAGCGGAGCGGCATCCCTGCTTCCCGTCGCTGGATGGAGGACTGCAGGAGGAGTATTTCGGGCCACTATAACCTGCTGGGGGTGAAGCATTGCTGGGCCGGGTGCTGACGTCGGCGCCACTTTCTCCGCTCTTCCTTTCCATGTGGCGGGATCAGAACAAGCACATGCAGCTGCAGCTCTACTGATTCCCTGGGGTGGTAAGTTGTTTTGGAAGCTTCCTTCAGCTGGCGGTCAGCTTGGTCGTCCTGTGTGGGGCAGACAATGTCTGTATGGGGGGTGGATGTCCCAGCACTGGGGGTCTGGTGCTACCTTGGGCTTTTCCCTATGTGGGGGAGCTGCTGATGTGGGGGCGACTCTGTTTGCCCTTCTTGTTTGCCCTTCTTGTTTGCCCACCGCTTCCCTACCCGGTTCAACTGCGATTGCTACAGGGGTTTTGGGTCTGTAGTTCCCTATGGAGATGCTTTCCTCCATGCTGGAAGGATTTGTTTCATGGGTTGAACAGGCTCGCAGTCAGTAAGAAAGGTCCGCCTCTGTCCCCTTCTCCATCTGAGTCTTCGGGGAGGAGGATGGCGTTCCCTCTCTGGCAGTTTCGGCGGATGCTGCGTTGTCTGATAAGTCATGCAGTGACTGAGTCTGCCTTAGTTTCGCAGGAAAAAGAGTTTGCTTCAATGCTGATTAAGGTGTTACCTTACCACGCCTTCTTTGATTCCTTTATTTGTAAGGAGTGGGAGTGCCCGTCTAAGTGCTTTGCCCTTCCCAAGCGGTTTTCTGTACACAATCTTTTCGGGGAGGGGCTTCTGAAAAAGTGCACATCCTCTCCGGTTGTGGACCCTCCTGTGTCCCGTCTGAACAAGGCGACAGGGATTCAGGGGGAAGAGTCTCTGTTCAGGGATCTGACACAGAGGCGTTTGCGCGTTCTATGTTTACCGTTGCTGAATCTACCTTGTGTCTGATTTTGGCCTTGGCGTCTCAAACGCTCACTGAGAGGGTGAAACTCTTGTGGCAGGGTCTGGAGAGTGAACAGGTGTCCCCTGCATTAATGGAGCTGGGGGATCAACTGGTTCATGGACTTCAGTACATGTGTAACACTTTGCTGGATACGGGCCCCTTGTGGAAGTTATTGGTTTCTGCGATGGTTCTTCGTCGCCTCCTGTGGTTCAAGTGTTGGTTGTCTGATCAGACTTCTAAAAAGGCGCTGACAGACCTGCAATTTAAGGGTGACCATTTATTTCAACCTCGCAAAGTTTGGAGGTGGTGCCAGAAGGACAGGCAAGTATTCATTGTTTTGTTTGCAGGGAGCACATCTTTTTTTTTTTTAGTTACGCTGTAAAACTCTCCAACAAAATGGTTGAAGTAATACTGCCTTCCCTTGACAATAAAGTCAACAACCTACTATATCTAAAACCTTTATCACAATGTGACTTTTCTTGGAAGACTGTTTTAGGATGAAATCTTTTATTCTGTAGATGCACAACGATTTATTCTTTAATAAGGACTGGTGATTAATATGAAATGCAAGATCAGTCGGCTTCTACTGCTGCATTATACAGGATAGTTTGCAGTCAGTCCATACATGAAGGGAAGGCTTCATTACTGGTAAAATAATAATTAAAGAAAATTGTTCATCAAACATGAATCACTTTAGTTAGAATTTGTTTTTGGTTTTTTTTTAGCCTAAGAAAGTAAAATCCACTTACAGCCTTACTCAAAAATGGAGCGATGGTGGTTACTCATTTTCTATGGTACCTGAGCAACATAACATACTGGGCGAAGCACAGAGAAGTGGACCTCCTATCAGGTGTGTTTTTTACCATTTGAGCTTAATTTGAGTGCCAGCATTTTTCTGTGTATTTAAAAAAAAATTATTAACAGAATATATTTGGAATACTCCACTTCAGTTATGTATGCTGCTCTCCATGGGGCCTTTTTTTTCCTCTTCATGGCAAATATTGATTTGGGCACTAGTCTAACTATAAGGTTACATAGGACATTTTATCTGCTTATTTGACAAATAATGCAGCAATATCTGCTTTGGGGATTAAAAAAAAAGAATACATTAGGACATTTTTTTTATTTGTGTTTTAACCTTCTTGGCGGTAATCCCGAGTGTGGCTCCGGGGGTTCATTTTCAGTACCAAAAGCGGTAACGGCGAGCCTCCGGGGGGAGTGTGTGTGTAGGGGCGGAACCGGCGGAAGATTTAAAAGGGAAAAAAATCTTTTAAAAAAACCCTGATATATTCAGACCGCCAGGGAGGTTAAAGCATAAAGAACTGAGGTAATAGGGTAAAAAAATAAATATATATATATTAAGACACATGCCTTGGAAAAATACTAGGGATGCACCGATACTTTTCGAGTCCGATACTTGGCATTTTCATGAGAACTACCAAGGTTGCAGCGGTTGCAGCTGGGACCTAGCTCTGGTGCTCCACCACTGTCCTGAAATCATTAGTCGATATTGTTTTAGAAAAATTGTCACATGACCATAAACAAAAATTTATCAGTACTTGCAAAACCGGTATTGGTGCATCCCTTTATTTATAAAAACAACATCATACATTAAAGCAGAGATGTACAAATCCCAGGAGCTCCGTGTGCTCCTTACAAATGACAGCTGCCTCCTAACTTTTGAATTTTTCTCTAGTCTAGTCTTGGATCTTGAAAAGCATCGGTACATGTACTTGTACCGAGTACGGTACTTGGTATCGGTGCATCCCTAAAAAATATCACTGCTAATCTGCTATTTAATACAGTATATAGATAATGGTCCAAAACCATCAGTTGATATGTCGAGAACTCCAACTCTGAATATATCAACATTCTGATGTGTTAACAATATGAGCAGGGCCTCCTGAAAAAAACCCAATGTCGCCCAAGTTTTGTGTGTCCAGCAGTAAACTTGATAGAGGTGTAATTGCCATGATTATCAAATGTAGCATTTTTTGTGAACTTTTTATTTTAGATTTATCAGACCTATCCTTACCCTTTTCAGTGATTTTATTATTTCTACATTTCTGACACTTTTGTCAACATTAGTTAATACAATAATTAAAAAGTTACCTTGGTGATTTGTTTGTCATTCCATATTTAGCATTATTAATAAGGTAGTGATTTACTAGCTGAGGAGCAGCATGGACTGCTCAAAAGCTTCTTCTTACTTGCCTTTGCCATGAAATCTGCAACCAGTTCCTTCATATGTGACTATTCCACAAACTGCTGGACAATATAACTGTGTGCCCTAATCTACTTCTACCAAATATTAACAATCACTTACCCTCTAGAATGAATATATGCATAAAAATTAAAGACATCAGGACAGTTTATCAGCTTAATGCCATCTATACAGGACTTGATGTTCTGTTGAACTAGTACCGTTCTGTATGACCCCAACAGAGAGTTTCCCTGTATGCACCTTGTGCCTGTGACAGTCTGAGTTACCTAAAGAAGAAGATTCATGTTATATTCCTGTAGAGAATCCACCAGAGAGCCTGTGACATGGTTTATAGGAAAATACACACTTATGTTGGAGGTCAAGGGGTTCCCCCAAAGACAACTTCATGTTCACATTCGATGTATGTGTTCGCTCACTTCCCGATCTACTGAGCTGACCTGTGACAGTGAAAATCACTCGCCTCATAGTTCTCCTTTTTAATTTTGTTTTAAAAAGACGAAACATGAAATTATATACCATACAGGGGAATTCAAACCAAATTAATGTATGAAAATCTATGTGTCAATTGACCAAGGTACTTTTTTTTTTCTTCAGATTACTTGTTTATCCTCCTCCACCAACAAAAGGAGGCCTTGGAGTAAGTAATGAAGATTTGCAGTGTTTGGAGCAAGGAGAATTTCTTAATGATGTTATTATTGATTTTTATCTGAAGTGAGTACCTTTTTTATAACTTTCCTGTACAGTTTTAGATTGTGTTAATTTAAAAAGTATTGTTTTAAAAACGTTTTTAACAAATCTAAGTTTAATTGCCCCAGGTGATGAGGAAGCATGGAGCCAACTTTCTGGCCAATCAGGAAGCTAGGCGGCGAGTCATTTACACACTCCCGGCCTCCTGATTGGCCGGAAAGCTGGCTCTATGCTCCCTCGTCACCAAGTGATGAGGGAGCATGGAGCCAACTTCCCAGCCAATCAGGTAGCAAAAACACTTTGTGTTTTGTTTTTTTTGCCTTTTGTTATTTAATATGCAGAAATAAATAAATATAAATTTTAATTTAATATTAAATAAAATTTAATATTTTTCTTTCTCATCCTTTGAAAGTCACACAGGAACCTGCTGCCAATCAGTAGCGGGGACCTGAAGTTCTCCATCAGGTCCCCGCTACTGATTGACAGCAGCAAAGGGCGGGTGCATTAGCTAGTTTTCTATTGGCTATTGCAAAGTGAAATAGCTAATAGGAATATAGATATGCATTCCAAGGGTGTTTTTTTTTGTTTTTTTATTCTGCCAGCGGTTCTCAACCTGTGGGGTCGCTGTGTGATTTCTGCTGTGCTTAGTGAGAGTCCTCCTCAGCCCTCTCCTAGTGCAGCAGTGTCAGTTCTCCCGCCAGATGTTGCTGCAGCAGCCGCGTCATTCCTAAATTTTACCGTTGGGGGTCACCACAACTTGGCAAATGTTACCAAGGGGTCCCGGCCCAAGAAAGGTTGAGAACCACTGCTCTAAAGGAACCAATGTCTGCTGTCTGGAATGTGGTGACTTTTTAACTATAGGGTCTAAATCATCAGTCTTCTTTTGCTCAGCCAGGTACGACTGAGTCCCCTACTCTATTGGTTGCTGTCACCCTCTTTGACTCAGATTTAGAGTTCCAACAGTCTGTGAGTGTGTTTACTCAGCCTATCCTTCGGGTGGCGGTAAGGGGTCTTCCATTATTCAGAGGGTTTCTTCTATGGGATAATCATCATCTCCAAGGCTGTTGTCTGGCACTCCAGAGCAGGTGGTTCCTTTTACTAGGGATGCACCAATATTGTTTTTTCGGTATGGAGTACCGTTTGTTTTTTTCGTTACTCGTCAAATACCGGTGCCATGTGCACCGATTATCGGGAAGCTGGGTGGCAGATCATGACCCGCCACCCGGCTTCCTGATTGCCTGAAAAGTCGGTGTTCTATCGAAAGAACACCGGCTTCACTTCCTGAGGCTTCCTGACCAATCAGGAAGCCGGGAAGCGAATCATGAGGTGCTGCCCGGCTTCCTGATTCGCTAGGAAGCCGGCTTCACTTGTTGCTAGGTAGCCTAATTGGTACCTCTTGACTTAGCTCTTGGCTTCATCCTCGATTTTACCTATTTTTATTCATCTCACCATTCTGGGTCTTCGGTATCAATCCCATTTCCTGTCCACCCTTGTGGAGGTGCTTATCATACACCAGTTCCCTTCAGTTCTGTCAAAAAGGGTTTTTGCCGTAAGTAAAAAAATCCAATTATTACAAAAAATATTGACATTAATCTCATGCCATGTGTGATTCTAGTGTGGGCATTGCTGACTGCAATTGCAATTAATGTTTTCTTCCACAGATACCTCATGTTGGAGATATTTCCGAAACCCTTTGCAGATAGATGTCATATATTTAGTAGCTTTTTCTTTAGATGCTTAACAAGAAAAGAAAATGGTTCAAATGATACTAACCTAGATATATCGTAAGTACACTGTTCATTTTGGATTCATTGTTTTACACTTGTTTGTAGAGCTTGTGATGTGCAGCAATTCTCAACAGCCAATCAAAGATCAAATGCAGCAGCCGTGTTCTTGGTATAACCACTTCAACCGGAGGACGTACATTTACATGAACCCGCTGGAAGTGGTTAAAAGGGAAATATCAGAGGTCTGTTTAGAGCCCCAATATTTTCCGGAAGCCCCTAAAAGTAAAGTAAAAAATAGAAACATTTAATAAAAATGAATAAAAATAAAATATGAAAAAGTTAGAATAAAAAACATTTTCGGTTTCGACCTGACTTTTTTTTTTTTTTTTTTCATTTCGGTTTCGTTTGGGATTTGAAATGTTCATTTCGGTGCACCTCTAATACTATGTACTTAATGCTGATGTGCAGCACTTCACAACCCATCACAGATCAGATACAGCCTCAAATATTGCCTGATTGTCTCAAACAGTGCCCAGATCTGTGATGATACATATAGGTACTAGGCTTTGTATGTCCACCCTAACTGGGTAAAAGTTTGTAAAATATGTTAATAACTGAAAACTTTCACGTTGCAACACATTAGAAGTCATAATTTGAAATCCTGTTAATGAAGTGACTGCAAGTTTTGAATAATATGTTTTTTTCAGAACGGCAGAGAGAAGGCATCGGAGGGTGAAAAACTGGACTCGTCATATAGATATTTTTACAAAGGATTTTATCTTTGTGCCAGTCAATGAAAAGTAAGTAGGTTAAATAAAAGAAGCATTTGATCATTTATTTGTTCCTATAAACGGCACAATTAACCTGGTGTAAAAATCTCATGGTAAGTAGCTTTCAGTCTCTTAAATGAGTCCACGCGGTGTTTAAGACTATTTGGAATAAGGGGTTTATGTACTTGTTTATGTATGTGCAGAGTGTTAAATCACAAATGTCATTCGCATACCTATAGACTTCTTCGCAATGGAAAAATAGTGGCCAAGAAAGGTTTTTATAACCCATCGCTGAAATAAAAGGTTTTATGTTGATTGATTGATTGTATTCCCTGAAGAATAGTCAGCATACAATGTCTACAGCTACCACAAACCAAAGATGGTCACCTAATTCAACTGTATTGGAAGACACCTCTGTTTCTTTTGGCAGGTTTTCATAATCTATAGATCTGCCTTTCTCACTCTGGTAGTTTATACTTAGAGCCCCGAACAGGGAAATCAATTGATAGCCGACGAATCGACGATCGAAAACGTTGGTAACGTTTTCAATCGTCGATTTTAATCGACTAAATCGATTAACTGTTGCAGCTCTATACTTGGGCAGACTGTTTTTGTTGGCATGGTCTTAATTGATAGTAACTTACTGTTTTGTTCTAATGTAGCTTACATTCACCCAACTTTTTTTATGGGCCATAATAATCCTGGGCCTGTACTGCATATCAGATTGTATCTGTGTTGTGTGGAAGACTCTTCTTACAAGCACCAAGAATAACAGTGACATTACTAGCTATGTATCCTGGGTCTTGGTCATTGTGACTGCAATAATTGTATGTTGGAAATCGCAAAAATGGGAGCAGGAGCCTAGGAATGTGGACACTTTTGCTGTGCTGCACAATTTACTTTTTTAAAGGATAGCAAAACCTTCATACAGTTTTTGCTTAACTGCTGCCCCTTCCCCTACTCCCCATGCCATGTTTAATTCTCTAATACTCTAAGTATGAAGTCTTGCTCAAGATCTTGGCCTTAATAAATTGCAGCTTTTCCATCCTTTCCACTAAATTTAGTGAGCCATGTCATAGTAGATTGGTGATAAGATGTTTTTCAGGGTGTATGTAGTCTACAATGCCTGCAAGGTGTGCCCAGGTTCTGTGCCTGCAAAACAATCCCAAATCATCACTCTTCCACCACCACCACCACCACCGTGCATGGCGGTTGGTATGAGGTGTTTGTGCTAATATGCTTTGTTTGGTTTTCAAACATCACGCTGTGCATTATGACCAAACATCTCCACTTTGGTCTCGTCTGTCCAAAGGACATTGTTCCGAAAGTCTTGGGGTTTGTTTAGATGCAATTTTGCAAACCTACGCTGTGCTGCCATGTTCTTGTTAGAGAGGAGAGGCTTTCTCCTGCCAACCCTTCCAAACAAACCATACTTGTTTAGTCTTTTTCTAATTGTACTGTCATGACAGGACTTTAATGTTTAAAATGCTAACTGAGGCATGTAAAGTCTGAGATGTAACTCTTGGGCTTCTCTGAGCATTGCATGGCTTGACGTTTGGGTGAATTTTCTGTGACATCCACTCCTGGGAAGATTGGCAACTGTCTTGAATGTTTTCCACTTGTGAATAATCTTCCTTACTGTAAAATTATGGACTTTTGTTTGGAAATGGCCTTATAACCCTTCCCAGATTGATGGGCAGCAACAATTGCTTCTCTAAGATCATTGCTGATGTCTTAACGCCTTGGTATTGTGTTAACACACATCTGAATGCTCCAGACCAGCAAACTGCTAAAACTTCACCTTTTAGGGGACGTTCACATGATTTTCAGGTCCTGATCAGGTGCGGATCTGCAGACGCGGTGCTACTCATGCAGTACGTTTTTGATGCGCTTTCGGTCCGGATGCTGACAGTTCAGGCAATACATTATGTCTGTGGCTAATGCTGCCTGGAGATTCCTCCCTACCCCCCAGTTGTGTCTACAACTACATTTTTTCAGTAATGGATGTTGCACAGTCTTGCACACTGACTGCAGCAGCCAGCTGGGGAGAACAATGAGGGAGGGGGTGGTGGGTTGTCATATATGGACAGAGGGGACAAGAGCACCATATATTGAGAAGAAAGGGAAATCTACCTGCATCATATTAACACCCACATATGACAAACTTTATTTGAATTACATGACTAGCATACAGTTAGTCAACATACAAGATGCATAAATTTTTTTTTTTTTTGCTTAGCTGCATTGCGTTCCATTTCCGTTCCGTTTTCGTTGCGTTTTTTCCGCGTTCGTGCATTTCCTGACCGGACAAAATGTGACATGCAGTATTTTTTCTGTCGTAACCTGAACGGACTGCGCACATGGGAACTGTAGACCTGGAGCACACGGATCAGGTCAGCACAGAAAACGGACATCGTGTGAACAGGCCCTTATAGAGGTGGTCACACTTGCTGATGATAAGTTAATCAAGGGCATTTGATTAGCAGCACCTGGCTACTATGTAGCCTCTTAATTCCTATGAAAGCAGTAAGGGTGTACTTAGTTTTTCACACAGGGCCTCTCCATTTTGGCTTTATGTTTGTAAAATAAATAATGACACTGTATAATATGCCATGTGTTGTTGTTCATCTTAGGTTGTATTCTTTTAAGACCTACTAATGACCAGATGATTTTTATTATGTCCTGATACTTAAAACCCTAGAATTCAAAGAGGGTTTACTTTTTCTTTTCCACACAACTGTATATCCTGAATATGGATTATTTGCATTACCATCCACCTTTTAATTTAGTACAATACATGGATACAACTTCCATAACAGTACATGTTTTCTTTTTGCTCTAGTTGTCATTGGTACCTTGCAGTGATCTGTTTCCCCTGGTTGGAAAAGGCTATGTATGAGGACAAGAAAGAAACGGATGTGGTTCCTTCAAAAACAAAAGACAGTTCTAACAATGGTTCTGTTATTGTATTTAATGATCGCTTGTCAAAGACAGAGGAAACTACAGAAGACGGCAACAGTGGATCTGAAGGTGAGTACATTTTTCTATCTGTCAGTTGGCATAACTCCGTGGTTCTCAGAATTTCATAATATCTTATGCTGAACTTTACCTATTAAAAACTGCACAGTCACATAATGTTACAACTCCAGGCTGTACTTCAGCATTCTACTTTGATTAGCAAGCCTCTTTCCAGGATCTGTAATGTAAACCAATTTCCATAACCGAATTGTGCACATCTTGAATTTTCACCAAAAAACTAATATCATTGTGTATTATCTGATGGTATGTGAATAATTACTAAATACAAATTCTGGTGACACTTATAGAATTCAGATTATAGTTACATGATGCATAAATTTGACATTAGTTGTGAGTTCTTGCTTTTAACTCATAATTTTGTGTTTTAGGTTCTTGTAGTTCTGGACCCAGCTACAATCAAAAATATCCAGTGAGTGGTTTAAAAGTTCCATACAACTTTTATTACACATAATCTTTGTAAAATATGCATGTATACAGGGACCAACCTTTTCCGCAATAGGCACCAGTTTACAAGCATTAAACAACAACAACTTTCCAGCCAATCAGGAAGCCGGGCAGCAAGTCATTATCCGCCGTTCAGCTTCCTGATTGGCCGGGAAGCTGGCTCCATGTTCCCTTTCAGTATCGAGGATAAGTATCCGAGAATTTGGGCGAGTACGTGCCCAAATACTTGGAATCCGGACCTATGGTAATAGACTAGTATAAAACTTTTAGAGTTGAATCAATTTTTATTAACAGAGTTCGAACAATTTGTGTAAAAGTACAGTATATAAATAAAATAAAAATATACACAGGCAGTCCCCGGGGTTACGGGTACTTACGAGCGGGGTCCACAGTTCTTCTAAATGTACCGGCACCTGCTGGTACATTTAGGAGAACTGTGGTTGCAGCAACCTGTGTCCTTTCAAATCCCCGCTGCTCTCCGCGCCTATGTTGGCGGAGGCAGCAGGGACACAGACCGCTGCATACCGCCGATGCCCCACGTACCTCTGCTGATGTGCCGGGTTCCTCTTCAGCCGTTCCGTCGGCTTCCCCGGTCCGGACGATCCTCCGGTCTCCTGGTCCGGCCGCGGCTCTTCTGCCCCGCCTACTCTTCATTGCAGGCTGGGTGCCATAACCAGCCTGCTATTGGATATTGTAAAATGCAATAGCCAATAGCAAGCTGGCTATTGCACCCATCCACTCTCTGCAGTCAATCAGCATGGGGGGACCTGATAGAGAACTTTCTGCTTCAGGCCCCTCCTCTGCTGATTGACAGCAGGCAGTGGGCAGATGCAATAGCCAGCCTGCTATTGCAATTTGAAATATCCAATAGCAGGCTGGCTATGGCTCCCAGCATTAAAATACAAAAAATTAAAGTTAAAAAAAATAAAATTAAAAAGACTTTTTTTTTAAAAAAAGTAAAGAAAAAGTCAAATTAAAATTAAAAATGCAAACAAATAATAAAAAATACGTTTATAAAATAAAATTAAAAATAGAAAAAAACTTTTTTTGCTGTGTCATTTTAAATACAAAAATTATATTATAATCTTCTCAACAACAGACAGCAAAACAAACGTGACCATTCCCTATGCTATCCAAAACTAAAAAATGTTTTTTTGGCTGGAGTTGCACTTAAAAAATTTACCTGTTCCGACTTACATACAAATTCAACTTAAGTACAAACCTAAAGTCCCTATCTTGTATGTAACCCGGG